CTGAGGAGAGTAGACGCGACGACGACGACGACGAGGCGACGCTCGCGACGCGCGCCGACATCGCCCTTCGGTGGCTCTTGCGCCGGGGACCTCAAATTCGCGTCGACGAAGTCGACGAAATCGAAGAACGCCTCCTCGTCGCCGCATTCGACGCCGCGGATCGAGAAGCGCGAGCGTTGCTCGCCGTGCGCCCGCTCGCAGACGACCGCGAATGCGGCGTCTGTCGCGATTCGCTCGCCGTCGGCGAACTCGCGCAGCTTCCTTGCTCTCACACTTTTCACGCCGATTGTCTCCTTCCGTGGATGCGAGTGTCGCACCAGTGTCCTCTCTGCCGTGAAGTCAACTACGAGTCCGGCGTCTCGCACGCCCTGGCGTGCGTGCGCGTCTTCGCTCCCGCGCGTCGGCCCGCGATTCGCGACTCCGGCGCCGTTTCGATCGAACTCGCGACGCCGACATCCTAGCGCGCGCGACGCGCCGCGCAGCCATTAGACGCAGTAGCCTAGCCACCCTCGTTCTTTTCATCTCACGCGCCTCTCACTTTCAGCCAACGGAATGGGTCCACCCGCGCGCGAATGAATCCAATCAATCAGTGAATGACGCGACGGGCAAAAATGCCCGCGACGGGCAAAAATGCCCGCACTTATAAATCGCGATTTTCAGACTCATCCCTCTAAATCACAGTAAGTATGTAAAAACGTTTCAAAACTTTTTATCTCACTGAAGAGAAATGCCATGTTGAGAATTTTTCCGACACGAGTGGGTAAACAGTACTGGCAGGCTGGGTAAAAAAAGGGGACTCGATGGTTCGTGACTCGAGTCAAATTCCCGTCCCCGTCCAAGTTGCAACGTGCGCGACGCGTCACTCGGCGCGCGCTTTTTCGCGACGCGCGCTCGAGCGCCGTCGCGCGCGCCGCTCGACGCGCCATGCGCGCGGCGCCTCGCGCGACGCCGACGGCGCTCGAGCGCCGCGCCGCGCCGCGCGAATCGCGTCGCGCGCGTCGGCGCGCGCGCGCGGCGTTCACGACGTCCGACGGCGTCGAGCTCGAGGTCGCGCGCGCGTCGCCGACGACGACCGCGCCGACGCCGACGACCGCGCCAGCGCCGCTGGTGTTCGTGCACGGCTCGTATCACGCCGCGTGGTGCTACGAGGAGCACTTCGCGGGATACTTCAACGCGCGCGGACGCGAGACGACGTCGGTGTCGCTGCGGGGACACGGCGCGAGCGGGACGACGCCGGGCGCGGCGACGGCGGGGACGCTGGCGAGCCACGCGCGCGACGTCGGCGAAGTCGTGCGAAGCGCGCGAGGAGACGAGGACGAAGGTCCAGCGCCGGTGGTGTTTGGACACTCGTTCGGGGGATTGGTGGCGCAAAAGATGGTCGCCGACGGCGACGTCGAGGTGTCCGGGCTCGGCTTGCTCGCGAGCGTGCCGCCGAGCGGGAACGGGGAGATGGTGAAGCGATTCTTGAAGAGAGATTTGTGGACGAGTTTGAAAATCACGTACGCCTTCATCACGAAGGCGTTCGGGACCAATCCGCGGTTGTGTCGAGAGTGTTTCTTTTCGCCGAGTCTGAGCGACGAAGACGTCGCCCGCTTCGCGGCGAAGATCAACGCCTCGAGCGAGCTTCGAATGTTAGACTTGAAAGCCCTGAAAGAAGAGCTTCCCGTGCAAAAGCCCGCGGCGGGTTCTCGAAACGCGGACGTTCCGGTGTTGGTGCTCGGCGGCGCGCTCGATTTCGTCGTCGACCGCGAAGGCTTGGAGGAAACCGCGAGCTGGTTCGCCCCGCGCGCCGAGCTCGTCGTCGAGCCCTCGCTCGCGCACGATGTCATGTTAGACGCCGATTGGGAAATCGCCGCCGCGCGCATCGAACGCTGGCTCGTCGATAATGGATTGTAAATTGATTGAATAGTCGAATAGTCGCGCTCGCTCCCTTCTCGCCTCCTTCGCTCTCGGCGGCGTCGACGCTCGCACTTCGCGCCTCGTCCGCGCTCGCCCGCGCGATGCCCGAGCTTCCCGAGGTCGAAAAAGCTCGTCGCCTGGTGCACGACCTCGCGATCGGATCCCCGATCTCGCGCGTCCATCGACCCATCATCGACGACAAAGTTTTTGTCGACGTCGCATCGGGACAGTTTGAGCGCGCGCTCTCGGGACGGAAAATCACCCACAGTAAGCGCCACGGTAAGCAGTTGTGGTGGCAGCTCGACGGGAACGACGCGCTCGTTCCGTGCTTTCACTTCGGGATGACGGGGGCGTTCGTGGCGCGAGGAATCGATGGGATTCAGTATTACAATAGCAAGGCGAGCGGAACGGGCGACTGGCCGCCGCGGTTCGCCAAGCTCGTCGTCGCGTTCGAGAACGGCGTCGAGCTCGCGTTCGTAGACCCGAGAAGGTTTGGAAAGATCAAACTCGTCGCGGACGTCGCGGAGGTGATCGGCCAACTCGGGCCGGATCCGCTGTTGGAGATGCCGAACGAGGAGGCGTTCGCGGCGCTATGGCGACGAAGGAGCGCGCCGATAAAGACGGCCATCATGGACCAGAAGGTGATCGCTGGGATAGGGAATTGGATGGCGGACGGTGCGTCGAATCGAGCGATCGCGATCGCGAGGCGTTTTCTCGAATGACTCGGCGTTTGATTGACATTGAGAATATTGGTTTCGTCGAGCGTAGAAATTTTATACCGAGCGCGAGTGCATCCGGAGACTCGAGCGAACGAGTTGAGCTCGACGCAGCTCGAAGCGATTAGATTTCGCGTCACAGAAGTCGTCAAAGTAGCGTGCGAGGCAAACTCTGACCACGATTTGTTTCCAGACGACTGGTTGTTCCACCATCGCTGGGGGAAAACCGGCGGAGCGAAAGTCAACGGAGACGCGATTAAGTTCATCGAAGTCGGCGGTCGCACCACCGCCTTCGTGCCCAAACTTCAGCTTAAAACCGCCATCAAAACGGAAATCAAAACTGAAACCGACGATGGGGCGACGAAGGCGAAGAAGCGGTCGAAACCGAGCGGCGCGGCGACGCGCGCGGGACCGCCGGCGACCCGCGCGCGTCGAACCGCTCGCGCCACCACCGCCACCATCGCCACCGCGCGCGCGTGACCGAACCAACCCACCCGACCATAAAAATATCATTCTTTATCGCACACCGTAGACATTTTAAAGCCACCGTTGTGAATCATTCTTCCGCCGTCCGCGGTGTCGTTGTCCCGCTCGCCGCCGCTCGCCCGCCGCGCCACATCGCGCCGCATGTCCGCCTCACGCGCGCACGGCGTCGCGGACAAGCAATGTCCCGTCTGTCGCGAGCTCTGCGTCAAGCCCGCAGCGCTCCCATGCGGTCACGTCGCGTGTTTATGGTGCACTCACTGCAGCATGAGTTCTCTCGGTGAATCCACCTGCGCCCTTTGTCGCAATGAATTCACCGCGCTTCCCGCGCTGTCGCGCGCGCTGGAGAATCATCACATGTGGTGCGACCCGCGCGCGTTCTGTGAGCGACTGAAAGAGGCTCGAAAGGAGGACGTGGAGCGGGGACACAAGAGCCCCAAATTTGAGGTGTGCGTCGTCGCGGCGGCGGCGAACGACGACGCGCGATCGAAGCTCATCTCGTTCGACGCGAGCGTCGTCGGCGTGGTTGATGACGACCGTGATATGGCAGATGTGGTTTTGAAGGCGCTAGAGGAGACCGAGTGCGGGGGGATGTTTGAAGAGATGCGGATGTTTGACGCGAGCGCGGGCGAAGGCGTCGCCGCTTTTCACGCGTGCTGTTGTCCATCGCGAACGGAGGTCGTTTCGTGCGGTGAGCTCGCGAGTCGGCCCGTGGTTTGTCAACAGTGTGGAACGCTCTACGAGCGAGCGCACGCGGACGCGCTGACAGCGAAAGCGGGTGAAGGGAACGAGTGGTGCTTTTGCGGCGGGACACGACCTCCGACTCGCGTGATTTTTTCGCTCAAGGAAGACATAGAGAGCGCGTACCCGAAGGACTTCGTCGATGCGTCGAGAAAACGGTGCGACCAAGCACTAGCGGAGTGTTTAGTGGCGCTCGAGCGCGAGGCTGAGCTAAAGGCGAATGTGGAAGGCGACGTTGACGACGTCGACGCAAAGGATGAAACCGTCTCCACTTCGACGCACATTGACGTTGGCGGCGCGCGTACTCTGGTCTTTGATCACGAAACTTTCACGCATTTCGGCGTCGGGTGCGATTTCTGTGGTGTGTATCCCATCGTTGGTCCGAGGTATCAATGCGCCGAGTGCAAGGATTCCGAGTTCATGGGCTTTGATCTTTGCGCCAAGTGTATGCAAAACGTCTTCGAGCACCCAGAGCGAAAACGCGACTATCGCTTCGCGCAGAATCACACCGACGCGCACGAGATGGTTCTAGTTCGTCCGCGTCCAACGATGGTTCACGTGATGAAAAGCCTCCATCCCGAACTCAGCGCGAATCAAATCATACAATGGTTGGACAATCAAGCGACGGCGTCGCGAGAAGCCGAAGCCGAAGCCGCCGAAGACGAAGCACAAGCCGCCGAAGCTGACGCATCCGAATCCGACGAACCCGAAGAAGGCGACATGACCGAGGACGAGCACCAATAGTTTTAGACGCGCACGAAATCACCCCGTATTGAATGTAAAACAGTTACCGAATTCGCCCGCCGAGCGCCGCGCGCGCGTCGATACATTGCGGCGCGTCGCCGTCGTCGTTGTCGTCGTCGTCGTCGCCGACGTCCCGCCAAGACGCGCGCACGATGCTCACTATCGCACTCGCTCCCGTGTCGGTCGCGCATTCGCCCGCACCGCGACGCGCGCGCGCTGTCCCGGTCGCGCGCGCAGCGTTATCCACTGCGCCCGAGTCGGCGACGCCGATCACCCCCGACGCCCGCACGCGCGTCGCCTCGATCCCGTACAAAGACGGGAGCGTAGATAAAGTCGTCGCCATCAACGACGCGGCGAAACAGGCGATCAAAGACGCCAAGGCGGAGCGATTCGTGAGCATCATCGACCCGAAGAGCGAAAAGTTGCAAAAGCTGCTGAGCGTCGTCGACGCGGGATGGGATAAAATTGGCGTCAAGAATAAGAACGCCGGGCATCACACGCTGTGGCCCGAAGCTTTCGAAGCTGGGAAGGCGCTGCTGGAGGAGGCGTTTCCGGAGGAGTGCTCACCCGAGCACGGAGGGGAGGTGTTGAACGGCGTCGCGTTTGTCAACGAGCCAAAGTATTACGACCGAGCGATTGATTTTATGCAACGACGAACAAAGGAGGATTTCATCATGAGCAAGTATAATCCTCTCGGACGGCTGCATCGTGATCCGGATGCGATCGATTATAAGAGCCCGGGGTGGATGACGAGCGGTATGGAGAAGAGCGAGGAGTACAGTTATCGTTATTACAACGTGTGGTTGTTGAGGTCGCCGCGGGATCCCACCGGGCAAGCGTGGGATAAGCCCTTGGTCGTGCTGCTTCCGCGCGACGGTGGTGCTCGAGAGTGGACGTACGATGTGCGCCGGCCGGAGGATAACGTAGAAGACGATGCGAAGAAGACGGCGGGGAGTCAGTTTAAGGAGACGATGGACAAAATCAAAGCCAACCCGATGAGCGCGGCGCCAATGGTGATGCAAGCGTTTAGCACGAAGAAGAAGGAGGACAAATTCGAGCAACAAGATCCAAATTATATGACTCGTGGTTCGCCCGAACTTCAGCCGAGCGACGAGCACGTGTGGATCACGGCGCCGTACATGATATTCGATTCCTTCGACATGTGGCACGGCGCCGGTCAGTGGATGCCGGAGGATAAGCGAGACCTTCGCAACGGTGCCGCCGACGCCGTCGCCGCGCGTAAAGATGCCATAAAGGGTCGTGTGAGCATCGAGTTACGCTTCCGCGCTCGGTGCAAACCGGGATCGCGCGAAGGCGTTCCGTTTAGTCCCGTGAGCTCAGCGTTTCGCGGCGGCGTCTTCACCCCGGAGTCCGTGCGTCCATCCGACGGTGCGTACGACCTCAAATCCGGTAGCGTGGTGTGAGCTCACCGCTCTCATTATTAGTCAGTCCCTACCATATTGTCATGTTCACGAACACCGTTTAGTTGCAGCGCCGCTGCTTCTCGCGCGAAGTCGTCACTATGCGTCTTCAGCGCGTCGTCATCGCGTCTTCTCGCACCGCGTCATCGTCCGGAGGCTCGAAACAACATCGCGTCGTCATGCCACGCGGTCGGCATCGCATCGCGTGCGCGCAAATGACGTCCACGGCTGACTTTCAGCACAATCTGCAGACAGTCACCGAGCTCTGCAAACGCGCGAAAGCCGAAGCGTGCGAGGCGCTATTTTTGCCCGAAGCGTTCGCGCGCATCGGTGCGACGGACGCGTCGTACGCCGAGCCTCTGGATGGGCCCATCGTGCGCGCTTGTTGCGCGCTGGCGAAGGAGTATGGGCTTTGGATGAGTTTGGGCGGCTACGCCGAGCGGGACGGCGACGGGAGGAAACGATTCAATTCGCACGTCATGATCGATCCTCGATCGGGAGAAATCAGTGGAGATGTGTACCGTAAAATTCATTTATTCGATACCGACGCCGCGGTGGGCGTTGATGGCGGCGGGATGCGCGAGAGCGATTACACGCGCGCCGGGACGACGTTGGCTTCGTATGATACGACGTTTGGTAAAGTTGGGGCGTCGATATGTTATGATTTACGATTTCCGGACGTGTATCAGGCGCTACGATTCGAACACGAAGCGGACGTCATCTGTGTGCCGAGTGCGTTCACGAAATCCACGGGCCAAGCTCACTGGGAAGTTCTCCTAAGAGCGAGAGCGATTGAAACGCAATGTTACGTCGTCGCGGCCGCGCAAGCAGGTAAGCACGGGGAAACGAGAGAAAGCTACGGGCACGCCATGGTGATCGATCCATGGGGGCGAATTGTGGCGAAGATGGATGATCCATCGAACGAGGTCGGCATCGCGGTGGCTGAAATTGACCTCGCTCTAGTCGATTCAATTCGCACACAGATGCCATTAGCCGAACATAGGAGGCGAGTGAGAGCAGAGTTTTAGCGTAGTAGTATGGTGTGGTGTATTGATCAACGCCCTGTATGCATTATCCTATTCGAGCCATGACGCCAGTGCCACCGCTCCCGCCTCTACTGCGACCACGTCCGCCTCTGTTGCGTCCGCCGCGAGAGCGTCGTGGACGGGTGGTGCCGCCAGCTTTCGTCAAATTATCCGCAGAGTTATCGCGCGAAAAGTTACTATCGCTACCGTTTTCTCGTTTGACAGTCTCCCACTCTAACTGTTGCTGTGGCGTGTCGGTTCCACGAGCGCGCTTTGATGGAGCGTCTCGCGAGTCGTCTCGCTTCGCCGTCGGTTCTCGCGATTCGGCGCGACCACGTCGACGCGAGGGCGCTCCAGCACCAAACCGTGGTCCTGGCTCGCGCGACTCATGACGCGTTCGTCGACCACCGCCGCGCGATTTCATCGCTTCTTCGTGCGCCTTGGCAATGTTTTCGGGAATCACAGGAGGCGGCGGCGGCGGCGCTGATTTCATAGCCGGTGGCGGCAGTGGCGCTCGTTGCCCTCGTCGAGGATTATCCGCGTCTGGCTCGCGATCCTCCTCGACTTCACGCTGCGGCTCGGGCTCCGGGTCATCTTCACCGGCCAACATTACCACCGTGTCTTCCTCTTCCTCGAACACCGGTGGTCCCGAGGGCACGTCTCGCGCCCCGCTCGGCGGCGGTGGCATGGCGGGCATCGGTGGAGCCGTCATCGGCGGTGCGGTTCCCCACAAATTACCTGCATCCAACAAGTCCTTTTGCTTTTTCAAATCTTCAGCCATCTTCTTCAAGCCCTCTATGGACGTATCCATGGACATGATGCCCATCGGGTCGAGCTCGTCTATGTTCGTCATCGGGTCCATGACTGGCGCGAGATCTCGCTTCTGCGCGCCCGGCGGCGGCGGACCCATGGGCATAGGTGGCACAAATCCCGGAGGCAACACCGGTGCCGCCTCTTCGACGGGTTCTTCCGCAGGCGGAGCTCCAGTTTCGCCGCCTTCGCCTTCACCGCCGTCACCGAGAGCGAGCGTCTCTTCGCCGTTCCCTAAAGCCAACGGTTCTTTCCCGCGATCGTTCAAGAAACCGAACATCTTCTGGAATTCATCTTCCGCGGCCACCATCTGCGCGGACTCACCGGTGGGTGCGACTAAAATCCCGCCCGTCGTCGCCTCTAACTTTGTCTGCGGAATCCCGTACGCGTGCTTCGTGCGCACGATTTCCACAGTCGAATCTGCGGCCAAAGGACAGTCTTGAATCCAGTGACCGCCTTGATTACACTTGAAACAAATGTATCCCGGTCCCGGTGGTCCATCGCTCCGGCGTCCCGCCCCGCGTCCTCCGCCTCGTCCTCCTCGGCCCGCGCTCGCCGCCGCCGCGTTCGCCGCCATCTTCTCGCTCTCCCACTGCTGCGCCTGTTCCCTCGCCATGTTCGCCAACGGATTATCCCCTCCACCGTCTTCCTCTCCCGCGTCCGTCTTCGTGATCTTGTTCAAATTCATCTGTAATCTCCGCGACACGTTTCTCGACGGAATCTGCGAAGCGTCCGGCGGCGCCACGTACACCACCTTCTTCGCCACTTCGCTCCCCTGCGCGCTCCCCACCGCCGCTTGTTTCATCGACGGCACGCGTCGCACGATCACCGACGTATTCTTCCACACCAACGCGCTCTCATCGTCGTACTCATTCCCATCTTGCGCGTTCGTCAGCACCAGTTCGCACGCGTGATCCTTCCCCAATCCCTTCTTCTCGCTGATCAGCCGCTTCAGCTCGCTCACCGCGATGAACGACCCATCGAACGCCAGCGTATCGAACGTCTTCGCGCTCTTAAACTTGTAGTGGATCGTGCCGCTCGCCATCGTCCGCGATTCCGCGCGCGTTGATTTTCACGATTGATGCCTCGGTCGGCGGCGATTCGCGATCGCGCCTCGTTCGCGCGCGTCGCGTCCCCGGCGCCCCTCGCGCGCGTCGCCCCTCGCGCGCGTCGCGTCGCTCGCCGTCGTCGACGCGCGCGCGCGCTCGCGTCGACGCGTCGACGCGGCGCGTCGATGAGTGACGGCGCGTCGAGACGCGACGCCGTCGGCGCGACATCGACGCGCGGCGCCGACGCGTCGCGATCGCGACGGCGCGCGACGGCGCGCGACGATCGCGACGAGGACGGCGGACGCGCGCGCGCGCGCGATGGCGGACGCGGACGTCGCGTCGCGCGAGGACGGCGCGAAGAATTTCTCAGCGCGCGACGACGACGACGACGACGGCGACGACGACGACGGCGAGCACCGACGGCGCGCCTCGGCGGCGAGCGCGCTCGAGCGCGAAAATTACACGCAGCTGAGGATGGATCAGGTGACGACGCTGCTTCGATTCGAGGAGCCGGGACCGCTGGACGGGGATCTCGAGTTCGAGAAGCTCGGCGCGCTGCGAGGCGCGGTGTTGAATTTCATCGCGGCGTTTCGGGTGTTTCGAACGTTCCTGATCACGGCGGAGAGCGTGGTGGTGAGCGTGATATCGATCGCGTCGACGCTGTTCTTCGCGCTGTACGAGGTGGGGGGACATCGAATGGCGGTGAATCTGAGTTGGACGTTTGTGTCGTTTGCGATCATATATCCGCTGACGGGGTCGTTGGACAGCGCGTTTCGACGACGGGAGGAGGCGTTGAAACAGTTGGCGATGTTTAAGACGTCTATCATTAGCTTTTATCAGGCGCACAGAGATTGGGATTGGGGGCAGAATGGGAGGAAGGATTTGCCCGAGAACCACGTGTACGAAGTTCGATGGTTGACGGTTGGGTTGGTGTGCGACGTGAGGAACTTTTTGACGGCGCCGGAAGTGACGCGATTGGTACATTTGAACACGAGACGGGGACGCGTGGCGTGGACGAAAGGGCGCAAGCTGCAGTGGGCGATCGCTAGGCGCGTTAGAGAACATTTCCAAAAGCTTTCCGTGACGACGGAGGCGTTAAAGTTCAGCGGAATGCCCGGTAACGAGTCGTCTCGAATTCGACAATTCACCAAGGAGGCGCACAACGCGTGGGAACAAATGCGCTTTCTAAAAACGTATCGCACACCCATGGCCACGCGAGCGTTTGCGAGGGTATACATTTTGATCCATCCAATCTTCTGGGGGCCGTATTACGCCCAGCTCGTGAGCGACATTTTACACGACGAGGCGGGCGGTTACAGCGGTGCCGAAATCTACGACGTTCCGACGTACACGTCGCGTCTCGTCGTATTCTACGCGTGTTGCATGTCAGTCATCACATCCTTGGCGATGCTCGGACTTTTCAACGTTCGATACAGCCTCGAAGATCCTTTCGCGTCGACGGAACGTCACAACGAAGCCGAGGCGTCGTACGCTCGCCGATACACTCGCGGCCAAGACCAGGTGCTCATCAATAAAGAGTTACGCGAGCTCGTGAACGATCTGTGCTTAGAGTTTGACAACACGTTCGAGCCGAGCGGGGGTGGTGTACCGGCGTGCATGTTTCCGTCGCCCAAACGATCGCAATTGCAAAACATCACCCTCAAAGAGGTGTCCCACAGCGTCATCGAACGCAATTACAGCGGTAAAGGGCAAGCGCCGAATCTAGAGCGCGAGGAGACGCTCCACGCGAGCGCCTCGGACGCTTACTAAAGCGTAAGCGCTGCGTCGTTTCGGTAAAGTTACAAAGAAATGCTCGTCTAGAGAGCGCGCGTGAAATGTGAAACGTCTTCTAAAATCGACGTCCGACGCCTCGCCTGATGCGAACCACGGCGAGCGCCCCCGTCGCCGCGCTCAGCGCGAACCACGTCGCCGCGTAACCCGAGTGTTGCTCGGGCGACACCGGAAACCGCATCAACTCCTCCTTCGTCGCCGCCGACGGGTACGTCGTCTCGTCCCCGCTCCCCGCGCGAATCGCCTGTATCAACGGCGCGTCTCTCGGTAACCCGCGCGACTCCGCCAACGCCGGCGCGTCCAACCAAAACCACCGATCTTCTCCCGGTTCATTCTCCGGCGTGAACCGCCCCTTTCGCTCGCTCCCGCGCACCACGCCCTCCGTCTTCGCGCACGCGCCCGCCGCCGCGTCCGCATCCGTCCACGCGTCCGGCGCCCATCCTCGCAGCAGCAGCACCGTCTCCGCCTCGCCCGCCGCCGCGCTCGCCCCCCGTCCAAACCATCCCTTTTTTTTCGCTCGCAATCGCACCGGCGTCACGATCAGGCTCCCCGGAACCGCGACGCCGCAGACGCTTCGCGCGCGCGGTCCCACGCGCGCCGTCCTCGCGAGGTCCATCTCGCCCTCGACGCGCGCGCGCGCGCCGTCGTCCGCGCCCGCGCGAATCCGCGACGCGTCGACGACGCGCTCGAGGCACGCCGCGCGCGCGGTCGTCGCGGCGAGCTTCTCCTCGCGCCGCGCGAGCTGCCACGCGCCGAGCGCGCCCGCGGCGACGGACGGCAGGAGCAGCGCCCAGGACGCGCGCGAGGTCTCGCGAGGCGTCGCGCGCGCGTCGGACGCGACGCCGCGTCGCGCGACGGCGCGCGCGACGCCGAGCGCGCGCGGGAGCGCGCGCGACGGCGTCATTCCGTCGCGCTTTCGGCGCGGCGAGGAATGCGATGAACGATTTCGCGCGACGCGCGGCGTCGCGAGCCGTCTTCGCGTCGACGCGCGATCGCGGGCGTCGACGCGCGCGACGGCGCGCGCGGTGGCGCGCTCGAAGCGCGCGCGACGCGCAGGGAGGGGCGAATTTCGAGCGATTGATTCGACGGAACGAGTGGTTGTTCCCGCAGCCCGAGCGAGACGACGAGCGCGAGGCGCTGGACGCGTTTTGGCTCGCCAAGGGCGCGCGCGACGAGCGCCAGCGCGCGCGGTTGGTGGCGATGGGCCGAGAGCTCGCGAGCGGGGTGGCGGAGCGAGAGCTGTACGGGGACGCGGACGCGCTGGGACACGCGACGAGACGACTCGAGGCGATGTTTCCGCGAGGCACGGACGTGGCGAAGATGCTGTGGCACTGCCCGGAGGTGCTGCAGCTACCGCTGAGCGAGGTCGCGCGGCGATTGATCGCGCTGAAGCGGGCGTTTCCGAGAGTGAACGCCGAACGGGTGCTGGAGGGAAATCCGCGCGCGTTGCTGATGGACGACCTCTCGGTCGTCGCGGACGCCGTGGATGAGCTCCAGCTCGAGTTCCCGCGCGTGGACATGGTCGCCGTGATTGAATTCGAGCCGCACGTCATTCAGCGGGCGCTTCCCGCGCGCGTGCGCGCGCTCAAATCCATCAAGCCGTGCGACCGCTCGGCGTCGCTTCGCGCGTTTTACCCGCCGCGCGTCGACGATCCTCCGTCGTTCGAGCCGATGAAGAACGCGCAGTTGTTCGCTAAAGTCTTTTTACTCACCACTGAGTGTTCGTTTCCGCGCGGAGACGTCTAGCGCGCGTTGTATCGTAGCATCATTAGCGTAGCGCGCGCTCGTCCCGCTCGGCGTCCCGCAGCCGCCACTTTACGCGCCATCGCGCGCCTCTCGTCGCTCGCCATGCCCTCCGACGACGCCGAGCCCGCGCGCGATGCGAAAGCGAAGCCTCAGACGTTCGAAGATCTCGGCGTGTGCGCCGAGCTCGCCGACGCGTGCGCGAAAATCATGGGTTGGCGCGCGCCGACGCCCATCCAGTGCGCCGCCGTCCCCGAGGCGCTGCGCGAGCGCGACGTCATCGGACTCGCGCAGACGGGGTCGGGAAAGACGGGCGCGTTCGCGTTACCGATACTGCAAAGCCTGCTGGACGCGCCGCAGGGATTCCACTCGTTGATACTGAGCCCGACGCGGGAGCTCGCGATGCAAATCGCAGAGCAAATCGAGACGCTGGGCGCGGGCGTCGGCGCGAGGACGGCGACGCTGGTGGGAGGCGTGGACATGACGACGCAGGCGATAAAGCTGGGAAAAAGACCGCACGTCATCGTCGGGACGCCGGGGCGAGTGGTGGATCACTTGGAGAACACGAAAGGGTTCAGTTTGCGCGCGCTCAAGGTGCTGGTGCTGGACGAGGCGGATAGGTTGTTGAATTTGGATTTCGAGGAGGAGATTGATAAGATATTGCGCGTGATTCCGAGCGATCGTCGCACGCAGTTGTTCAGCGCGACGATGACGAATAAGGTGGCGAAGTTACAGCGAGCGTGCCTGCGAGATCCGGTCAAGGTGGAGGTGAGCGCGAAGTACTCCACGGTGGAGTCGCTGAAGCAGCACTATCTCTTCATTCCGGCGAAGCACAAGGATTGTTACGCGACGTATCTGTTCAACGAACTCAGCGCGTCGACGCTGATCGTGTTCGCGCGGACGTGCGACGCGACGCGGAAATTGGCGCTCATCGCGAGGAATTTGGGGTTCGGCGCCGTGCCGATTCACGGGCAAATGTCGCAGCCCAAGCGCATCGCGGCTTTGCAAAAGTTTAAGAGCGGCGAGCGGAATATTCTCATCGCCACCGACGTCGCGTCGCGCGGTTTGGACATTCCCTCCGTAGATGTCGTCATCAACTATGACGTGCCACAAAATAGCAAGGATTACGTGCACAGAGTCGGTCGCACGGCGCGCGCCGGTCGCTCGGGATTGGCAGTGACCATGGTGACGCAATACGACGTCGAACTGTATCAAAAGATCGAGCGATTGATCAACAAGAAGTTGGACAAGTATCCGCTCGAAGAGGAGGCGGTTATGCTTTTATACGATCGCGTCAACGAGGCGCAGCGAATCGCGATTCAACAGATGCGCGACCAGGACGAGCGCAAGGGCAAGGGCGCCAAGCGCGGCTTCAAGGACGACGACGACGCCGACAAAATGCTAAACATTCTCGGGAAGAAGGATTACGGCGGCGGTGGCGGTCGGGCGCGCGTCACCAAGCAAAGCAAGCTCAACGGCGCGAAAGGTCCGCCGAGGCGTTTCTAGCGCGACACGAAAGAGATTCATTCTGTACATATTATTACCTCGAAATCGAAACGGCGCGCTCATTCGTCATCCTCTCCGAAAGACATCGCTCCGATTTTCGTCTTTTGTTTCTTGTTCTTGGACGCGCTTTGATCCTTCTCCTCGCCCTCGTCGTCCACGACCGCGATCGCGTCGCGATTCACCTTTCCGCTCGTCGGCCGCGCCGACGGCCCCATCGACGGCCCGATCGACGGCCCCATCGACGGCCCCATCGACGGCCCTATCGACGGTCCTATCGACGGCCCTATCGACGGCCCTATCGACGGTCCGACGTCCGCACCCCCGTCACCCCCTTCGCTCGCGCCCTCCACGTCCCCATCTCCGTCCTTCGCCTTCGCCTCCGCCGCCGCTCGCTCCACGACGTCTCGCGTCTCCGCCGCGCAATCCGCTCGACAACACTCCAAAACGCTCTTCCCCTTTTTGCTCACCCCCAGCGCGTTCACTCGCTTCTTCACCAAAAACTTGATCAAATCCACCCCCGCGTTCGCGCTCAGCGCCAAATGCAGCGCGTTTTCGCTCTTATACGTCATGGCGCGCGCGTTCGCGCCTCGCCTCGCCAGCGCCTTGGCCGCCGCGACGTTCCCCCTCGCGCACGCGAAGTGAAACGCCGTGAATCCGTCCATCGCCTCCGCGCTCACGCGCGCGCCGCGATCGCACAGAAGCTCGATCGCCTCCACGCCGTCGACGTGCGCGGCGAGGTGCAGCGGCGTTCGTCGCAGCGCGTCGACGCGATCGAGCAGCGTCGGATCGTTCGCGAGCGCAATCGCGAGCGCTCGCGCGTCGTTCGCGCGCGCGGCGTCGTGCGCGGACGTCGACGTCGCCCCGACACTTTTCGCGTCGCGTCGCATCGCGCCTCCGCGGCGCTCGATTCGCGTCGGCGCGCGCGCGGGCGGCGTGTGACGATTCGATATCGAATCCTCGGCCTCGCGACGACGTTCGCGGTCGCGACATAATCCGACGCCGACGCGCGCGCGACGCGCGTCCATCGTCGAGCGCGCGACGACGGAGGGAGAAAAAATGTTCTCGCCCGACGCGCGGCGATCCTTCGTCGAGCGCGTGGACGAGCGATTCCTGTGCCCGTGCTGTCGATTCGTGTTCACCGGGCCGACGCGGTTTCCGTGCGGGAACGCGCACGCGTTTTGTCTGGCGTGCGCGGAGACGTGGTTCGATTCGAGCGGCGCGCGCGGCGTGGCGAGAGCGGACGTGCCGTGTCCGATGTGCCGGTGCACGGCGCGCGGGAGCGGGCGGAGCGTGGAGCGGGACGACGCGCTGGAGGCGGCGCTGCGAGAGACGCGCGCGGCGTGCGACTGCGGCGCGTCGGTGGTTCTGTCCGAAGCGTCGAGGCATTACGAGACGTGCGAGATCACGCGAGCGATAACGGCGCCGAGGAGTGGGGCGCGAACGCCGTCGACGTCGAGACGACGCGTCGCGCGGGACGGAGGGCGAGGGAACGATGGGGCGGCGTCGTCCGACGCCGACGTCGAGATCGACGCCGACGAGATCGAAGCCGACGAGACGGACGTCGATGAGATGTATTCCGGGTTTCTCTGCACGCTCTGCGCCGCGGCGTTTCTACGAGAATCGGGTGACCTGGACGACGACGCGCAGAGCGAGGCTCACAACGGAACGTCGATGCGCGAAGCCATCGAGCGGGCGCGACTCGCCGACGATCTCCCGGACGCGTGCTATCTCGACTCCATGACGGCGTTCGCCGATCACGTCCTCGCCGATCACGACGAACCGGACGCCCACTCGCCCGACGTGTGCCCCATTTGCGTCAGTCTTCCTCACGGCGATCCAGACCGCGTCGTCGCGGATCTGTACGAGCATCTGCGCCGTCGACACGGTTTCGACTGGACCCTCTACGCGCCCGATCCGCGCGCCGACGAGTACGAAATCTTAGCGCGCGTCATGCGCGACAGCCTTCGCGACGCCGCGCCGCGCGTCAACGCCGACGATTGATCCCTCGCCTCGCGATTCGCCGCGATCGCGCCGCGCGCCGCGATGTAACGACCGTTTCCGCGCGCCGCGTCGCCGTTTCGGTTCGCCGCGTCAGATGTACGTAAAGTTCGCTTTTTCGGGATTGAATCGTTCTGCGCGGCTACGGCGCGTTGAATTTATGTTACATGTGAGCCGCGAGAGACGAGCGAGTTTCTTCGACGGCGGCGTCGCGCGCTCACTTGACTTTACCGTCGCGAATTTGCTGGTACATGTCGATGGTTTGGTGCATGAGCAGTTTGCGAATGTTTTGCCCTTCGTCTCGCATGTGTTCTTCTAAGAGCGAACGAAGCGAGCCCAGAGGCGGAGGCGTGGATTCCGTGGGCTGGTTCAACAAGCGATCGAAGACAACTTCCCAGAGTTCCGTCTTCCAGTAACGCCGAAGCGGCTGGCGTTGTCTGTACGCGTTCGTTGTCCCGGGCGCGAGCTCGACTTCCATGTATGAGCCGTAAAGCAAGCAGTGAATGGTGGAAGCGATCGCGTAACAGTCGGCTTGGTACGTCCAAGGTTTACCTTGCATCATTTCGATGCATCGGAAAGCTTCGGCGCCGGCGTCGCCGACGAAAGCGGCCTCCTCGGGGTACATTAACAAATCGATGGCGCGACCGAAATCGATGAGTGCGAGACCTTTTTCAGTCCATGATCCCGGGCGATGAGGCGCCCAGTCACACCAATCATCACCACCGTTGCGCAATAACAGATTGTCCGGCTTCAAATCGGCGTGAACGATGCCAGCTCCGTGGATCCATTCGACCAAACGAAGCATCTCCACGGCGTAATACATCACGAGCGTTTCGTGCATTTGTTTGCCTTCGCGCAAATACGAATTCAAAACGTCTTGCAGAGTACCATGCTCGCCAAACGGCATGACAAGTACACCCATAGTAGCATCATTGCCGTCGTGTTCGCGTCCGCCGAGTAGGTGCAGCGCCGTCGGTTGCGCCCAGTTCACGGCGGCCGAAGCTTCGGCGGGAAGACGTTCGAGCAATCTTCGAGCGACGACAAACTCCCATTTCGCGTACCGAGCTTCTTGAACCTTCAACGCATACGCACCAACATCTTCTTCGCTAGACACGCGCGCCTTGCTTTCCAATTCAGCTTCGTAAACTTCTGCGTGCGCACCTTCGCCGACGCGTCCCTTGAAAACGAAGGAAACGTCACCGAGCGTAACTGAGACCCCCGCCGCGGCTCGTTTGCCACTTTTGCTCACGCATTTAGCGGCAGCCGATAGAGTTTCTACTCTCGAAGACTTCAAGTCGATGTACACATCGTTCTCGACGCATAATTCAAGCGAGTTGAGATGCTCGTCCAGGGCTTCGGCATTGAAGGGATTGATGAGCTGCAACTGCGCGAGCGCCGGACGCTTCTTCATGCTCGAAATCCTTGGTGTAGATTCTCGGAACTCAGTGTTCGGCGTCGATCGCAAACCAAGAGGACGTCGTGCGGGTCGAGAGGCGTTCGACGCGGGCGTCACCGTCATCGAAGCTAGTTTCGGTAGACACTCGGTATCCTCGCGGATGCTCAGCTCTCCGAGATTGCTCGGAATAGCCACCGTATCTTCGCGAATGAATAACCCTCCATCTTCGGAGTGATCGAGCGCCATCGGTTTGCGAGACTCAGCGAGACGTGCGGCGAGCATTTCCTTGGAAAGCACGCACGTATCTTCGCGAATGCATAGTCCGCAGTCGTCTTCCTCCGCCGGCTTTGGCTGTTGCGTGGCTTGCTTGGCGTTCGCCGCAGCTAAACCTTCGGCGCCGCTCAAGTCGGCATCATACCCACCTTCGCCTACGGCTACAGAGTCTGAAAACATGCTCATAATATCACCCCACGCTTCCTTGGTACAAATCGTCATCGTTGGATCGTGGTTCGCCGCACGCGTGCCCTCCTCGTCCGCCGTCCATCGGGCGCCAGCGCGTACCTTGTTCACCAACGCCGGCCTCTTTGCCTGCGGCGACTTTTCGCGAGAAATCACCGATCCAGCTTCTGATGGCTCACTCGCGCACGACCCAGTGCGAGATCCAACGGGTGGCGGTGGAGCCACGTACGTTCGCTTGGAGACGATTTCATCGTCCTTTGCCGCCTTCGCGGGCTTCACGAGTGATGTCGCGTGATCTCGCGTCGCCTGCGTGGCGAGCTGTGGAAGATCACCACTTATTTCAGTGACGTTTCCATCCATATCGACGTCCATATCCATCTCCATCGTTGGTTCTAGTTCGACGAGCGCCTCGGAGGTCGTACGTGGCTTGCGCGTCGGACCGTTGGCGCGCACCCACGCTGCTGCTCGAATTTCCTCGTAGCACAACTCCTCGCCATCCTCCGATCGTAGGTGCGCAGGTTTGAATCCACGATACTTGCTCTTCGGTCGCTCGCCAGGCGCTAGCGGAGGCTGGCCACCAGAGTGGTACAGCATCGGATTTCGACTCAAATCGACCTCACCGTCAACGCGCTGTCGCAACGAACCAACGTCGCGCTCCGTTGCTGCCGTGGCTGCCTTCACGTCGCTCGCCTTCAAGCACTCAGTGTCTTCAAAAACCGCAATCTCATCGCTGGGCACCGTCACTTTTCGTTTGCTTTGCGTCGCTCGTTGACCGGCCCACGTCGTCGCCTGCGCGGTGTTTTCCTTGCGCACATCCTTGTACCCGCCCAAGTTTTTCCATCGCCCCGTCGTCGTCGCCTCTCCGGGAGTGGGCGCACCGTTTTCGGCGTCATCGTAAACGTCTAAACCGCCAACGTTTCCTTGCGCGTTCGAAGTCTGAGCTTGTGGTGTAGATTGAGTCGCGCCGCGCGTCGGTCCTGATAAGCCGCCGCGCGCCTGGCGCGCGCCCGTCGTCGACTCGCCTCTACGAGAGCTCACTCCCCCTCCGCTTCGTGATCGCGCCTTGAGCGTGTCTCCAAAGTTACGAACGATCTCTTCTCCTTCGTTCTCGTCGATCTCGCCGCTCTCGATGCGCTTCTGCGTTCGACGAACCATTCGATGCTGAAACGCGGCGTACGACGCGCGCAGGCGCTCGAGCGGCTCTGCGCGCATCTCAATCCCGCGCTCGTACTGCTCATTCGCCGCCCCGTACGCTTGACGAACCTCTAAAAACGCCCCATACGCCTCGTAATACAGCGCCTGTCGCTGCCCGATCGCGTTCGCCTTCAAAAACTTGAAAATATCCCCCGGCTCGGCGCAACAATCCGCGTACTTGATCCACACTCGCAAATACCGCGCGTCCTCCTTATACGCCTCCACCTCCTGCAGCTCTCGCGTGCATCGCTCCAGCACCGGCAAAAGCTCTCTCTCCCGTCCGTTTCCCGTCGCGTACGTCTGCTCCGTCCACTTGATCAACCCGCACCACGCCCCCAACGCGTCGTCGTCCGCGCCCCGCGCCCTCGTCGCCGCCGCCCACATCTTCGCCCTCGTCGCCTCCCGCGCCTCCGCCTCTCGATCCCCGCCTCGCGTCGTCGCCCGCAGCGCGTCCCGCAGCGCGCACCCATCCCGTCCCCGTCGCGCCGGCTGCACGTTCTCCTTCGCGTGCTCCCACGCGAACTCGACGTCGCCGTCGCGCGCGATGCGATTCGTATCCCGCGGCGTCAACGCGCCGTCCTCGCGCGCCATCGCGCGCGTCGCGCCGATCCCGTCGCGACGAATCGACGCGATCGCGCGCGAATCCCGTCGCGACGCGACGCGTCGGTCGCGCGCGCCGTCGTCGCCGCCGTCGCGCGTCGCGGTCTCGCGCGTCGGCGCGCGAATCGCCGTTCGTTCCCCTCGCGCGATCGATCCCGAATTCAAGGGCGCGAGTACGACTATGTATATCGTACTGTACGTACAAAAAGCCCCAGATCTTCGAACGCGTCACGCGTCGTCCGATCCGGGGTGGCGCCACATGTCCTTAAATTGAATAAAAGGCGGGAAGAATGTCGTATAAAAAGATGGCGCGCGCGCGCGCATCGGCGCCCGATCCGATCGACGCGCTTGCGCCGCACACGACGCCCCGATGCACGCCGCGACCGCACGCCCGACCGTCACCGCGCGCGCCTCGAGCGCGCGCGCGACGAAGAACCAACGCACCGTTCGGTGCGCGGCCGCGCCGAGCGCGAAGCGCGTCGAGACGGAACAAAAGGTGCGACCGCGACGAGGACGACGCGCGCGACCGCGACGCGACGACGCGATCGGGGGGCGGCGCGCGCGCGGACGCGCGGAGGCGCGCGCGACGTCGATGGAGGGCTCGAAGCGCGCGCGCGCGATGGGGAGGATTTTGATCGCGCGGACGCGGGCGCTCGAGAGGGCGGGCGCGGGACGGACGCGATCGGGGGGGGCGATGAAGGCGCGACGCGAGCCCTCGATCGGGTCGCGATCGGCGCGCGCGGGACGAGGCGTCGACGGGGGGACGCGCGCGAGGGCGACGAGGACGACCGCGCGCGATCGATGGGTGGAGGAAACGCGCGCGCGTTGGATTCGGCGGCGCGCGGCGTCGGGCGCGCGGGCGTCGGGCGCGGGCGGGGGGGGACGCGGCGCGGCGGTGGATAAGGAACGGCGCGGCGGCGCGACGCGAGGCGAGGGGCCTCGATCGCGGTCGCGCCGAGGTTTGGGATCGATGGGAACGGGGCGTGGGATGCGCCGTGGCGCGCGCGGTGTGCGCGAGAGACTGACGAGAGCGCGACGTCGCGTTTGAATGCGTAGGTTGCGCTGAGCGCCGCCGCGGCGAGCGTCGCCGCGCAAATCGTGTCCGCGGCGCCGGCGTCCGCCGCCGTCGTCGAGGCGGTCGGCCAAGTGGCTGAGGGTGAACCGTTCATCGTGCAAGTGGCGTGGGCCGCCATCATGGCGACGTTTTCCTTCTCCCTCGCCTTGGTCGTCTGGGGTCGTTCCGGGCTGTAAGCGCCGCCCGAACGAGTCTCGAGCGCGCCTCGTCGCGTCGTCGGTTCCATCGCGCGCGTTCGCTCGGTGCGCGCGTCATCGCGACGCGCGAGCATCACCGAGCGCGTTGGCGTTCGATCGAATCGACGGCGCGTCGTCACATACATAGATATTCGCTTTCCCAATCTCTCCGCGCGTCCCGAAGATTGTAGTAATCAGCCCTCTGGAAGTCGCACACCCGCGCGCGGCGAGCGTCGCGCGATCGCGAGCGCCCGCGGCGCGAGCGGCGAAACCGTCGCCCTCGCGCGGCTCGATGTTCGCCGCGCTGAGCGCGCGCGCGCGCGCGCGTCAAAACGACGACGCGATTCCGGCTTGGCAATCGAAAGCCAAGTCGCGCAAGCGCGCGCGCGACGACGGCGATAAGAGCGCGAACGACGACGACTCGAGAGCCAGCGAGACGGGAACGATATATCTCACGGTCGAGTGGCTGTCGCGCACGCGGGGACGCTCGAATGAGTTGTTCGCGGAGACGCCGCAGTGCGCGGACGTCGCGATCGAGGTGAGCGAGAGCGTCACGGGACGAGCGCTCGTGGAGGCGTGCGTGCAGTTGCCACCGGGCGCGACGGACGCGATGTCGCTGTTGCAGTGGGGGAATTTGAAGCTGGACGATGGGGTTTTACACGGGCAGGAAGACGGAGGGTGGTCGTTGGACGTGCGAGCGACGCCGCCGGTGAGGCTAAAGCTGACGGTGCCAAACGGGACGCTGTTGAAGCATCCAGCGCTGGTGAAGGAGACGCGAGGGAAGCAAAGCGTGCCGAAGGAGCTTCTCTCCGATGCGAACGCGCTCAAGGAGGACTTAAACGATCCTTCGAGCGTGAGTAAGGAGACAGACAAGGCGGAGGTGGTGGAGCGGAGTCGACGAGCGTTGCATCCGGGACGAACCGACGATCACGGCATCGCGGCGCTTTTGAACGATCACAAAGTGTTTTATGGGAAAAAGGCGAACATGGGCTCGTTCGTGGACGTGGGCTCGGGATGCGGATCTCTAGCGGCCGGTCTAGCGCGCGCGTTCCCGGGTATCAACGTGTGCGGCATCGAGTGCCAAGACGAGTTGATTAATCAATCGCGCTTGAGATTTCGCGACGTCGATTTCATTCACGATCAAGCAGAGAATGTGTTGCACACGTGTCGCAGCGCCAAAGTGGTCCTGGCGACGACGCAGAATTTCGACTACGAGACGACGAATTACATATTGCGCGTCGCCGCCGAGCTCCCGCTCCTCACGCACTTGATAATCAACGAGCCGTACCTGTGTCGACCGGCGTGTCGCACCAACCTAAAGCTGTGCTGCTGCTTCGAACCATTAGAAACGCGAGAGATCAAAACGCACTGGGGGAATTCGACCCTGAGCTTTACCATTTACAAACGTCACGTGCGTTGGCCGTACGGCGCCAACGCGTTGCCTCGAGGCGCCGACACCGCCGTCGCTTTGATGGAAGGGAACGTCAACGAAATGTTCTTGAAAAAAACCGACAACTCGCAAGAGAACTCGGTGGACTAGCCGTTCGCACATCGCTTAGAATTTGAAATGGTTTCGCCTAGTATTCAGAACGCGCCGTCTTCGTCTCGGCTTGACGCCGGCCAACCGCCTCACTTCACCGCGCGCTTCGTGACGCGCCCGCGCGCGACGATGTCGTCAGCGCCCCCTCCGGCGGTGCAGAAGAACAAATCCAAGGAATTTTACGATTTGGTTCGACGTATAGGTGAGAGAACGCGACGGAGATGTCGCGAAAGCGAGTGAGATTGTCCCGCTGCGTGCGATTGTCCCGCGACAATGCATCGACGACTGACGCGCGCGCGCGCGCGAAATATCCAAACAGGGGAGTGTAAGAGCAAGACAGATGAAGACGTCATCATGCAGCGCGAGTCGATGTACCTTCGAGCGCTGCTACAGCAGCCCAAGATTGATAAAATGAAGATCAAGGAAGTCATGCTGCGGTTGATGTATCTGGAAATGCTCGGTCACGACGCGTCGTTCGGACACATACACGCGGTGAAAGCGTGCGTGGAGAGCGACATCGCGATAAAACGAGCGGGGTACCTGGCGACGACGTCGTTTTTAAACGAAGATCACGATTTGATCATTTTAATCGTGAACACGGTGCAGCAAGATTTAAAGAGCGATGATTATTTGGTCGTGTGCGCGGCGTTGACGGCCATCATGCGGTTGGTGAACGAGGATACGGTGCCGGCGGTGTTGCCGCAAGTTACATCATTGCTCATGCATCCCGTGGCCCACGTGCGGAAGAAGGCGGTGATGGCACTCATGCGATTTTATCAAAAGAGTCCGCAGAGTGTGAGTCATTTACACGGCAAGTTTCGAGAGATGATTTGCGATAAGGATCCAAGCGTCATGTCCGCGGCTGTGTGTGCTTTACACGAACTGGTGGCGCACGATCCCGAACCACACAAGAATTTGTCGTCGAGCTTCGTGAGCGTGCTCAAGCAAGTCATCGATCGAAGATTACCAAAGTCGTACGAATACCACAGGACGCCGGCTCCGTTTGTGCAAATCAAGTTATTGAAGATATTAGCAATCTTAGGCGCTCATGACAAGACCACGAGCAGCGAGATGTATAATGTTTTGGAAGACACGCTCGCGCGGGCGACAGACTCTAAGAACCAAATAGGTAACGCTCTGGTGTACGAATCGGTGAGGACAATCACAAGCATCTATCCAAACCCGCAATTGTTGGCGCAGTGCGCGATGGTGATATCTCGGTTCATCAAGAGCTCAAACAACAATTTGAAATATGCTGGCTTGAATACACTGGCATGTATAGTAAACGTCAATCCGCAGTACGCGGCAGAGCATCAGATGGCGGTCGTGGACTGCTTGGAAGACTCCGACGAGACGTTGCGCAAAAAGACGCTCGACTTGCTCTACAAGATGACAAAACCAAACAACGTGGAGGTGATCGTCGAGCGTATGTTGGCCTTTTTGAAACGGGACGGCGACAAATATAGCGATCAGTACGTGCGAGAGGAGACGGCTTCACGTGTCGCAGAACTCGCGGAGAGATATGCCCCCGACGCAAAGTGGTACGTGGAAGTCATGACGGAACTCTTTGAGACGGCGGGCGACGTGGTAAAGCCATCCATCGGTCAGGGTTTAATGCGTCTATTAGCTGAAGGCACGGGAGATGATGCTATCGATGATCTTTCGCGCAAATCTGCCGTTAATGCGTACGTGAATTTGCTTCACAAGCCAAAACTTCCTCTCGTCTTGTTGAAGACGATGGTTTGGGTCCTCGGCGAGCTCGGGGAACTGAGCGGTCGGAACGCCGAGACGCTGATGGACATGCTCGTTGAAGTCACGGAGAAGCAAATTCATGGCCCCGCAGTTGAGACTTTAGTTTTGAGCGCCATAGCGAAGATAGCACGTCGCGCCAGTGGTGGGTTGAGCCCAAACGCGCGCGCATTCGTCGAGCAAAACGCGAAGAGCAAATTCGTAGAGAAGCAGCAACGTGCGCTCGAAGTCGATGTGCTCGTGGGTGAGGAGACGCAGATACTTTCGGGTGTCATCGCACCTTCCGCAGTAGATGTCAACGTGGATGCATCGCTGAGTATGCTGAATCAATACGTCTCAAATGCGCTCGCAAACGGTGCAAAGCCGTACCAGGAAAAGGCGCAACGAGACGCTGCGGCGGCGGCGGACGCCGAGGCACGCGTGCGTGCCATCGAGTCTCGAATGAAAGACACTACGAATGCATCGCGTGGGACGGGTCCTTTAGTGTTTGAGCATCATCAAACGACGCACTCGTCGGATATCGTCCCAGAAGGACTGCCGCCACCAATTCGACCCGCGGCGGCGGCGGCGCGAAAGAATGACTTGGAGTCGTTCCTCGGCGGGTTTGAGAACGTGCCCGCTCAACCGTCCGTTCGGCCACCAGAACACACGGCGGATGATACGAAGATGAAACTCGCAGACGCATTGTTCGGCGATGCGCCTGCCCCCACGCGCGCGAAAGAAGCAATCACGCCATTTGCGCCCCCACCGAGAGGCGCTGCGACGATGAAATCCGCTCAAGCGTCGCCACCGGCTGTGGATCTCTTATCGGAACTCGTCGTGCCCACGACGAGCGCAGCTCAAGCGTCAACATCCGTTGATCTACTTGCACAGGTAGATTTGATGTCCTTGACGCCTCCGAAGGCAACGCCGCCGAAGACGGGCGGTCAGGTTTCCTTGAGCGGAGGCACCGCGAAGGGAACGTCCGTAAAGGATCCTTTCGCCGATCTCTTTCCGCAAAACTAGCTTCCGTTCGCGTGTAACATGATTTTAGATTGATAAGCTCACAGGTTATGTGTTACAAGCTTGCATTTTCGAGCGATGCTCTGTCGAGAGCGCAACGTTCTCGGAGGACTAAATACTATGTGTTTGTTGTCGAGTTCGTGAATCGGAGACTTGACGCAGCTCTTGCGAAATGTCTACTTCTTCTTCGCGGCAGCCTTTTGCATGTCTTCGAACTGACGAAGACCCGGGCCGAGAATGTTGTACGCCACCCAGCCGAGAACCGGGGCGAACACAAAAAAGATGGCGATGCGGCCATCGATGCCGGCGAGCTCACCGAGCTGTTCCGCAGCGTCGGAGGCTTCCGGCATGCCCATCAAAGCGGCAGCCGAGAGACCCGCACCCGCGAGCACACCCTTCTTCTTCGCGGCAGCCTTTTGCATGTCTTCGAACTGACGAAGACCCGGGCCGAGAATGTTGTACGCCACCCAGCCGAGAACCGGGGCGAACACAAAAAAGATGGCGATGCGGCCATCGATGCCAGCGAGGGTGCCAATTTCTTGAGCCGCATCAGACGCTTCCGGCATGCCCATCAAAGCGGCAGCCGAGAGACCCGCACCCGCGAGCACACCCTTCTTCTTCGCGGCAGCCTTTTGCATGTCTTCGAACTGACGAAGACCCGGGCCGAGAATGTTGTACGCCACCCAGCCGAGAACCGGGGCGAACACAAAAAAGATGGCGATGCGGCCATCGATGCCGGCGAGCTCACCGAGCTGTTCCGCAGCGTCGGAGGCTTCCGGCATGCCCATCAAAGCGGCAGCCGAGAGACCCGCACCCGCGAGCACACCCTTCTTCTTCGCGGCAGCCTTTTGCATGTCTTCGAACTGACGAAGACCCGGGCCGAGAATGTTGTACGCCACCCAGCCGAGAACCGGGGCGAACACAAAAAAGATGGCGATGCGGCCATCGATGCCGGCAAGATCCGCAACGTTTTGAGCCGCATCAGACGCTTCCGGCATGCCCATCAAGGCACTCGCCGTCAAGCCGCCCGCCAGCGCGCCGGCGGCGCGCTTCTTGCTCGACTTTGCGTTCACCGCTTGCATGTTTTCAAGCTGTCTCAACCCCGGGGAGAGAATGTTATACGCCACCCAACCCAAGACCGGTCCAAACACCGCCAAGAAGATGAGCGGGCGTCCATCGAGCGCGGTTTGCATCAACTCTTGCGCCGCGTCGGCGCGATCCGCGAAAAACATGGAAGCCGCCGTCGCCATAGCCGCCGTCTACGATCGCGAAAGCACCGCATCGCGCGTCACGTCGTCAGTCATTCGTTCACACATTTTACCTTTCGCCCTTTCTCCGCCCTCACGCGTCGCATCGCCGTCAGCGTTCGACCGAACGCGTCGTTTTCCAGCGCGCGCCATTTATCCAGATATCGATCGCACCCCCGTCCGATCGATCGCTTCGTCGCCCTCGCGCGTCCATCGACGCCCGCGCGCGTTCGCGCGTCCTACCGCGCGACGCATCGAATTCTTGCGCATCGCGCCCGCGGTCGTTCGCGCGCACCTGTCCTCGTCTGACGACGTCGTCGTCCGTCGCGAATTCATCCTCGACGACCGCGGACGTCCGCGCGCGCGCGATGACGCGCGCGCTTTGCGCCGTGCGCGCCGTGCGCCTCGCGCGCGCGGGCGCGCGGGCGGGGAGCGTGATTTGCGTGCGCGTCAACGTGAGCATCGTGTGCGGCGCGGTGTGTCGCGCGCGTCGTCGCCGAGTGTCGATCGCGTCGCGCCCGCGATCCGAACGGTGGGCGGATACGAGCGGATCTCGACCTCGATCGTCGTATTCCGCGGGTTTTTGATGGTGATTTATAAGTGTCGTGTCACTGAATGCTCGTACGACGTGTGATGATTGATGGTTTTGACGTTGGTTCGCGATTACACGCGCGGACGAGCTCTCGTCGTCGCGATGAGGCGAATGTTGTATCGGCGTGCGCGACTCGAGAAACGCGCGGGCGCGCGGTGGGACGAACGCCCGGACCGCGACACGCGCGCGCGGTGGTCTCGAGATGCGACGCGCGTCGGCTAGCTCTACTACTTTTGGTTTGAAATTCTCCTCCGTCTCTTCTCTTCTCTTCTCTCTCTTCTCCTCTCCTCTGTCTCCGTCTCCGCGCGCGCGCGCTGCGTTTCCCTCTTTCTCTCTCCCCTCTGTGTGTGTGTTTCTATTTGGTGCTGATCGCTCTATTTTTTCCCCTTGGCCGCCGGGAGCGCCTTGGGCGCCGCGGCGGCTTCGTCCGGCTGCGCGAGCTTTTTAAACTCTGTGAGCACGGGGTATATATTCTCGAACGCCTGGTATATATCCTCGCGACGCTTGCCGCCGGTCAACACAATCTTCCCCGACACGAAGATTAAGAGCACAATCTTGGGCATTTGCATGCGGTAAATCAAACCCGGAAAGAGTTCGGGCTCGTACTGCGCGAAGTGGCCGTGCTGCCAAGCCAAGCCTTCCAATCGAATCGGAAACTGCACGTCGCACGAACCGACCATGTTTTGAATCTTAAAGTCTTTGAATTGCGCGGGAAATCCGAGCTTGATGATGACCTTGGCGTATTTTCGCGCCGCCTCGCGCGCCAACGCCTCCGTCTTCGCGCCCGTGCACACCATCTTGCCCGAGCTGAAAATCAACGCCGTCGTCTTCGGATTACGAATCCGCATGATCGCCGCCGCGAATCGCTACGCGCATTCAAACCACCGTCGTTCGTCGTCAGTCATCGTCGCACCCATCGCGCGCGTTTCGCGCGTCTCTCGCCGCGTCGCCTTAGGGTTGCCGCACCTTTGGATTATACTCGACGTTTCTCGCGTGAAACGCGATCGTCTTCAGATCCAGCTTACAGTCCAGGTTCACCGTCGCCACGATATTCCTACGCGCGCGCATCGCGTCGTCAGTCCATCGCCCTCGCGACGCTCGCTTCGCCTTCGTCCGCGCCGCTTCCCGCGCGCGCCGAATGCGTCGCGCCAATTGAATTCCGCGCCGAATGAATTCCCTCGCCGCGCCTCCCCGACGCCGCGCTCTTCCGCGCGTCGAGCGCCGCGCGCGAGTGCGCGCGGGTTTTCGCCTCGCTCGACACGCACTGCAGCACCGGCACGATCCCGCTCGGGTGCACGCTCCGGTCGACCGCGTCCTCGCCCGCCTCGACGATCGCGGTGAGATCTTCGTCCTCCGCGTCGCTCATCGCGCGCTCGCGATCGCGCGTCGACGCGTCGGATCGGCGCGCCGCGATCGCGCGCGTCGAGACGCCGTCGACGACGCGCGCGAGACGACGCGACGGACGCCGCGCGACGCCGAGTGCGGATTCGATCGACGCGCGGCACTCGACGTCGACGCGCGGCGCGCGCGCGCGCGCGGCGATGGACGACGGCGAGATCGTGGGACAGATCGGGGAGGGCGCGTTCGGACGCGTGATGTACGCGCGGACGACGGCGGGTGCGCGCGAGGCGCGGCGCGACGGATGATTCGCGACGCGATCGAACGACGAGGGCGCGCGAGGACGCGACGAGGGCGCGAGGACTGACGGGACGCGCGCGCGCGCGCTTGATGCAGGTCGAGTGTACGCGATTAAGACGTTCAAGACGCCGCCCGTGCGACGGGACGCGAAGACGGGGGCGATCGCGAGGGATCAAGTCGTGGGACTGCCGACGCCGACGTTTCGCGAGGTGACGACGCTGCGAGCGATGAAGCACGAAAACATCGTGCACTTGCACCGGGTGATCGTGAATAAGGAGGAACGGTCGCTGTCGTTGGCGATAGATTACGCGGAGTACGATTTGGGGGTGATATTGACGTGGCATCGAAGGCATCGACGGTTGGTGTCGAGACGGATGGTGAAGAGCGCGACGTGGCAGTTGTTGCACGGATTGCATTATTTGCACTCGAATTGGATCATGCACAGGGACATAAAGCCGCAAAACGTGCTCGTGATGGGCGATGGGAGCGAGTGCGGGGTGGTGAAGATTGCCGATTTCGGTTTGGCGCGGTTCGTGGACCCGGGGACTTTGCTCAAGCCGTTGCACGAAAACGGACCAGTGGTGACTTTGTGGTATCGCGCGCCCGAGCTGTTGCTCGGGGCGCGACATTACACGCGTGCGGTCGACATTTGGGCCGCTGGGTGCATTTTCGCCGAACTCTGCACGCTCGTCGTGCCGTTCAAGGGCGTGCCGAAGGGTAAGGAGGACCCGAGAACGATGTACCAAGAGGAGCAAATCGAAGCCATCGTGAGATGCAAAGGCACGCCGAGCGAAGAGACGTGGCCTTTGCTCAGGGAACATCCGTATTACGAACGCGCGAAGAAGTTCTTTTATCCGCCCGAGCACCCCGAGGGCGTTCCCGCGGACGAAAGCTCGCCGATGCGGAGCGATCCCGAACTCGCCGCCGTCTTCGACGAGCTCTGCGCGTACGACCCCGAGCGACGTCCGACGGCGTTCGAGGCGCTCACGGCCATGGATTACTTCGCCAAGACCGAACCGGAGCCGACGAGGAACATATTTGATTACGAACTCGCCGCTGGCGAGCACAGAATCGTGTATCCACACCGTAAGATCACGCACGAGGGCGACAAACCGCCCGACGACGAGGCGAAGCCCGCGAGACACGACGCCAAGCGCGCGAAGCGTCAGTAGCGCGCGTTAGACGAGAACACACAAAACATAGCGACATAGCATTTCTTTTAGCGAATAGCGATCGGCAGCGCGCACATTAGACTATACAGATATCATTTCATGAGAATACACTACGCGCGCCCGCTCGTTCGCCGCTTCGACGTCGTCGCTACTTCTTCGGCGCGTACTTCTCATCCGTCACCCAACTAAACGTCCGCATCTCCTTCAACAACGCCTCCTTCTTCGCGTTCGCGTGCTCCTCGTTCCTTCTCTGCCGTTCGTTCTCGATCTCGTTCTCGCGTCGATACTCCTTCTTGTGGTGCAAGCACTCCACGTAATCCTCGCGAAACTTAAAGCACGCGCTTCGATCGTCCGCCTCGTTCACGCACTGCGCGTCGTCGTCGTTCGTCAGTCTCTCGTCGTTCGATTCGCGCTCGCGCGTTCGCGCGCGTCGTCGTCGTCGTCGTCGTCGTCGTCGTCGTCGTCGTTCGTTCGCGTCGATCGTTTAGGGCTCGTCGCGCGTCCGCGCGCCCTCGCGCGCGCCTCGCGCGCGCGCGCACCTTGGTGAACTCGCGCCAGACCGGCGCGCATCGCCCCTCGCTCCCGCGCGCGCCGAATCCGCTCGCCATCGCCGGCGCGTCGCGCGCGCGCGTGTGCCGAGCGGCGCGGTTCGCGTCGCCATCGCGCGACGCGATGGACGACTCGTTCGCGTCCGCGCGCGGCGAGCTGGAGGACGACGGCGACGGCGACGACGATCGCGCGCGCGTCGACGGCGCGCGACGGCGCGTCGACGGCGCGCGCGCGTCGGGACGCGAGGGCGATGATTTCGGCGACGACGACGACGAGGACGACGAGGACGACGACGACGACGTCGGCGCGCTGCTGGCGTCGACGACGCGGTCGCTGACTGAAAAACTGCGGCAGACGTGCGACGCGCTGCGCGAGAGCGAGCGTCGACGGACGCGAGGGGAAGAGGACGCGGCGGCGGCGAGGCGAGCGACGCGCGACGCGTCGGACGCGCTCGAGCGCGAGCGCGAGGCGCGGCTCGACGCGGAGCGGCGCGCGAGGGACGCCGAGCGAGCGTTGGATGAGACGAGGACGCGTGGGGCGGGAGACGTGGAGTCGCTGCGAAGGGAGCTCAGGGAGGCGAGGACGGCGGGGACGAATCGCGCCGAGGCGGACGCGCGCGCGTACGACGTCGCCGAGGCGCGAGCGGTGGCGAGCGTGGCGGTGGCGGACTTAGAGCGCGCGCGTCGCGAGTTCGCGAAGGAGTGGAGGACGCGGGAGATGGAGTACGAGGCGACGGTGCGCGATTTAGAGCGTCGGGTGTCGAGCTTGAACGCGCGACTGGCGGCGACGAGCGACGACGTCGAGCGCGCGCTCGAACGCGCGTCGGCGAGACGGCACTCGACGCCGTCGCCGACGATGAAATCGCCGCCGTCGAAGATGGCGTCGCCGCAAAGCGTCGACGTGGGTGAACTTCGAGAGCGACTGAGTGAGGAACAGGAGAGCCGAGTCGCGACGCACGCCAAGATTTTGGATTTATGTCGCGGTAGACGCGAGATGGCGCGCGAGATTTTAGATTTGTCGTCGTGCGACGTCGGTCGGGGCGAAGCAGAGAACACCCACACGGCGCTCGCGCGCGCGAGGGCTCACCGCGCCGAGGCGGAAGCGCTCGCCGCCGCGCTCGCCGAACGCGTCGACGTCCTCGAGCGCGCTCGCGTCGTCGATCTTCGCGACCTCGCCGCCGCGACGGCGTCGCTCGCGTCGCCGATCGCGTGAAAACGTGTAATGTTATGTAAATGTATGTAAATGTATGCCGCGGCACGCATCGAAGGTTGACGCTTGAAATCGTTCGCGAACCGTCGAGCGCCGTCGACGCGAAGCGCGTCAAATGTGCAAAGTCCACCGTTCGGGCGCTTAAATCGCGTCCGATGTCGACGAAAAGTTGGGAAAAGCTGGAGAACGAAAAGTTCTCGCCGTCGGCGCGAAAAGCATAAAGAAACCAAGCGATACCGGGGGTTCCTGACGTCTTCCGACATCGGTACTTATCCGGCCCACGCGGTCTTAACTGAGAAGTTCCGATGGGTTTCTGTGATTTTCCGCGGGTGTGGTCGCTTGATAACACCACGTGACGCACGACCCTTTAGCCGCGCACCACGCGGGGTCACGGCGCGAACGTTACGGGTACTTTTGACGCCGTGTCGGTACTTTAAGAGTCGAAAACCTATACATTCACAAAATGCACCCCTCAATTATCGCGTCATCGCATCGCCGCTCGCGATTAGGCGCTTAAAAACCTCGATGTACGTGAATGCATCGCCCTTTTTTCCTTTCGTTCCCTTTTCCACCCCCCCCCACCGCGCGCGCGCTCGAGATCGCCGATCGGCGAAAAACGAAAAACTCAACACGAAAACCGTGAGACCCCCCCCGGCGACCGACCAAAATTAACACACGGACGTCAGAAAATATCCACGTCGCACTGTTTACCCACACGCACCCGCCGATTCGATCCGAGGTGCCGCGCGCCCGTTGCCTCGGCACACGCGCGCGCTCGACCGCGCCGCCCGCCGCCGCCCGCGGCGCGCCCGCGACGCGCGCGACGCGCCCTCGAGCCGCGCGAACGCCCGAAACGCGAATCCGCGCGCTCGAGGCGTCGCGAACGCGTCGAACGCGGACGCGGACGCGCGAAGAGATAGCTCGCGACGCGTCGATCTTTCGTCGCGCGCGACGCGGTTCGCGATGCCGACGGCCGAAACGTCGCGTCGGTGCGTCGCGTGCGATATCGCGCGACGATCGTCGTCGCGACGCGCGCGCGCTGGGACGCGGTGGAGACGACGAGACGGGGGGACGGCGCGCGGGCGAATTTTAAATGGACGACGCGCGGCGACGGGCGCGCGGGCGTCGGCGTCGAGCGAGGACGGCTCGGGGGAGGGCGACGCGAATGGAATTCGAACGTGGGAACAAAAACAGAGCGGCTCGGGGCCGAAGATGCTGAAGATTTTCAGCGTGAACGACGTGTACGAGCTGGAAAATTTAAGCCGCCTGAGCGCGTTCGTGCGCGACAACACGAATCAGTACCGCGATCCGTTCATTTGCACTTTGAACGGTGATTTCCTGTCGCCGTCGCTGTTGTCGTCGTACGATCTCGGTGCCGCCGCGGTTTCGGTGATGAACGCGGTGCCGGTGACGCACGCGTGTTTGGGAAATCACGAGTTTGACCACTCGACGATGATTTTGGGACAGCGGCTGAGCGAGCTCGAGGCGACGGTTTTGAATTCAAACATCGTCAGTACGGACGATATGCACGGGCTGGACGAGAACGGTAATCGCGTGGGGGCGTTCGTGGACGATTTGCCGTCGACGGAAGTTTTGGAGTTGGGCGGTTTGCGCATCGGTCTGCTCGGCGTGTGCACGACGTCGACGCCGTTGTCGAGCGCGGTGAAGCCGCGAGGGGTGATTTTCAACGACGTCGTCCCGATCGTTCGCGATATCGTGCACGATTTCGACAACCCGAAAACGCCGAAGGACGCGGTGGATTTGACGATCGCGCTGACGCACCAGACGCTGTGCGAAGACGAGACGCTGGCGCGCGAAGTGCCGAATCTCGGGTTGATTTTAGGCGGCCACGAGCACCATCCGTTTCACGGCGCCATCGACGGGACGGACGTCTTGTGCTTGAAAGCGGGGATGGATAGCGAAAACGTCGTCATGGTCACCTTGGAGCTGGCGCCGAACGGGGAAGACGACGTTGAAGAGGCTTCGGGGAGCTCGCCGTCGAGCGGACGACGAGGCGCGGCGAGCGTGCCTCGCGCGATTCGCGTAGGCGCCCCGGGAGGGACGACATCGTACGACGAAAACGATGACGCAGTCACGCAAACACTAGCGGCATCTACGACGAACACGCGTCGCACGATGGAAGCTTCGCGAGTGAATGAATTCGGCGAAGAATTCATAGAGGAGGTCGTCGCCGGCGCGGCGTTTGAGACGTCGCGCGGCCCGGGCTGGGACGTGAAGTCGGGACCGGAGAGCACGGTGCGCGCGCGTCGTGGGAACGTTCACATCACCGCGACACTTCACTCTCTCTACGGCTACGAGCGCTGCGCCGAGATCGATCGCGACATCTGGGAACGCTCGGAGGTGTTGAGAGACTTGCACGAGTACGTCTTGCCGTTGCACGAACACGCCGAACGACTCGGTTTGTTGCCGCTGTCGAGTTTCGACGTGCGACAGCAGCAAACCACCCTCGGAACACTTTTTGCCACGATTCTACGCGACGAGTGTTGCGTGGACTTGTGCCTGTACAACTCAGGCGGCGTGCGCGCGAACAAGGTGTACGACGCGCCGTTGACGTACGGCGACTTTGTCGCCGAGGTGCCGTTTGAAAACAACATCATCACGCTTGAGATGAGCGGCGACGACATTCATCGCGCGTTGTCGTTCAGCGAGGAGCAAAAGACGGAAACTTGCTCGTGGGGCGGATATTTGTTGTGGGACAACGACGTCGCCGTGGAAATTCCCACAGACGCGGGTTCGGGTTTCGACAACTTGAACATTACGATTCGCGGCGAGCCGCTCGAGCGCGAACGCACGTATCGCGTCGTCACCTGGGCCGGTTTGCTCGACGGCGCAGACGGTATTCCCGCATTCGAAGAGGTCGGCGAACGCTTGGCGGCGAGTTTGGGCGTCGAAACAGGATCCATGTCGAGCGCCACGTTCAGCGCGGACGGCGTCCCGTTCAAGATTCTCATCATGCGTCATCTGTGTCGATGGCGTTGGGGGCAACTGAACGAGACGATTTCGTTCGAAGACATGGACACCGACGGCGACGGCGCGCTCGTCGCCGACGACGTGCGCGTGGCGCTCGAAAAGTTCACCGAAAGTGCGTCGAGCAGGCAAGAGGCGGACAGCATGATTCGTCTCTTCGACGTCGACGGCGACGGGAAAATTTCCAAACACGAGTGGCTGGCGATTCTCGAATCGTGCGCGCCTTTGGCGTGACTTTCTTTCTTTCTGTACATTATTATCGCAACAATACGCTGTATCACTAGACTACTATACGCTATACTTTTAAACGCAGTTGTAATATCCCAATTCGCGGCGCCTCCGTTCGTCGTCACGCGTACGTCGTCGTCGTCGTCGTCGTCTCCGGCACCGTCGCGAACGAGGTTTGCGGCGTGAAGGGATCGTACGCCGCTGGATCGTACACGTCGTCCGCCAACGTCGGCTTCATCGAGCACCCCGCGTCGGAGGTGTCCGTGCACACGTAGTAATTCGGATCGAGCGCGCTCGGCGCGCTCGCCGGGAGCGCGTTTCGCGAAAACGTATTGGCGAGCATCTTCACGCGCCCGTACGCGAACGCCCCCGCGCCGGCGACGGCGGCGGTGTTATTCGTGAACGCGCTCCTCTGCACCGAGCTCGCGCGATGCCCGACGACGACGTCGGACGGAGACGCGACGTGCACCCCCCCGCCCGCGCGCGTCGCGTCGTTCCCGTCGAACGCGCTCGACGACACCACGCCGCCGCCTCGAAGCGCGGCGCCGCCGCCGCTCGCCGCCGCGTTCGTCTTAAACTCGCACTCATTGATCACGACGTGCCCACCGTCGGCGTACACCCCCCCCCCCAGCCCATTCGCGACGTTCCCCTCGAACGCGCACGATTCAAACGCCACGTACGCCGGCCCCGACGCCGCGACGAACGCCCCCCCCCCTCGCCCATTCGTCGCCGTCGCCCCGCACGATTCAAACGTCACGTTCCGAAACACCACGTTCCCCGCCCTCGCGTCGCTCGCGACGAACACCGCCCCTCCCTCCCTCGCCTCGCACCCCTCGAACGCCGCGTCGTCGAACGATCCTCCCCCGTGCGCGCGTCCAAAGTAAAACGCCCCCCCGAAATCCCCTCGCGCGCCCTCGAACGCCAATCTCTCCACTGTGAGACTCCCACCGTCGACGACGCTCGCCACGCTCGTCCCGTTCGCGTCGACGACGCACCGTCCGTCGCACGCGCCTCGCAGCGTCGCGCGTCTTCGCACCGCGACGCCGCGCCGCGGCCACGCGTCCTCGTCGAGCGTCAGCGTCGTCGCGTTCACCTCGACGAACTCCACGAGCGGATCGCGAAGCGCCGCGAGCAGTTCCGCGGTCGTCGTCACCGTCGTCGCGCGTCCGGTCGACGTCCCGAGCGCGCGCGCGTAGTGATTGTCGTCCCAGGACGCCGCGGCGTACCACGCGGCGTCGTCGCTCGGGACGTCGAGCAGCGCGCCGGCGTCGCGAAGCGCGCGCGAGTCGATCGACGCGTCGACGCGCGCGGCGCTCGAGCGCGCGACGATGGACAGCGCGAGCGCGAGGGCGACGAAGCGCGGCATCCGCGACGAAAAGTGACGATTTGAATGTTTCAGAGATAGCGCGTCGGGCACTTTTACTTAAGCGACGGCGCGACGACGTCGAGGGCGGCGCGAAGGCGAGCGACGATGATTTCAGACTCGCGGACGCACCGTCGCGCGAGATCGCGCGCGACGGCGTAAGGGCGACGGGTCGAAGGCGACGCTCGGCCGGCGCCGGAGAGCGCGCGGTCGCGAAACGCGCGAAGCGTGTCGGGCACCGTTTTGGGCGTCTGCGACAGCAACCACTGCGGGACGCCGCGACCGGGATCGGTGATGAGGGTGTATCGCACGCGCACGCCCGCGCCGGACGCGGCGTCGCGAAGGTGCCAGCTACCGCAGTTGGCGCGCATGGGTCTCGCGCCGGGACTTAACCGACGCGGCTCCATCTCCTTCGTCGTTCTCCACGCGCCCGCGTTGACGTTCGCGCGGGAGTGATCGTCTATCACGATTGTGTACGCGCGATCGCCCGCCACGGGCGCGCGAATCTCGGCGTGATTCCACGTCCGCGTTCCGCGCTTGGCCAAAACCGTCGACCGCCGCACGTACGGCACGAATTCGTCGTACCGCTCGATGTCACAGATCGCCGCCCAGAGCGCGCTTCGCTCGACGTTCTCGAACGTACACGTCGCCAATATCTCCCGAACCTTCCCTCGCGCGTTCGCCCACGCCGGCGCCGGTCGCGTCCACAGCTCGATGCCGTCGCGCGTCGTCGTCAACCGCGTCCACCCGTCGTCCTCTCGCGTCTCCTCGACGTCGTCCTCGCGCGCGCGTTTCTCGTTCGCGCCCGCGTCGTCGACGCGGTCGATTTTTCCTCGCCCGCGCGTCGCCCGTCGTCGCGCGAACGCCGCCAGCGGCGCGGCGCGCGGCGCCGACATGTATTTTTAGCCCACGACAGAGATGCGTTTTTCGACGCGCGATGCGTTTCTCGATCGCGTCCGCGCCGTCGCGCGGTCCGCCGTCGCGCGCGCCGGCGCGCGTCGGCGACCCGCGCGAGACGGCGCGCGCGCTCCGGCGCGCGCGCGCGCGCGCGCGTCGTCGAGTGTCGATTCCGTCGCGCGTCTTGACGTCGTCGCGTCTGACGTCGCCAGACCGCGACGCGACGTCTCGCGTCGCCGGAAGCGCGCTTCCGCGGACGCGCGAAAACGTTCGCGATGTCCACGGCGCTGCGCCGCGCCGCGCGCGCGACGCTCGGCGCGCGAAAGGTGCGAGAGGGATGCGATCGCGCGACGCGCGACCGGTCGCGGGGGCGACGCGAAAAACCGCGCGCGCGACGCGCGCGAACGCGCGACGGCGGTTCGCGATCGCGCGCGACGCGCGAAAGATATCGCGCGATCGAACGACGGGACGGGGGGACGCGCGCGAGGCGCGACGAGGGCGAGCGGCGACGGCGATCGATCGCGCGTGGGGATCGGGTGTGGGGTTTGCGACGCGGCGACGCCGAGGACGTCGGAAGTCGCGCGGGCGGCGAAAAGACGATCGGACGGATGAGACGGGAGCGAATGAGGACTGACGAACGCGCGCGGGGATTGGGTTTTCGTCGACGACGCAGGGCGCGATGCGAATGATGAGCGCGGAGGCGGCGCCGGCGCCGGAGACGGTGCCGGTGACGGTGAACGGACAAGAGGTGCACGTGCCCAAGGGCGTGACCGTGCTGTACGCGTGTGAGCAAGCTGGGGTGGACGTGCCGAGATTTTGTTATCATCACAAGCTGTCGATCGCCGGGAATTGCCGGATGTGCTTGGTCGAGGTGGAGAAGAGCCCGAAACCGGTGGCGTCGTGCGCGATGCCGGTGATGCCGGGGATGAACATCAAGACGACGACGGATCTGGTGAAGAAGGCGCGCGAAGGCGTGATGGAGTTCTTGCTGATCAATCACCCGCTTGATTGTCCGATTTGCGATCAAGGTGGGGAGTGCGAGTTGCAAGACCAGAGTTACATCTTTGGGAGCGACCGCTCGAGATTCACCGAGTACAAGCGCGCGGTGGAGGACAAGGAACTCGGGCCGTTGGTGAAGACGGTGATGACGCGTTGCATTCACTGCACGCGCTGCGTTCGGTTCTCTACCGAGATCGCGGGCGTTCAAGACATGGGCATCACCGGTCGCGGCAACCAAGCCGAGGTCGGGACGTACATTTCCAAGCTCTTGGCGAGCGAGCTGAGCGGCAACGTCATCGATCTTTGCCCAGTCGGAGCGCTGACGTCGAAGCCGTTCGCGTTTTCGGCGCGTTCTTGGGAGCTCGAATCTACCAATAGCATCGACGTGACGGATGGATTAGGAAGTAACATTCGCGTCGACACGCGCGGGAACGAGGTGATGCGCATCGTCCCACGCGCAAACGAAGAGGTCAACGAGGAGTGGATTAGTGACAAGGCGAGGTTCTCGTATGACGCGCTGAAGCGTCAGAGATTGGACAGGCCGATGGTGCGAGGTGGTGATGGAAAACTCCAAGAAACGTCTTGGGAATTCGCGCTCGAGTACGTCGCGGAAAAGTTGAAGGCTGCCGAACCGAACGCCATGCGCGCGGTGGCGGGTAAGCTTTGCGACGCCGAGTCCATGATCTCTTTGAAGGACATGATGAACAAGCTGGGCGCTTCTCATCTCACCCCCGAAGGTTTGCCCGGCGCCTCTGCGGATGTGCGCTCGTCGTACCTCTTCAATTCCAACCTAGTCGGCGTCGAAGACGCGGATTACGTGTTGTTGATCGGAACCAACCCGCGAACGGAGGCTCCAGTGCTCAACGTGCGTTTACGTCGCGCGGTGATCGCCGGCGGCGCCACCGTCGCGAGCGTCGGACCGAAAGCCGACCTTTCCTACCCGAGCCAACACTTGGGTGACACGACAGCGACGCTCGAGGAAGTCACCTCGGGTAAGCACGCGGCGTGCGAAGCGATCAAGGCGGCGCAGAATCCGATGGTCATCGTCGGTAGCGAACTTTTGAGACGTCCGGATGCCAAGGTGATGCTGAAGAAGATTCACGCCATGTGCGATGAGCTCGGCGTCGTCAACGGTGACTGGAACGGTTTCAACGTCCTTCACGATGCCGGTGGCACCGTCGGCGCGCTCGATATCGGCTTCGTTCCGGGAACGTCCGCCTCGGATGCCGTCCCGGCGCAGCTCGTCTACTCGTTGGGCGCCGAGGAGTTCGACGCCCCGGAGGACGCTTTCGTCGTGTACCAAGGCCACCACGGCGACAAGGGCGCGGCGCGCGCCGACGTCATTTTGCCCGGCGCGGCGTACACAGAAAAGACTGGCACCTACGTCAACACCGAAGGTCGCGCTCAAGTGGCCATCGCATCCATGGGGCCCGTCGGCAAGGCGAAGGAGGATTGGCGAATCTTGCGAGCGTTGAGCGAATTCGCGGGTGTGCCGTTACCGTACAACACCCACCAAGCCGTGCACGAGCGTTTGGCTCAAGTCGCCCCGCACTTCGCCAAGGTGGATGAAGTTGAGGCGACTTTATGGATGAACGGCGCGACGTACGCGAACGCAAAAGGCAAAAAGTTGGAGGCGTCGATTCCGCTCAAGAGCTCGGTGGAGAACTTTTTCATGACGGATATCATTTCGCGCACTTCCGCCACCATGGCGAAGTGCACCGAAGCCCGAGAATCCGGCGCGGTATAATTCGTGCTTAACACGTGTAGCAGTCGATTGTAACGATATACTCTTTTACGAGAAAGAAAGATCACGTCAACATATTGCAACATTACGCGCTTTAGTAGATGCGAATGCGATCTCCCGGCGCTAAAGCGTCTGGGTTTCTAATCACGTCGCCGTTCTTATCGATGATCTCCATCAAATCGAGGTTGAAGCAACCCGCGATGGAACACAACGTGTCGCCTTCGACGACCTCGTACACGCCGCGCGGTGTCGGCCCGCGACCGATGAAAGGCGTATCTTCGTCCGGATCGGCGAGTTCGTTGTAAATGACTTCGGGTAAGTCTTCTTCTTCTTCGCTCGCCGTCTTCTTCTTCGCCTTTGCCGTCTCCGATGATTCGCGTCGCGTTTCTTTTATGCGCTTCTTCACCGATTGCGCCTTGCGTCTCGCCTTGTCGCGGTTTTCGGGAAGACCCGCCAGCGCGATGGCGATGGCGACGACGAGAATGGAATTGGGCGACAGCCGCGCCGCGATGTCGCGCACCCAGCGCTTCTTCGCGAGCGCTTTGCCGACGCGATTGTTCGTATCGCGAAGCGCGTCCTTGACGTGATGCGCTTGTTCGTTCACGTTGTGCGCGATTTTATCGCCGGTATCGCGAAGCCGATCGCCGAGTTGATGCGCGACTTCGCCGAGTTGATGCGCGCCTTCGCTGACGCGTTGCTTAATCTCCTCGACGTTGGGGATGTGAAAGCTGCGACGCGGCGAGCCAGGCTGCGACGCATCGCCCCGATCGACATCACGCGCGCCTCCCCCCGACGCCGTCTCGTCGTTCGCGCGTCGATCCCGCTCCGCGGCGCGAAACGCCTCGAGTTGCGCCTCGCGTTCCAGTTTCGCCGCCTCGACTCGCTCGCGTTCAATCCTATCTCGTTCCTTGCGCGCGCGCTTCTCCTCGATCTCCGCCTCGCGCTCCCGTCGTTTTCTCTCGCGTTCTCTCTCTCGCGCCCCGTCGTCGCGTCGTCCGCGCGCGACGACTCCCCGAAGCCACCCCGCGGCGACGGCGGCGACGTTTTCCCGCCTCGGCGCCGGCGTCGCCGTCGCCGTCGCCGCCGCCCCCCCCTCGCCCGCCTCCACCACCGCGCGCTCGCCCCCCCCCCCCTCGATCTCCGCGCGCACCGCCGCCGTCGTCGTCGTCGTCGTCGCGCCCTCCCTCGCCGTTCGCCGTTCGCGACCCCCCCCCTCGCTCGCGCCTCGCGTCCTCGCGCCGTCGCCTCGCGCCGTCACCCGCGCGCACACCCGCCCGACCGTCGCCCCGACCCCATCGTCCTCGCCCACGATCTCCCGCACCTCGCACCACGTCCCTCGCACCACCGCCCGCGCCTCGCCGTCGTCGTCGTCGAGCCTCGCGAGCGCGTCCGCGTCCAGCGTCGCCGCGCCGCGCGCCGCGTCGCGTCCCGACGCGCTCGTCACGAAAATCTCGATCCCCGTCACCCGCGCGAGCGCTCTCGCGTTTTCCGTCGTCACCGCGCCCGAGAATTCCTCGCGAAACATAGTTCGCGGCTCGTCGCGATCGTCGCGCGCCGTTTGAGCCGTCGCCGTCGCGCAGATTCGCGTCGCGATTGCATCGTCATCGCGATCGCCGTCGTCGTCGTTTTCGGACGTCGCGCGCACGATCGGGACGATTCGAACCGTCGCGCCGGGATCGGCGAACACCTCGCCGCGTCCCTCGACGACGGCGACGTCGAGCGCGCGCATGAAGAGCGCGTCGCGGCGCGCAATGGCGATCTCAGATGAAACGGTCGCGCTGTGGCGTCTAAACCCTAACACCGACCGATCCGCGCTCGACCCCCTCTCGTACGAGTCACGACCCATCACACATAAATACCCCAAACGTCCATGCAAACACGTACACAGCGTGCTTTGAAGATTATCAAACCCACCCCGAGCCGGCGTCTAAACCCTAACACCACCTCGCGCGCTCGACCCCCGCTCGTAAGAGTCACGACCCATCAAACATAAATACCCCAAACGTCCATGCAAACACATACACGGCGTGCTTTGAAGACGATCAAAGTACGCCCCGCGCCCCCGCGCGATCGACGCGCGATCGCGCGATCGGCACACTCGCGCGCGCCATGGCCGTCCTCGCGTTGAACACCGGATTGATCCCGCTCGCGGCGCGCGCCGCGACGCGGCGAACCGCGACCAAGCGCGTCGTCGCGCCCAAGGTGCGACCGCGACGCGACCGACGCGACGACCGCGCGCGATCGCGACGAACGACGCGATGACGACGATCGACCGCGACGACGCGCGACGAACGAACGAACGACGGCGACGACGCGCGACGACGACGATCGATCGCGCGCGCGCGACGACGCGCGGACCGTCGCGCGTCGGTAGCGACGTCGACGCGCGTGCGGGCGAACGCGCGCGTCGAGGCACGATCGATCGATCGATCGGGGACGCGGACGGGGCGTATCTTTGCGCGCGGGATTCGCGATCGATCGTGGATAATCGTATGGGGAAACAGTGAGGGGTGACTGACGACGAAGCACGCGCGCGAACGACAGGCGGCGACGACGACGAAGGCGCAGCAAAAAGTGCGAACGACCGCGGTCGCGGCGACGCCGGCGGCGATCGCCGCGCCGGCGTTCGCGGCGAGCGAAGCGCTCGAGCAAGTCGCGCTCGCGGACGTGAACATTTTGGGCGTCATCGCGACGGCGCTCTTCATCATCATTCCGACGGCGTTTTTGATCGTCTTGTACGTCAAGTCGTCGTCCGAGGGTAACGTCTCGGGTGGTTTCTCGCAAGAGTACTACGATAAGTCGAAGAAGCGAGGCGACAAGAAGACGAACGAAGCCGCCGTGCTCAAGGGCAAGGGCTTGGGCATGCGCCCGGAGAAGTAAACGCTCGGTCGAGACGAAGCGCGTTTACGAGTCGCGTTCGTCAGCACGAAGACGCACTCCTGTTAGGTCGCGGAAAATAGCGCGCGTGCTTCGTTTGACTTGAGAATGAACGATCTAGATCGGAGGAGGTGGATGTTTTTAAGAGGACGTACGCCGAGAATTTTTAATCAACGAGAAGCGCATCTTTTTAGTCGACGCGACGCGACGCGCGGTTTGTCCGTCCTAAAGCGTTACTTACACGAGCTACATTTTCAATACGTCGCGCCCGCGAGCGCGTCGCGCAAAGCGTTCCTTTGGTCGTCGCCGAGCGATTTCGGGAAACGAATGTGAAACTTGATCTTCAAGTCGCCGCGCTCGCCGGGGGACTTGCTCAGCGGCATGCCTTCGCCCGGCAACACCTTGACGAAGGTCGGGGAGATGATGTCGTCGACCTTGACGTCCATCGCCTTCCCGTCCAAGGTGTACACGCTGAACGACGTTCCGAGTAAGGCTTCGTTCAAATCAACCTTGACCGTCTTCACGAGATCGTTGCCCTCGCGCTCAAACTGCGGGTGCGGTTTTTGCTCCAACGTGAAGACGATGTCGGCGGCGATCGTCGTCGGGGTTTCGTCCCCTTTCTCCTGAAACGTAATCTTCGTCCCGCTCTTCCACCCGGGCTTAACATCGATCGGAAGCGTCTCTTGCACGCTCTCCTGCCGACCGTTTCGAATCACCTTTCGCGTGACGCTGAAATTCTTTTGCGTTCCGTAAAACAGCTCCTCGAGCGACAGCCTGAGCGTCTGCTCAATCTTCGGCGCCTTCTTACGCTGTTTCTGCGGCGGCTCGCGAAAATCCTGTCCCCCGAACCCACCACCACCCGGCATTCCACCGAACCCAGGATGTCCGCCGAATCCCCCGCCTCCCGGAAATCCGCCGCCTCCCGGAAATCCGCCGCCGAAGCCGCCGCCCCCCGGAAACCCGCCGCCGCCGCCGCCGAAAAAATTCGCGAATATATCCTCCGCGTGCTGCGCCGAGAACCCTCCTCCCGGCATCCCGCCCCCATCTTTTAATCCATCCTCGCCGTACGTGTCGTACAGCTCCTTCTTCTTCGGATCCGACAGCACTTCGTACGCCTCGGAGACTTCTTTAAACTTCTTCTCCGCGCGTCCATCCTTGTCGTCGGGGTTTTTATCCTGCGCTCGCGTTCGGCGTCGCGCGCGCGTCGTTCGGTCAGCGTCCCGCGCGAACATCACCATCATCGAGCGTCGTTTCGCCGTCTCGCGCGCGTCGTTCGCGCGTCGCGCGCGTCGCGCGTCGCGTTTCATTCGTCTTCATCAGATGTCCATCATCGCCGCTCGATCGCTTCGCGCGTCGCGCGCGTCCACGCACCGGGTGCCACTTCATCGCGAGTTTCCTGTACGCCTTGCGCACGTCGTTCTCGTCCGCGCCGCGCTGCAGCCCGAGGGCGGCGTAGAAGTCCTTGCCGCGTCCGCGATTCATGCGTCCCGGCGCGTCGCTTTTTGACGACGCGCTTCGCGTCGTCACGACGCGACGCGATGGCGACGCGCGACGGCGCGCGCGCGAATCGATGCTTTCGAGGGTGTTGCGTCGGCACCGCGCGCGTGCGATTGGACTGCGACGTCGGCGCGCGCGAGGGACGACGCGGAAGCGACGACGACGGCGACGACAGCGTCGCGCGCGGCGACGTCCTGTACGCGGGACCGCTGAGCGTGGTGTTCTACGGGCGCTATCGCGACGAGGCGATCGCGATAAAAAGGCCAAAGCTGCGGACGACGCGCGAGATCGATCGGTACCACGCGGAGTTGGGACTCATGCTCGAGGCGCGACACGAAAACGTGCTGGGCGTGGTCGGCGCGCGCGCGGCGCCGCCGAATTATGAGTTGTTCTTTCCGTTCATGGAGAACGGCGCGGTGGATGAGGTGGTGTATGAGCAAGGATGGACGCCGACGTGGCAGGCGGTGCTGAAACTGGCGCGAGAGGTGTGCGCGGGGTTGACGTATTTACACGACGTCGGCGTCGTGCATCGAGACGTAAAGCCGAGCAACGTGCTGTTGGACGGATCGTGGACGGCGAAGATCGGGGACTTTGGCTTGGCCGAGCGCGAGAGCGAGCTGCGAGCGTCTTTGCAGGCGGCGATTTATTCCACCGAAGACGCCGAGGGTAAGGCGAGGGTGGAGGGGAAATGGATCGCGGGCGAGCACGGCGCGCCGAGCGGGGGGTTTCAGAAGCAGCACATGGTGGGGTCGATGTTGTACATGTCGCCGGAGGTGTTGATGCGACAAGTGAGCGGGTACGGCGCGGATGTGTACGCGTATGCGGTGACGATATGTGAGATAGCCACAGGGACGGTGCCGTTCAGCGATCGGGCGAGAAACGTCGCGCTCGCGCACACCGTGCTCGACGCGAGCTACAACGAACAGGATTTAGCCATCGCCATCGCGAGCGAGCACTTGAGACCGATTTTACCAGGAGAGACCGCGGCGGGGGGAGCGGGCAAGGTTCCCGACGGTTTGAACGACCTCATCACACGTGCATGGGCACCCGTAGAATCGTCGCGACCGCGAATGCCGGAGATCACTCGCGAGCTCGAAGGCGTCGTCGCGGCGTATTGCGCCGAAAACGGCTTGGACGACGTCGCCGCGGTGTGGTTGCCCCCAGCGAACGATCGTGCCGAGGCGGCGACGGCGGCGGCGACGGCGCTCAACGAGCCTTTAGATTGGGAAATGCAAGAGCCAGCGTTTGCGGCACCGAATCCGGAGCACGCGATCGCCGCCGCCGACTTTTCCGCCGGCGTCTTTAGCACGCCCGGCGCGCGCGGCGCAGACAAGATGGAAGATCGTCACATCGTCGTCAACAACCTCGGTGGTCGCGCGCACGCCCATCTTGTCGCTGTGTTCGACGGACATCGAGGGCACGAAGCCGCGGAGTTCGCCATGGTGCACATCGAACGTGCGATTCGAAGCGAGTGGGGCGCTCACGGCGACGACGTCGAGAGCGCGCTCTCCGCCGCGGTGACGAAATTAGACGCCGCGTTTTGCGCGCGTTTCGAGGCGATCAAGGCGAAAGAGATGAGCGCATCAAAAAGTGCGCAACAAAGCAAACGTAATCCAGGCTGCACCGCCATCGTGGGTTTGCTGTGGGGTGATCGATTGTGCGTCGCCAACGCGGGCGATTGCCGCGCGATTCTCTCGCGCGACGGCGTGGCGCTCCCGTTGAGCGTCGATCACGACGCTGAGAGCAACGCGAGTGAGCGTCATCGCATCGAGCGCGACTTTCCAGGGGCATTGCGTCAGCACAACGGCGTTTGGCGCGTCGGAGACGCTGGTGTGGCCGTGACGCGAGCCATCGGAGACGCCGACGCCAAGGCTTTCGGCGTCGTCGCCGAGCCGGAGATGACGACGGTGTCCGTCAATCTCGCCACCGACGACTGCCTCGTTCTCGCGTGTGATGGCTTGTGGGACGTCGTCGATAATCACGATGCCTTGGCGATGATCAAAGACACGGTGAAAGAGCCATCCATGTGTGCCAAGAGACTCGGATGCGAAGCGTTGACGCGCCTGTCGGGCGACAACGTCACCGTCCTCGTCGGCTTTTTGCGAGGCAATCGCACGTGCGAAAACGTCTCTTGGGCGCGCGCGTTTTAGCGACTAGGTAGTATGAGTGTAAAGACCGCATATTTTAGAAAGAAACATGAACCATTGTTATCGTATCATAAAATTCGTTCGCTCTCGGCTAATCGTCGGCGAACGACGCCCTCTCGCCCCCGGCGTCCTTCGCGTCGCGCTCCTCGCAAGATTTACTTGCCGGATTGGAAGTCAACGCACGGCGCACCGGTGATGAGCTTGCACGCACCCGGTCCGATTTGTCTGTTCGGCAAGATTCGCGCCTCGTCCTTGGTCACGTCACCCGGGCCGTCCGTTTGCACGGTCACCACCGGTCGCGGATCGTAAAAGGGTTGCTCGTACTTGCCCGGCGCCAAACCAGTGCCGTTCTTGAGCTCCAAGCCCAGGCGTCCGCCTTCACCGGCGTGCGCCGGACCGGCGAGCAAGATCGCCATCGCCGTCGCGGCGACCGGCGCGACGAACGCACTGTTCGCATCGAAAATCGTCCCCTCGTCAGTCACTCCACATCTTGCGCGCCCCCGTCCCGCGGTTTCTCGTCCGATCGCGCGCGTCCCGTCGCCGCGTCGCGTCGCCGTCGCGCTCGCCCGCCGCGCCGCGCGATTCCCGCGCCGCGTATTTCGACCCATCGTTCGCGCGTCCCATCGCGCGTCGAGCGCGTTCGCGCGCCGCGCCGCGCGCGCCGACGCGTCGACGCGCTTTCGCGCGCGATCCGCGACGTTGATACGCATCAGATAACGTACGCCTCGGCGGACTTTCGCGCGTTCGCGCGCGGCGTTTGACTAGCCGCGACGGGCTTCACGGCGGAGGCGGTGATGGTGAACATTCTGGTGCGGCGTTCGACGACGGGGCGCGCGGGTGTGCGGTCGCGCGCGCGCGGCGTCGCGCGACGCGGGCGCCGATGCGTATCCGGGCGGTTGGCGCGCGGTGATCGGGGCGTCACTGTTTGCGCATACGGGAATATTCGGACATTCGGAGCCAGATGGCGTCGCGCTTCATCCCCGTTCGCGGTGCTCGAATGCGTCTCAAAACGCGGACGACGGAAAAATAAAAAACGATCGCGCGCGCGCCGTCGCGCCGCGTCGGTCCGCGTCGCCGCGGCACACGCGCGCGACGCCGCATCCGACGCCGGATGGCGGTCGACGGCGCGCGCGAGGACTGGACCCGGATCCACGGCGTCGATCAGCGCGCGGCGTTCGTGGAGTTTCGACACGACGCCCTGCGGCGCGCGGACGCGCGGGGGGCGGGAGACGGACCGTCGGCGTCGCGCGACGGCGTCCGCGCGCGGCAGCGCGGGTCGGCGTGCGCGGATTTCGTCGGCGACACGTCGAGCGTCGTGTGGCCGATCGCGCTCAGGGCGTGCGCGCGGTTTTGCGACGCCACGGGGCGAGCGCGCGGCGAGGGCGGCGCGGAGGGCGAGGGCGAGGGCGAGGGCGGCGCGGAGGGCGAGGGCGAGACGCGCGCGAGGACGTGCGCGCGGGCGCGGGAGATGGTGATCACGCGCGAGACGAGGGTGTTAGAGCTCGGGAGTGGGATCGGAGTGCTGGGAATGGTGCTCGCGAGGCTCGGGGCGGCGCGGGTGACGATGTCGGACGCGAACGTCGGGTTGTGCGAGGCGAACGCGAACGAGGACGGGGCGAAAAATTTAGAGACGAAAACCTTGCTTTGGGCGCGAAAGGACGGCGAGTGCTGGCGAGAGGTTTGCGAGTACGGGGACGCGCTCGAGGCGAGCGGTGGGCTGCCGCACTTGATCGTGGGGACGGATTTGTTGTATTCGCAGACGCGGGAAACGTTTAGCGCGCTCGCGGACACCGTGGCGCGGTTGTCGGACGAGCACACAGCCATCGTGATCGGGTACGAGGATCGAGGGGATTGGGAATCACTCGCGACGTTTTGGGACGTGTGCGAAGAGGCGGGATTGTTCGGCGAAGCCGTGCCGTTTTCGGACGACGACGCCGACGACGATTTGTTGTTGATTCGTCTGCGAAAGGAAACGACGGATCGCATCTAGTCCACGCGCGCGGCGCGTCGGAGGTATAGCGTAATGTACTAGTTCATAAATTTTACACGGCGCGAGCGCGCGGGCGAATGAATAATGAATGAATGAATGAATGAATAGATGAATGCGAGCGCGCGCGCGAACGAACCCCGCGGCGGAATTCGCGCGTCGACGCGTCACCCGTACGCACGTCTCCGAGCACACCGTCGAGACTTGCCTCCGGTGCGCGCGGGATCTGTCGTGGCGATGAACGCCGCGATATCACCCGTCGTCGCCGCGCTCGAGTTGACGAAATCGACGCGCAGGCGATAGTCAAAACCGATACCGATCGATTCGTCGTCGTCGATCCAATCATCGTCGCACGTCTCGAACACGACCCACGCGCTTTCGCCCTCACCGACGATGGCATCGACGACGCGCCAACTAGCGCGTCGCGCATCGTTGGTTCTCGCGAATTTCCGCACGAGAAGATTGATCGTCTTTGCGGAGTCGCCGTCGCCGATCGGCTGCCTCTGCCTCCGCCGCCGCTTTTCCAGACGAACCATCGTTTCGTTCGTCGCGAGCGCGTACGCGCGAAACACGCGATCGAGCGCATTTGGCGCGCGCACGTGCACGTCTCCAGGGACGACGACGCGAGTCACGCGCGTGACAGCGCGCGAGAGTTCACTCGGGAGCGCGACTCGCCGCGCGCTCGCGTCGAAAACGTTGAACGTTTCGTTGTCCTCCCGACGCGGTTTCGTCGCGTACGCCCGTTTCACGGCGTGCGTGCCGTCGATCATTGTCGCTAAGACGAGCGCCAGGACGAGCGCGGGCGCGGGACGAAGAAATCTTCGCGACATGGCGCGTCGAGGTGTGTCTCGACGTCGTCGAATCGGCGCCGATTCGACGCTACGGCTTGGCGAACCAGTGCTCGATCGCCGCGGACGTCAACACCACGACACCATCGTCGTCTTCGGCGTAAGACAACATCAAACTTACGTCCCTGGCCAAGGTTTCGATGGAATCACGAATTTTACCGCGACCAACACCGACGCGGACGTCGCCGACGCGCAATCGAGCGGCGCGGCGATCGCGAAGCGTCTGCAATAGACCCAAAAACGCGACCCGTGCCTCGGCGACGGAGTACTCCTTGAGATTCATCGATGCGATATCGTCCCAAGTTTGCGTGATCTCGGATTCCACGCTGACGCAGCCATCGATGGCCAAGGTGAGACGCTTGACGTCGATGGCTGAATTCGGCGAGCCAAGCGCCAAGACGTCCTCCACGACGGATTCCGTGAGCAGGGATAAGACGGCGTTGTTCGGACGGACGTTGAGCGCGCGCATGTCGGCGTACACTTCTTGCACTCGCGATATGACGTCACTAGTTCCTCGGGATTTGTTGTGCCCGGCGGCGCGGACGACTTCGAGCATCGTTTGTAGCGTGCTTGAATCCGGCGCGACGTCGAATTCGTTTCTCATGGTCCAGTACGCGTCAATCGCACCGCTCAAGTCTCGCACGCTAGCGTACGCACGCATAAGCGCGGTACAACTGTGCACGTTTGGCGCAGATCCACTAGCGCGCATGTCCGCAAAGATTTCCGTCGCCGCGGCGACATCGCCGCACAGAGCGCAGACGTGTAGCGCCGCGCTCCACATCTTGCTCGTCGGCTGAATTCCTTCTGTGCACGCGGTCACAATCAACGTCCGCGCTACCCTCACGAGCGACTCTTCGGAGTCATTTTCAGCCTTTTCATCCCGTCGACGGTCTATTTTTGCCGCCGACGCGCACGCGCGTAGGGCGGCTAAATACGTCACGTCTGTGGGATTGACGCCGGCGGCGCGCATACGATCGATGACGGTCAGCGCGAGCGCTGGGCGTCGATCTTGCGCGCACGCTTGAATAACAATATTGAACGTCCGTACTGGGACCGTTTTACGCCTCACCATGGCGTTCTCACGAATGGCGTCCTCTAGCAGGAGCGCCGCGACGTCCACGTTGACGGGATCGTCGCAATACGACTTGATGAGATAAAACCAAAAGTCATCACCGACGGCGATTTTTTCCTCACCCGAACGCAGCCACTCTTCGTAGAGCTGCATTGTTCCTTGTCTGTCGTATGTTTTGTATCGCACGATCATCATACACTGCCACACCCTCGATCGAACGCTGTCGCTTTGTAAGTGCCCGTTCCAACGTAGACGGTCTTGAATATCCTCGCAGACGTCTGCGACGCCGGCATGCGACGCCAATTCAATACCAACCATGAGCGCCTCTAAGCTCTTCAAGTGTGTTTTTACCGTTTGCATGACGCGATGCAAATTGTCTCTGCGTTTACTCTTAGAAAGTGCGTCATCTGCGGGTGTTTCACTCAGCGCGTCGTACAAGTTGATGTACGTCTGCGCGCCGAGCGGGCGAACGCCTGAGGATTGCATGCGAGTGAACATGCGAAGTGCGAGCTTAAATCGCTCTTGCTTGTTTAGCATATGCATCACCTGCGCGTAAGCGCGTTCCACTTTAGCGCGCTCCTTCGCGTTGCGCGCTTCGACCATCTTCAAATCGTTTGCGCGGCGCTCCAATTTCATCACCGCATCCGAGGACGAGGCAGACTTCTTGCCAGAAAACGCGGCGGCGAAAGCCAAAGCGCCGAGAGAACCGGATTGCATGAAATCCAAAGTTTCTAAACGGTCCAATAGCGCGATTGCCTCGTCCGCCTTGTTCATTCCCGCGTACATGCTTACCGCGTACGACCAAGCGGTGCCGCCGAATTTCACGCCGTCTTCGAGGGCAACCTCAAACAGTTCAGCCGCCGCGTGCGCCGAGCTCGGCGTTGCTGCAGAAAGTAGCGAACTCACGCAATACTCCGTCGCAAGTGCGAAATTATTCGCCGCTTTCATTTGCTTGTGGTCACGTAATAAATCGTACGTCACTCGCCTCGCCAGTCGCTCGTCGTGCGAGTCGTTGCACAGCCGACACGCCGCCGTGTACGCGCGTTGCACCATGGGCGTCATCCATCGACTCTTCCATCCCTCGTCGTTGCGGAATTCGTCTCGAAATGCATCGTACGCTCGTAAGAATTCATGCACCGCCGTCGGTCGCAAACACCGCGCTTCTAACAACGCGCAGTGCGCCTCGCATCGCCTCTTTGCGTCGCCCCGCGCGCGTTCAAAAATCTCCCCCCAGAGTCTCTCCGCATCATTCTTGCGCCCCGGTGTCCACGCCAATACCTTTGCCATCTCTACCGTTACCTCCCCACCACCATCGTCGTACCCTCGCGCGATGCATTCCTTATAAATAATCTCGCATCCTCGCGCGTCCCGTCGTCTCGCCAGCCGTCGCGTCAAATCTACCGCCCCACTCCCCTCGAGCGCCACGAGCGTCTTCCGCAAATCTTCCGCCGACCAAACGCGCGCAACGCTCGCCCACAGCGCGGGCGCCCATATCACATCGCTCAATCGCGCGTTTCTCGCCTCCGCCAACCCTCGCGCGTGCGCCAACGTCGCCGCCGCGCTCGGCGCCGCGCCTCCGTCCCGCTCGAGTAAGAATTTCGTGAACGCTCTCCGCGCCTCTTTCTTCGTTCGCGCTTCCGACGCCTTGACGACTTCAAACGAACCACCCACGACGTCTCTCGCCGCGTCCACGTCCGAGACGTCGCGTCGCGCGTCGTCAATCGCGCGCGCCGTCGTTTCGCTTCCGCGCCCAAGTCGACGTTCGCGCGTCGCGCGCGCCGTCCTCCGCGACGGTTTCGCGCGCGTCGCGACGCGCGCGCGCGTCACGCGCGCGCGTCCGCTCGTCGACGGCGCGCACGCGCACCGCATCGCGCGCGCGCACGCGGGAAGTGCGGATAAAGTTGGAATTCTTCCGCGACGTCTCGTCAGAGGACGAAGACGCACGCATTTTGCGACGCGCGTTCGCGTCGAACGCGGGCGCGCGCGCGCGTCATGGGCGTCGTGAACGTCGCGCGCGATGCGATAAACGCCTCGGCGACGCTGTTGACGCCGACGCGCGCGCGCTGCGACGCTCAAGCGGCGTTTCCCGTGCGTTTGAGCCCGAGCGATGGGGCGCTGGTGACGCATAAAATGGACGCATGGGACGCGCTGCGCGCGCTGGCGCGCGAGTCGCGGCTCGCCGTCGTCGCGAGTGAAGTGCAGTGTTCGTTTTTGACGGACGCGTACCCGGACGAGGCGCTGAAGGAGTACGCGATCGAGAGGAAGACGATCGGGTCGACGCTGACGGCGAGCGCGTGCGCGTGGCGGGCGGTTCGATGCGCTGTCGTGGCGTTTCAGAGGCCGGTACAGGAGTGGTTGAACGAGGTTGACGCGAGGATTACTAAGGAAACTGAAACGGGCGAGCCGAGCGAGCTGCCGGAGTTTGATTACATCGAGCCGACGAGGGCGGCGTGGTGGGCGTTTAAGCGCGATTCGGTGGTGGCGGCGACGAGACGGATTTTGGAATATCTCGTCGTCGGACGATCGAGCAAGCGCTTGAGCGCAAAATTGTGTAAAGATATAAGGTACAGCGCGAGACGAAAGGCGCAGAGGGTGAGTTGGGAGCGCGGGTTGGGGAAATTCGCGCAGGCTGGGAATATGTTTCGCACGGTGACGCTCGCCAACGCCATCAACGTTTCGGGAGAATTCGTCGTCGACGTCACCTTAGCGTCGTACGAGGCTCGCTGGTTGCGTCGTCGATCGTCTAAAGCGTCGTCTCGCGCGATATCTCGGGCGTGGCGGCGCGCGTTGCTTCGAGCGGCGTGCAAAGCTGGCTCGGTGCTCGTCGGCGGCGCCGCCGCGTGCGCCGCCTTCACCTTTTGTCGCCCGCGCGGCGCGGGACCGCGCGTCGTCAGCTGGGGCACCTACGCCTCCCTGACCGCGGGCGAACTCGCTGGTGGCATTTTCATCGCTCCCACCGTCTTCGCGCTCGTCGCAGACGCGAACGTCGAAGAACCACCGCCCGCGATTCACTAGCTCTGCCCGCGAGTTGCAAAACATTCTTCGCGCACGTTTCCCTTGTTTGGACCGCGCACGCACGATCGTCGACGCGATAGTATTACGTATAATTATTAAACATGAAAACGCGATATATGAAACGCGATATATATAAAACGCGGCAGCGCTGCGCCCGGGGCGATCCTTAAACTGTCGCGTCGAGCCAGTGGGGCGCTTCGGTGTTCTTCTTCTCCGGGAACCCGGTCATGAAAAAGTCAACGACGATCGCGGCGGCGCCGCCAGCCATAGGAGCGACCCAGGCAATCCAGTGACGGTCCCAGAGAATCTTCGTGGAGACGACTGCGCCGGGTGCGGCGCGACCCTTGATGCGAATGGAACCCGCGCACGCGGAGGCGAAACTCCTCGCGGCGTTAATCATGCCACCGCTGACGGAGCCAGTGAACAGCAAGCACACATAATATGCAAAACCGATGAAGATTGAAGAGAAGAACGCGCTCTGCTTCAGCGAAGGGTGCGTGGCTTGCACGATGGTCACGAGGAACAGCCAGTTCGCGACGGTTTCGCAGAAGAAGACGCGTCCGGCGTTCGCCTGCCCCCAGTACCCCAAGGTGGCGCCGACGTATCCGGTGGGATCGTTACCGCCCGCGACCCAAACGCACGTCCAACACACCCCGATGAGCGCACCGGCGATCTGAGACACGATGTTCCCGATCATTTGCTCCACCGTGATTTTCCCGGTGGCCATAAACGTCACCGACACGCTCGGGTTCATCTGCGCCACCGTTTCCTTTCGGAACGCGTACGTCAGCAGCGTCACGACCACCCCGTACGTCACCGCCGTCGTGAACCCGTTCCCGTACATCATCTGCACCGGCACGCACAGCGCCACGTACGTCATGGTGGCCACGAATTCGATGATGCACCCTCGCGCGTTGATCGACTTCAGTCCATCTTTCGCGTACGTCGGGCGTTTCACCGCCATCTCGCGCGCGGGCATGATTATACTTTTCCCGTCCGTTCGCTCGCGCGTCTCGCGCGCGTCGCCGTCGTCGCGCTGTGCCGCGCGCCGACGCGGCGCGCCGAAAACGACCGACCGACCGTTTCGGACAGCTGGCAACGCGGTCGGTCGGACACATACTCTTAAAACCACGTTCCGTACGCACGAAAACGCGCATATAATTCCCACGAAACCCCATGTCGAGACGATCGCGGAGTCAACGTGGCGGCGGCGTCGCGAATGTGACGCCGCGAATGTGATCGCGCCGTCACATTCGCGCGCGCGACGTCGCGCACGCGCGCACTCGACGCTCGAGCGCGAGCGACGCCGCGAGCGACGCCTCGAGCGACTCGGAGGGGGGCGAACCCGCGACGAACGCGCGAGGACGCGCGAAATCGACGCGCGAAATCGAAATCTTAAATCTTTGACTCTGGACGAGACGCGATGGTGCAGGGAACGGTGTCGTCCGTGGGATTGCCCGCGGGATGGCAGGAGGTGCACGCGGAGGGGAAGGTGTATTATTGGCACATGGCGACGAACGTGACGACGTACGATCGCCCGACAGAGACGACGAAGGCGGAGAATAAGTTTGGATATCTCGGGCACTCCGGGGCGTCGTTCACGCACTTGGGCGCGGATGATTCGTACGGTGCGGAGGAGTACAACGCGCCGCCGCCTGACGCGTACAGTCGAGGGAAAGGACTGGAGCTGAAGGATTTGGGGTACGGCGCGACGGAGAGTGGGAATGATTTTCGAAAGAGGCACGAGATTAGCGTGCGAGCGCCGCCGGGGCTGACGGTGCCCGATCCGATGATGAACTTTGACGCGGGACCGTGGCCGAAGCCGTTGTTGGACGCGGTGAAGCGCGCGGGATACACCGAGCCGACGGCGATTCAATCGCAGTCGTGGCCGATCGCGTTGCAAGGGTACGATATGATCTCCGTGGCGAAGACGGGGAGCGGGAAGACGGTGGCGTTCTTGTTCCCGGGTTTGATGCACATCGCCGAACGCGGTAATGGGCGCAACGCGCGAGGGCCGATGATGTTGGCGCTCGCGCCGACGCGCGAACTCGCGACGCAAATTCAAGAGGAATGCATGAAGTTTGGCTCTTCGTGCGGCGTCGGGTCGGTGTGCTTGTACGGGGGCGCGCCCAAGGGGCGTCAGCTGCAGCAGTTGCGCAACCGTCCGCAAATCTGCATCGCCACCCCGGGTCGCTTGAACGATTTGTTGGAAAGCCGCATGGTGGACATGTCTTCCGCGACGTACGTCGTGCTCGACGAGGCCGATCGCATGCTCGACATGGGTTTCGAGCCGCAAATTCGCAAGATTCTTCAACACGTCCCGGTGGACCGCCAAACGCTGTTTTTCACCGCGACGTGGCCCAAGGCGGTGATTCGCGTCGCGACCGCCATCTTGACCAACCCGATTCAAGTCAACATCGGCGACACCGACCAGCTCGTCGCGAACAAGGACATCACGCAAACCATCGAAGTTTGCTCCGGGTTCGAGAAGGAGAAGCGCCTGATGGAGATTTTAAATAACCCGCCCGAAGGTTGCGATCCTCTCAAGGCGCTCGTTTTCTGCTCCACCAAGCGTATGTGCGACCAACTCGGTCGATCCGTCGGTAACTTGGCCGGGATCATTCACGGCGACAAGGAACAGCGCGAGCGCGACTGGATCTTGAACCAGTTTCGCCAAGGTCGAACGCCCGTGCTCGTCGCCACTGATGTCGCCGCGCGTGGGTTGGACGTCAAGGACTGCAACTTGGTCATTAATTACGATTTCCCCAACCAAATCGAAGACTATGTCCACCGTATCGGTCGTACTGGTCGCGCCGGCAAAAAGGGCTGGGCGTTCTCGTTCATCGACGGCGGCGAAGGCAACATGGCTCGCAAGCTCATCCCCATTCTTCGCGACGCGAACCAAATCGTGTCGCCGGAAATTGAAGAGATGGCGCGTTCTGCCGGGTTCGGTCGCCCCAAGGGCGGTCGTCGCGGTGGTGGTGGTCGTCGCGGCGGCGGCGGCGGCGGTGGCTACGGCGGCGGCGGCGGCGGCTACGGCGGCGGCGGCGGCGGCTACGGCGGCGGCGGCGGCGGCTACGGCGGCGGCGGCGGCGGCTACGGCGGTGGTGGTGGCGGCTACGGGGGAGGCGGCGGCTACGGTGGCCCGCAACGAGGCGGCGGCTACGGCGGCGGCGGTGGCGGCGGCTACGGCGGCGGCGGCGGCGGCGGCTGGGCTGGTGGCGGCGGCAGTGGCGGCGGAAACCCATTCGGATCGAGACCGTATTAAATAAATAACGGGCGAACGAATTGATTTACAGCTGGAAATCGGAAGGCGGAGAACCCGATCGGATCACATTGTTTAGTAGCGAACGAACGCGCGAGATGATACGAGAGATGACTTTGGCGTGTTATTGAACCACATACGTATGTGCACTTCGTGGTTCCCTTTACGCGCCTTCGAGTCGTCTCCCTCACCCGCGCTCTTCGTTCGCCTCGCTTTCTGATCGATCATCCGTCAGCGATTCCGGCACATAACGACTACAACGATAAAACTACTCACATTAACTAACTTCTGAGGATCTCACGCGCGTCCTCCAAACCGCGCGACGCCCGCGTTCGGACATCGAGCGATTGACCCGCAAACACTCACTCACGACGACCGCTCGATGCCCCAAACCGATGCGATGTACTCGTCTCGCCCGGACACCGCGCGATAGAACCGATATCTATTCGGGTTCTTCAAATAATAATCTTGATGGTATCGCTCCGCCGGCCAAAAAGTCATCCCGCTCGCGTCCACGACTTCAACTTTAATCGGCGCCCCGAACACGTTCGCCCGTTCGAGCTCTTCCTTTGACTTCTCCGCCGCCCGCTTCTGCGCGTCGTCCATCGCCCAGATAACCGGGCGATATTGTTTGCCCGCGTCCACGAACTGCCCGTCGTCTCTCGTCGCGTCTATTTGACGCCAGTAAACGCTCAACAACTTTTCATAACTCGTCTTCGCCGCGTCGTACACCACTCTCACGCTTTCGACGTGACCAGTCTTTCCCGATCCCACGTCGCGATATCGAGGACGCGCCACGTCGCCACCGATGAACCCGCTCGTCACCGCGCGCACGCCGTCGAGCGTCTCGAACGGCGCCGTCATGCACCAAAAGCATCCTCCCGCGAACACGGCCACGGCCTCGTTCGCGCCGACCGCGGGTAAATCCGCGGGTAAATCCTCGTCACCGGTGATGAAACCGAGGTCGTGCGCGGCGTCGATCGCGAGCGGCGCGGCCAGGGCGAGCGACGCGGCGTTGATGATGCCGCGTCGGGTGATGGGCGATGACGTCGCGTTTTCTCTCTCATTCGTCGCGTCGACGCGCGCGTCGCGACGCGCGCGGTTCGAACGAATCGTCGCGCGTCGCTCGCGCGCGACGAGGGCGGCGGGCGCGCGCGCGACGGCGCGCATGCGCGGAGAGGTGTGCGGGACGGCGCGGCGGGCGCGGCGAGGCGTGCGGGACGGCGCGGCGGGCGCGGCGCGGTGGGCGCGAATCGCTCTCTCATTCATTCTAAGCGTCCTAATCCGTGTTGCGGTTCGAGCGGTCGACGCGACGCTCACTTCGCCGCCGCCGCCTCGCGCTCGCGCTGGCGCTTGACGTCGAAATTATACACGCGCGCCATGTTCACCTCCATGATTGTCGCGTTGTCCTTCAAAACCGCCAAATCCCTCGCGTTCGCCTCCAGCCCGCTCTCGCACGCCGTCACGTTCGTCTCCAACAGTTCCTTCGCCTCGTCCAGCGTGTACTCCAGCATCACGTTCGCCCCGAGCCACAGGTACGCGCTCTCCGGCGTCTCCACCGTCGCCTCCGCGAACGTCGCCTCGGTCAACTGATACTTCACCGTCGTCCCGCTCGCGTCGCCGCGATCGCGCTTCTCACACAGCGTCTCCACGGCCTCGAGCGATCGCCGCACGTCCGGCAGCTGCGTCGAGAGTCGTATCCGCGCCTGCTGCAGCTCCGCCTCGAGGCGTTTGTATCGTCCGTACCGCGCGCGCATCTCCTCCATGACCTCATCGATCGCGCGCTCGCCCACGTGCGCCGCGACGTCCTCGATGAACTATCGCGTATGCGTCCGACGCGTCGCACGTCAGTCTCTCGCGCGCTCGCGCGCGCGCGTCGTCGTCGTTCGTCGTTTCGACGTCGACCGGACGTTCGTCCCGCGAGTCAACGCGATCGCGCGCGTCGCGTCGTCGGTTTTCCTCGCGCGCGCGTCGCGCCGTCGCGCGCACCTTGGCCCCGGGCACGCCCGCGCTCGCGCCCGCCGTCGCCGTCGCCGTCGTCGCCGTCGTCGTCGCGTCCGCCATCCCGCGTCGCTTTTTGACGCCGCGGTCGTCGTCGTCGTCGTCCGCGCTCGTCGACGCGCGCCGCGCGATCGTCGCGCGCGCGACGCGCGGCGCGGCGCGAACGCATGCGCCCCGGCGCGGCGCGCGCGACGCGCGACGGCGGCGCGCGCGTCGCGCGAAGCGATTTGAATCGCGTCGGGACGGCATCGCGCGCGCGACGACGGCGCGCGACGACGCGCGCGCGCGACGCGCGACGCGCGATGGGCGGCGCGCGCGCGTCGAGACCGGACGGCGCGCGCGCGAGGGCGACGGCGACGGCGAGAGGGACGAGGACGGATGGATTGGAGATTTCGAGCGGCGAACCGGCGCCGCTGGGACCGACGGCGACGACGTCGGGAGGGATAAACTTCGCGACGTACAGCGAGAGCGCGAGCGAGGTGAGCCTGTGCGTGTACGATGAGAGCGATGATTGGAGCGAGGCGACGCCGCGGTGGGAGGTGCCGATGACGAGGACGGGGAACGTGTGGCACGCGCGCGTCGAGCGCGGGGCGCCGAGACGAGGGGCGAGGTACGGGTATCGATGCAAGGGCGCGGGGGGGTGGGAGACGGGCGCGCGATGGTACGAGGATCGGGTGATGATGGATCCGTACGCGCCGCTCGTGGAGGCGCGAAGGAAGGTTTTCGGGGAAGGGCCGAAACACGCGACGCACGGCGACGTCAACGATCCCGACATGTTGAGCGGGTACGATTTCGAATCCGAGCCGTTCGATTGGGCGGGCGTGGAATCGCCGAAGATCGAAGAGAAAGATATGATCGTTTATGAAATGACGGTGCGCGCGTTCACCGCGGATGCGAGCTCGGGGTTGGATGAGAAGACGAGAGGTTCGTACGCGGGCGTCGCCGCCAGGGTGGATCACTTGAAAGCGCTCGGCGTCAACGTCGTCGAGCTCTTGCCGGTGTTCGAATACGACGAGATGGAGTTTCAACGCATTCCGAACCCGCGCGATCACATGATAAACACGTGGGGTTACAGTACGATGAGTTTCTTCGCGCCGATGTCGCGGTTCGGCACAAAGGGCGCGTCCGCGGCGCGAGCGTCTCGAGAGTTCAAGGAGATGGTGAAAGCGTTACACGCGGCCGGGATCCAAGTCATTCTCGACGTCGTGTACAATCACACGGGAGAGATGAACGACGAGTTGCCGAACCTGTGTTCTATGCGTGGAATCGACAACAAGACGTATTACATGACGGACACGTCAAAGTACGTGCAAATGTTAAACTTTACGGGGTGCGGCAACACGCTGAATGCGAACCATCCGTACGTTTCCAAGTTCATCGTCGATTCGCTGAAACACTGGGTGCGAGAATATCACGTCGACGGCTTCCGTTTCGATCTCGCCAGCGCGCTGTGCCGGGACGAGAAGGGACATCCCATGAACTCGCCTCCGGTGATTCGAGCCATCGCGAAGGATCCCGAACTTTCGCACGTCAAGCTCATCGCCGAGCCTTGGGATTGCGGCGGACTGTACCAAGTCGGTAGTTTCCCCAACTGGGACCGCTGGTCTGAATGGAACGGCGCCTATCGCGACGTGTTGCGGCGCTTCATAAAGGGCGACGAGGGCGTCAAGAGCGACTTTGCGAGACGCATCAGCGGCTCTGCCGACATGTACCACACGAACAAACGCAAGCCATACCACTCGGTCAACTTTATCACCGCGCACGATGGGTTCACGCTTCACGATCTGGTCAGCTACAACGGTAAGCACAACATGGCAAACGGGGAATCAAACAACGACGGCTCGAACGACAACTTGTCTTGGAACTGCGGACACGAGGGCGAAACTGGCGACAAGGCGGTGCGAGGACTTCGCTGGCGTCAGATGAAAAACTTTCAAGTGGCGCTGATGATCTCTCAAGGGACGCCCATGATGGTGATGGGCGATGAGTACGGTCACACACGGTACGGGAATAATAACACGTACGGCCACGACGACAAGTTGAACAACTTTCAGTGGAACGAACTCGAAAAGCAAAAAGCGCACTACTTTCGATTTTCGTCCGAGATGATCAAGTTCCGACTTGCGAACCCTTTGCTCGGTCGCGAAGACTTCTTGAACGACGATGACGTCACGTGGCACGAAGATCGATGGGACGATCCGTCGTCAAAGTTTTTGGCGTTTACGTTGCACGACCGCGGGCAAGGTTTCGGCGATACATACATCGCCTTCAACGCGCACGAATTCTACGTCGACGCCGCGCTACCTGCGCCACCTCACGGTAAGCGTTGGGCGAGAGTCGTGGACACAAACTTGCCATCGCCCGAAGACTTCATCGCGGAGGGCAAATTTGGCGTCGAGTCGCGATATAACGTCGCGCCGCGCGCGAGCGTTATCCTCGTCGCCAAGTAGAGCTACTGTACCTTATATATAGATGCCTTGCTAACTCTTGACTATTGAAATGCTATGTCTATTTCTAAGAAGAATCCTCCCGTCGCGCACAACGCGCCACAAACTCTAAGATCCAATCCACCGTCTGCTCGACGACGCGCGCGTCCGTCGCGGCGGAAAAGTGATCCGCCCCCTTTAACACTCGCAGTTCCCTCACTCCACGCTCGAGCTTCTCCTCTACGAGCGTTTCCATCGTCTTCACCGTCGTAAACTCGTCGCGTTCGGGATGAATGAACAATTTCGGCGTCTCGCTCTCCGCGAGCGCGTCGAAGTGGTCTCGCATCAACCACTTCGCCCCGACTCCGTACAATCCACACCCGTACGACCCTCGCGGGTACCCGATCGCGATGTACGACGCCACGTTCGGATGTTTCCTCTTCAGCGCGTACCCGCATATCGTCCCACCGTACGAATATCCGACCAAATGACATCGCGCGTTCGCGTTCGCGCCCGCGAGCGTCCCGTTCGCCGCGAGCGCGCACGCCGCGAGCACGTCCTCTCCCTCCGCCTCGCTCCCTCGCCACGTGCTCGAGCCCAGGGACTCAGAAGTACCGCGCAGCGCGACGCACACCGAGCCGTGCCCGCGAGCGGCGAGAGAACGCGCGAGCGGGAGCATCATCTGTCGACAACCACCGAGCTTTGGATGGGCGTGGACGAGAATAAACCAGTCCTCGCGCGCGCGCTTCTCGTCCTCGGCGCGCGGGAAATCGGTGATGAGACATTCGATGCGCGTGCCGTCGCTGGATGCGGTGAAGTGGCGCCACTCGCGCGCGGTGGGCGGCATGCCGGACGCGGCGTCGTCTGAGGCGGCGGCGGCGAGCGGCGAGCGACGAGCGACGAGCGTCAATCAAATCGTTCGCAATACAACTCGTGGGGATTAATGGTGACGACGACAGCGCGTCCATCGCGTGCTTTCGGCTTCTTTCGCGCTTTACACGCGTCAACTCGAATCGGGCTTTTCGCCCGTGTACGCCGCGGCGACGGCGGCGAAATCGCTGTTGGCGTGCCCGAGCGATTTCGCCTTGAGATATTGCGCGTTCGTCGCCGCCGTGATCGGCGCGGCGAAATCAAGCTCATCCGCCAAGTTCAACGCTAGACGTAGGTCTTTCTGTTGTAGATACACCTGGAAATTCGGGGCAAAGTTCCGATCGGCCATGAGCTTACCCTTGGCCGTCGTGAGCGGCGATCCCATCGCGCTGTGCGACAGCATTTCCAAAATAGCGTTCGAGTCCAACCCCGCGCGTTCGCTCAGCGCGTGCATCTCCCCGAGCGCGCCGACGACGTTCCCCATCATGATTTGCAACATCAATTTCGCCCTCGCCGCGTGCGTCGGGCTGTCACCGACGAGCCAACGCTTCGCGCCCATGACGTCCATGAACCGCGCGCCGTCTTCGTACGCCCGCGCGTCGCCGCCTCCCAGGAACAAAAGCTCCCCTTTCGCCGCGTCGCGCCACCCCCCAGACACCGGCGCGGCTAAGAACCGCACGTTTTCTCCCAAAATCTCTCGCGTCGCCTCTCCGCACGCGCCGTCGACGGTGGAACAATCGACGTACGTCCTCGCGTCTCCGTCCCGCGTCCCGCTCGCCGCCGCGTACGCCCTCGCCACCTCCAGCGCCGCTCGCGGATCCGCCAGCATCGCGAACGTCACCTCGCACCGCGCCGCGACGTCCGCCACGGCGTCCACGACGTCGATCGCCCCTCCGTTCGCGCGCATCGCCTCGGCGTCGTCGCGCTCGAACGCCGCGCGCGTCGCCTCCGCCTTGTCCCGCGACCGATTCCACGCCACCACGCGCGCGCCCGCGCGCGCGAGCGCGCGCGACATCGCGGCGCCCATGATGCCCATTCCGATGAACCCGACCGCGGCGCCGCGCGCCGCCGTCGACGCGCCGCGACGGCGCATGCCGCCGAAAACCGCGCGGAAAAGTGACGAAAAGTGACGGCGCCGGCGGTCGGCACTTCGCGCCGCCTCGCGACGCGCCCGATGGCGCGCGTCGCGCGCGCGACCTCGCGCGCGGTGATCTCGACGCGTCGCGACGCGCGCGACGCGTCGCGTCGCTCGAGCGCGGCGCGACGCGCGCGACGCGGCGTCGGGACTCGAACCGCCGCCGCGCGCTCGAGCGACGCCGCGCGCGAGCGCGAGCTCGAGTACCTCGAGCGCGCGTCGACGCCGAGCGATGTCTTCACCGAGCGCGCGTTCGGCGACGCCGCGCTCGCGGAGTCGTGCCTGCGGGCGATGCGCGTGCAGTGGACGCACGGCTACGCGAGCGCGCCGAGCGGGTTCGCGCGGTGCACGCACGGATTCGGGGAGATTCTGGCGGGCATGCAGCCCGCGGCGTGCGATTTGATAATGCGAGAGTGCTTCGAGGCGACGGAGACGCGGAGCGTGCTGGATCCGTTCGCGGGTGGAGGGACGACGCTGGTGTGCGCGCAGACGCTCGGGTGGCGCGCCGTCGGCGCGGACGTGTCGCCGTTGGCGTGCTTCGTGAGCGCGAATAGAAATTGGCGCGCGAGCGAGGAGGAGGTGGAAGTGATGCTCGAAAGCGCGCGGACGGTGACGGATCGAGCGGGGACGAGGGAGGAGAAAGACGGAGCGAACGATGAGGACGCGAGCGACGTCCCGAGATCTTGGCGGGCGGTTCGGGACGCGTTGAGGGAATACTTGGCGAGCGATGCGTTCGTCGGTGCGCCGCGCGTCGCCGAGGGGTTGTGGTTTTGCATGTCAGTCGCGCTGCAAAGGACGCAAAAGTCTCAAAACAAGCGTCGGCATAAGGGTAAGAGTAAGGGAAAACGCGGCGGCGGCGGCGACGACGCCTCGCGCGTCAATGCGGAGACGTTTCTTAAAACTGTCGAGGAATACGCGAATCGTTTGGAGCAGTTTCGAGAGGAATGTGCGAAACATGCGGGTGCGCCCGCGCCGCCCGCGTCGATTCACAACGTCGACGTCAGGAAATTCAAGCTTTCGGCGGAGGACAAAGTCGACGCCGTGTTGACGTCGTGTCCGTACCCGGCGGTGTACGATTACTTGTCGTTCGCGCGCAAGGTGCGCGCTGGGAGCGGTGCGGTCGTGCCATCATCCGCGTCGTTCTCGGCGCGATCCGGTCCGACGTCCTCGTACGTCAACACCGTCGTTCCGGGAGACAGAAATTGGCCCGCCGGTTGGACGGAGGGCGAAATAGGTTCTCGGCGCGCGCTCCGTTCCGATCCTTACGCCTTCAAGGACGTCTGGCAGCGCGAACAAGAGGAATGGCTCGCCGTCGTCGCCGATTCGCTCACCCCTCGCGGTCGCGCCGCGATCATGGTCGGCGACGGCGCAAACATCGACACTCGCGCCTCCATCGTCGCCGCCGCCGCCAAATTCGCCCTGCGCGAAGTCGCCGGCTGCACGATGAAGCTCACGACCACCACGGAGGAGGGCAGGGTGTACAACCAGGCTCGCACCGAGCACTTAATCCTATTCGATCGCGCGTGAATCGTCATCATCTTCACATCTCGACGCTCGTTCGTCGCGCGTCGTCGTCGATTCCGCGCTCGCGCGCGCTCGCTCGTCGTCGACGCGCCGCGCCGACGCCGTCCGCACTGCGAGACTCCCGCGCGTCGCGTCCCGCCGCCGTCGTCGCCGGCGTCGATGCGCGCGCGCGCGAGCGCGTCGAGCGCGCCGCGAACCGCGCCGCGCGCGCGTCGCGCGGCGCGGCGACCGTGCGATCGACCGCGAATTCATCCAACGAATTCGTTTCGCGCCTTCTCTTCGCGCGCGCGGGCGTCGTCGTGGCGAGACGACGCCGACGGCGCGCCCGCGAACGATGCGATCGCGGCGTCGACCGCGGATGAGGCGTCGAGCGACGAGGACGACGGCGTCGAGGGCCGACGCGCGGCGAACGGGACGGCGACGACGGCGAACGCGACGCCGGGAGGACGATTCCCCGGTTTGCTCGGATTTCCCGGGATTCTGAACCTGCCGCGAGGGGCGGTGTCGAGATGGGACAGTAAACCGAGCGCGCTGCGGGACTTGGCGAGGGATCAGGTGCCGAGACACGTGGCGATCATCATGGATGGGAACTCGCGGTGGGCGGAACGGCGGCGATTGCCGCGGACGATTGGACACGAACGCGGCGTGAACGCGCTGCGGGGGGTGGTGAAATGCTGCGTGGCTTGGGGCATAAGCACACTGACGGTGTTTGCGTTCAGTCAGGAGAACTGGGGGCGGAACCAAGCGGAAATTGAAGAGCTCATGGCGCTCGTGGAGACGGCGATGCGAGAGGAGTTGCCGTTGCTCGTCAAGGAAGGCGTGCGCGTGGAAGTCATCGGGGATTTGAGTAAAGTGAACGAGGGCGTGCGCAGTGCGGTGACGCGAGCGATGGAGGCGACGAAGGATAACGATTCGTTGCGTCTGGTGGTGGCGTTGAGTTACGGCGGTCGGCAGGACATCGTGCAAGCCGCCAAGACGCTCGCGCAAAAGGTTGCGGACGGGGAGATGCGCGCCGAGGACATCGACGAAGCGGCACTGAGCGCGCATTTATCGACATACGACGCACGCGCGGCGACGAACGAGATCGATTTCGCGCAGGCGCCGGATTTATTGATTCGCACGAGCGGCGAGCAGCGCCTGAGCAACTTTCTCCTCTGGGACCTCGCGTACACCGAACTGTACTTTGCGCAAATGTTTTGGCCCGAGTTCGGCGAAGCAGAACTGCGCCGGGCGTTATACGCCTACGCCAAGCGCGACCGTCGATTCGGCGGTCGCACGTGATCGATCGCGAGTCGAAATCTTCGCCTTGTAACAGCAAACCGCGCGCGCCGCTTTCCCACCGCACTCTTCAGCGCGCGCTCCCGCTCGCGCTCGACGCCGCGCTCGCGGACGCGCGAACGCGAAGACTCTCTCTCGCGCGTCCCTCATGCCCGGCTTCACCGCCGCGCGCGTCGCGCGCGCGTGTCCCCGCTCAAACTGCGACGCTTTCCGGCACCGCCGAACGCGCGCGCGCGCGTCCTCCACCGCGCGCGCGCCGACGCCGCGCGCGGCCGTAAAGGTGACGTTCATCTCCGAGGACGGTAAATCGGCGCCGGTGACGACGACGGTGGAGAAACCGGAGGTGCTGCGAACCGTCGCGTTGGACGCGAAGCGCGAGCTGTACGCGGGCGTGAACAAATTGCTCAACTGCGGCGGCATGGGCAACTGCGGCACGTGCGGCGTCGACGTTCTCCGAGGCGGCGAATTTCTGAGCGAGCGCACCGACCCCGAGGCGCGAAAGCTCAGCGCTGGAAAGTTGAAGGAGAGTTGGCGGTTATCGTGTCAGTGCGTCGTCGACGGCCCGGACGGCGCCGAGCTCGAGGTCGCTTTGCGTCCGAAGAAGTGAAGCCGCGACGATTTCGAGCGTCGTCACGCGCGTTCTTTTAACCGCGACGCATTTAGGCGCCTCGTTTCTCGTCGTTTCCCGTCGACGCGGCGCCTCGTCCCGCACTCGTCGACTCGCTCGACGCGTCATGGCGCGTTCGCGCGTCGTCGACGCCCCGTCGTCGACTTCGCGCGACGACGCGCCGTCGTCGACGACGAACGCGTCCGCGCGCTTCGTCGCCGGATGCGCGTCCGGCGCGGTGTCGCGGATCGCGACGCAGCCGTTGGAGGTGCGACGGCTGCGCGTGATGACGGGTCGCGGTTCCAACGAATCCACGTCCCTGCGCGCCATCTATCGCACCGAGGGCGCGTCCGCGCTGTTCGCCGGCACCAAAGCCTCGGTCGCGCGACACGCGCCCGCGAAAGGGTTGAACTTTTTGGTCTTCGGCGCGGTGAAGGAGGCGCTGCGGCGCGCTCGAGCCGCCGCGGGGACGTCGACGTCGAACGCGGCGCGCGCGAGCGACGCGCTGATCTCGGGCGCGGTCGCGGGATTGTCGTCGCTCGCGCTGTTGTACCCGCTCGACTCGTTGCTGGTGCGACAGGCGACGGGCGGGCCGAGCGCGGCGACGCTCGGCTTGGGACGCGGGTTGCGTAAAATTTTTCGCGACGAAGGCGCGCGGGGCCTGTACCGAGGCGCGTTACCGGCGGCGATAGCCGTCGTTCCCGAGGCCGCGATCACGTTCGGGAGTTACGATTTAATGCGCGATTGGTACGGGTGCGTCCTCTTTCGCCTCGTCGCTTTTTCGTCCGACTGACGCGCGTCTTCGTCGCAGCCGTCGCGCCAAGTCCGCCGCTCGCTCCGCCGCCGCCGCCGCCGCTCCGAGCCTCGCGTTCGGCATGATCAGCGCCGCGTGTGGTCAAGCCGTGAGCTTTCCCCTCGACGTCGTCTCCCGTCGAATGGTCGTCGAGCGCGGCGGTTTTCTCGCCGTCGCCCGCGCGTTATTCCGCGACCGCGGTCTCCGCGGTTTCTACGCCGGCCTTCGCGCGACGACCGTGAAAACCATCCCGATGAGTTCGCTCAGTTTCTTCGCGTACGAGTGCGCGATGCGCGCGCTCGCGCCCGGAGACGCCTGAAACGATCGCCTAAAACAAAACAAACTCCCTCTAGCCACCCAGCCAAATTCCAAAGTTTCCCGCGCGAAATCGACACCGCGATGTACATAGGGATGGTTCCGTATTGTAGCGCCCCGCGAAAGACGTCACGCCCTCGCGCGCGCGCGCGCCGCCGCACACGCGCGCGCGCCGCCTCCCGCGTCGCTCGACTCGCTCGCGCCGCCGAGAAAAAAATCCACGCGCCGCGTCACCCGCGCGCGAACCCGCCGCGCGCGTCGCACCGCTCGCGGACCGCGAAAGATGACGTCCGCGAAGGCGCTCGCGCAGATGAGCGGGCACGCCGAGCGAGACTGCGCCGACGTCCTCGACGCGTGCGGCGGCGACGTCGATCGCGCGATCGATCGGTTGTTAAACAGTGCGTGCGACGAGACGGCGCGGACGGGCGAGCGAGGCGCGGCGAACGCGCGAGCGACGGTAGACGATGGGACGACGGGCGATCGCGGCCCCGCCGCGTTTGGCGGCTGACGAATCGCGACTCGAGGGATGGGGACGACGCGCGACGACGCGAACGACGCGGACGACTGACGACGACTGAGCGCGCGCGATGACAGTGGATAAGTTTGAGACGATCGGAAAGAAACAGAAGAAGAAGCCGGCGAACGGGGCGCAGAGCGGGGCGGGGGGTAAGGTTGGGAATCAACATAATAACAGAGACGGCGGCGAACGACGAGGCGGAAAGTTCGGCGGGGAACGGACGAACGGACGCGCGTACGACGGTCAAGGGCGCGATGGTAAGCCGGGGAGAAATGGGAAGTTTGAGAATGGTGGGAAGTTCCCGACGCCGCGCGCGGGTGAGCGCGGGGATGAGCGCGGAGGGAAGCCGGCGAGAGCCGCGGCGGCGCCCGCGGCGGCGGCGGCGCCCTCGGCGGCGCCGGCGAAGCTCGAACCGGCGCCGAATCCCGCGCCGATTCGGCCTGGTGGGAAAACACTCGCTGATTTAGTTCGTGGTGAGCCCGCGGTGGCGGCTCCGGCGCCGTCGGCGGCGCCGCAAGCTGGTCGCGGCGGCGCCAAGGGTGGCGCGGTGCCGCGCCCGCAAGGCGGCAAGCCGGCGCCCAAACAAGCTGCGGCGCCGGCGAGCGCGGCCGAGGCGACGATGAACTGGGCCAAGAAGGTGGCGGGTCCGGGTGCGCCCGCGCCCGCGGCGGCGGCGCCGGTGGCGGCGCAACCTCCCGCGCAGCAGCAACAGCAACAGCAACGACCCGCGGCGGCGCAGCAACAATCCGCCGAGAGCTTTGGCTTTGGTTTCGACGCCGCCGCGCAGGCTGCTGCGGTGCCGCGACCGCAGCAAGCGCAAGCGAACGATCGCGCGCAAGCGCAAGATCTTGGCCTTCAGTTTGGCAACTTCTCCACCTCAGGCGGTGACTTTGGCTTTGGATTTGATTCGTCCTCAGCCGTCAACGGCTCGGCGGCGGGCTGGGGCGTGCAGCAGCAACAGCCGCAAGCGAACAAGAAGCAATCTAGCAGAAATTCTGGTGTGGCCTCCAAGTTGCCGGACGCCGTCAACGGCAGCACGACGACGAGCGGTGCCGCGGAGCAGCAAGCAGCGTACCCGGCGTACTTTGGCGGTATGATGCCCAACGCCTACGGCAACTACATGATGCCTCCGGCGGTGCCCATGGCGGGCGGCTACACTGGCTACGAAGGTTACCAGCAATCGGCGCAACCCGCTGATCAAAACAACGCGTATGCGGATTACTACAAGCAACAAGCCGCGGCGCAGAGCCAACAAGCGGGCGGCGACAAGACGCAGTCCACTTCGGGCTCGAGCGCGGCGCCGCAACAAGCGTTCGCCAACATGCCCAACGCGTATGGCCATCCCATGTACTCCTACCCTTACGCCATGCCGCACCAACCTGCGTACCCGTACGCGGTGCAGCAAGCCTACCCTCCCGCGTACCCCCCGGCGTATGCCGCGGCGCCGGGCGCCAAGCAAGGCGCTCCGCCGGGATACAAGACCCAAGACGGATCCGATCAAAACGGCGCGCGTCAGAACAACGGTCGCGCGGCTCAATACACCGAGCAGCAGATGCAACAACAAGGCTACTACACCCAGCAGTCGCAGTACGCGCAGCAATACGCGCAGTACGGCGGCCAAGGGTACCGTCAGTCCTAAGCGCTCCCGTTTCCCGACACACGAATTTAATATTCACATCACCCGTGTTTAGGCAAAGGCGCGAATACGTCATTTTCTCGCTTTGAAAATTAAAAATGAATGCTTGCCTCGGAGCGGCCTACTCGCGCGTGATTAGTTGCCCGTGATGAGCGCGAGGGTGAGGATCACCATGGCGACCTTGCCGTTGACGCCCTCGGCGGTCGCCGTCCACGTCGTGGGCAAGCGCTCGTCCGGGAACGTGGCGTTCTCGTCCGGAATGGCGCCGCGAAGAGACGTCGCGCCGGTCGCCGCGGGCGCGATCGTCGCCGCGGTAACGGCAGCCATGATGAAGAGCATGGAACTGAAGCCGCCGGCGGTGAACATTTGATGCGCCACCGAGCCGCCGCCGCCGATTTTCGACAGCAACGCCAAGACGGCGCCCACCATCGCCGCGCGTCCGTTCACCACCTCCGGAATCTTATACTTGGCGTTAAATCCAACGAAATCGGTGATTTGCAACGACGCAAAATCCACGTCATCCCCAGCGCTCGCGCCCGTCTTCTTCGACATGTCCGCCTCGATCACGCCCGCCTTGTTCACTCGCGTCTCGAACGACGCCCCGAATTTATCCGTCACCGCGACTTCGTCCCCTCTCGCCTCGATCGTGTACACCTTCCCATCGATGTTTCGCGTCGTCTTCCCGTCCAGATTATTCACCAAGTTCGGTTTCGTCACCGCCATCGGTTTCCACGCGCTCGCGTCGCCGCCCTCCGCTCTGACCGCACCGCCTCGTCGTCTCGCCGCGCGTCCTCGCGTCGTCGCGAGCGTCGCCGATCGCGTCCCGAGCGCGCGCGTCGTCGTCGACATCTCGATTATTCGTTCGCGTCGCGCCTGCGCGTCGCGTTCGGAGCGCGGCATCCATCATCGTCAGTCCTCGTCTCTCGTCGTCGTCCCGTCGTCGTCGTCGTCGTCGTCGCGCCGCCGTCATCGCGTCGACGTCGACGCTTTGGATAATCTTTCGCGCGTCGCGCCGCGTCGCGCCGCGTCGCGCGCGGACGCGGCGCGACGTCGCGACGCGCGACCGCCTCTCGCGAATCGCGTTCGCGTCGCGCCTCGCGATGCGCGTTCGCGTCGCGCCGTCGCACCTCTGCGTTCGCGTCGCGATGTGCCGCACTCGCCGTCGCGCGTCGCGTCGCCATGGACGCCGGTCGGCGCGCCGCGCGTCGCGGCGTCGAAATCGCGCTGCGCGCCGTTCGCCATCGCGGCGCGAGCGACGGCGCGCGCGCGTTCGCGTCGCGCGCGGCGGATGATTGCGCGACGGCGCCGCGCGCGCGCCGAGGCGGAATCTCGACGCTCGCGGCCGGCGCGCTCGGCGTCTGCGGCGCGATGGCGGCGGTGCGATTCGCGGACGGAGACTGGGCGGAGGACGCGGAGTTCGCGGCGTACGGCGCGGCGACGCCGGCGCTGCGAGCGCTCGACGCGGAGACGGCGCACGACGTCGCGGTGGCGGCGCTCGCGCTGGGACTGGGACCGAGACGAAGGCGGCGAGACGGGGAGGCGCTGCGCGTGGAGGCGCTCGGGACGACGTTTTCGAACCCGATCGGTCTGGCGGCGGGATTCGATAAGGACGCGAGGGCGTTCGAGGCGTTGCTGAGGGTGGGATTCGGGTTCGTGGAGATCGGGAGCGTGACGCCGAAGCCGCAGCCGGGGAATCCGAAACCGCGCGCGTTCCGCCTGCGCGAACACGGGGCGGTGATCAATCGGTATGGGTTCAACAGCCAGGGACACGAGAGCGCGAGGACGCGATTGGCGAGGCGGCGCGACGCCGTCGCCGCCGAGGGCGACGACGCGACGGCGGAGCCGCGCGGGGTGCTCGGCGTAAATCTCGGGAAGAATAAGCTCACTCCTGAAGACAACGCGGCGGATGATTACGTCTTGGGGGTGGAGAATATCGGGGAATTCGGCGATTACATCGTCGTGAACATTTCCTCGCCGAACACGCCGGGTTTGAGAAACTTGCAAGGTCGCAAGCATTTGAGCGGGTTGCTGCGCAAGGTTTTGGACGCGCGCGACAAAAATCCGGGCACCGCGAAGACGCCGGTGTTGGTGAAAATCGCCCCCGATCTCACCGACGCCGCGTTGAGGGATATCGCGAGCGTGGTGAAGAGCGAAAAGGTCGACGGAGTCATCGTGAGCAACACCACCATCGCGCGACCGGACGCCATCAAAGCGCACGCGCACGGCGACGAAGCGGGCGGTCTGAGCGGTAAACCGCTCATGGAGCCGAGCACTAAGGTGTTGCACGACCTGTACAAGCTCACGGGCGGCAAAATCACCTTGGTGGGATGCGGCGGCATCGCCAGCGGCGAAGACGCGTACGCAAAGATTCGCGCGGGCGCGTCGTTGGTGCAGTTGTACACCGCGTTTGCCTTCGAAGGTCCGCCTTTGATACCTAGAATCAAGCGAGAACTCGAGGAGTGCTTGGCGCGCGACGGTTTCAAGAGTGTGCAAGACGCCATCGGCGCGGCGCACCGCAAGTAGATAACTGATATATGATATATGATATAGCAAAACACGTTTAATCCGCTACCAAACGAAAAAACTGTGCGTCAAAAAGGCGTCTGACGAGCGCGCTGGAATCCGCGGCAACGCGCCTACGTGCAATGTTGTCAATGAAAAAATAGAATCAGATGGTGGTGATATACGGCTGGACGCGTGAGAACGTTCAACTCGCCCGAGCAATCAAAGTAACGTCTGCGTCTTCACAACTCAGACTCAACAATAGAAGCCAACGCCGCGACGGCGTCTTCGTTTGATTTTTTATCGCCCACTGTGTGGTCGATGAGCTTAACGAACTGCTCTTCAGTCAACGATGCGCACGCCAAAAGCTCCTCTGCACTAGTCTCGGTGCACTGATCGTAGTCCGATTCTTGTTTGTAGAGAAGATGTCCAGATATTTCAAACACCGCCGGATTTACGCCCGTGTGAATGACGTGCTCTGGAATTTTGTTGTTCGCGATGCGAATCGAAAAGACCTGAGGGATCAAAAACACTCTCGCGCCGTGATCGGCGATCAAAATGTTAAACGGAATGTTCGCCCCTTGCAACTTCACGGCGCATCCACCCACGAGCGAGGCGAGCTCTTCGAAGGAATCGCCGACTTCAAAGCACAAGCAGCGCACCGGGTAACCGTTCACGCGGTATACGGTGCAGTCGCCATGCGTACCCGGGAAGATTTCGACCGTGTTCGCACGCTCGATGGGAAACGCTTCCATGAGATAGTACGCCTGAAAATGAAGATGATTGATCGTCGCGTACGCTCCGAGGGAGTTGTATCCTACGCGGAAGTACGGATTTCGCGATTCAGCCGCCATGTACAGCGCCGGAAGCAAATTTTCTGGGCTGATTTGCTGCGGAAGCATGTCTGTCACGCGAGGACAAAGCAGCACGTGTCCGTACTCGATCGGCGAAACATTGATCAGAACCACGGTCGGGCTCTCACCCACGGCTGCTGACGGTTCAAACACAGAGCGACTGACGTTTTCGTCCGCCTCACCAGCGAGCTTGGTGAAAGAAAAGAGCACCTCTTTGAGATCCGCTTTCGTGAAGTTGAACTTGTTCGCGTCAAAGTCTTGGCAAACCTTATCCACAGAAAACTCTGTCGGGCGTTTATTCGTCGCTCGACCGATGTTGAACTGCGCGACGTACTTCTTTTTGCCGTCTATAACCTTTGTGCTGACCGCGGTGACGTCGTACCGAAACAAGCCGCCGGCGAATCGATCTTCCCACGCGGAGATCAAAATGCGATCGAATTCACTCGCGTCGGTGACGTAACCAGAAAGACCCCAAGAGTCGTTGTCATCGTCTTCGTCGTCGGACACGCTCGAAGCGTACCCATCAATGTCGGGAACGATGAGATCTTGAAAAGACCCAAACGAACGCACGCGCTTGAACACTTGCACGGCTTCGTGTTTCAAGTATCCGATCTTCGGGAGTTGAAACTTCGACGTGCGTGACAGTGCCCCGACTTTCGCCGAACTTTTGTCGCTGTCAAGATCATCGAGTTGATGCAGCGACAACACGCTCGGCGTCGAAGGTCTCGGCGTCGCCGTTCGGCTCAGGGTCTCCGTCATGACGGTAGCGTCAGCGATTCCCGCGATCAGCCCCAGGCGTTCCTAAACCTTCTAACTAATACGACTCAGCCTTCGATAGTTCGCCTAAACCTGGCCTCCACCCGCGCTCAACTGCGTCACGTCGTTCGGCTCGGCGCCCTCGCGCGCCTCCCCACCTCGACCGGCGTCCAAATGTCGCGTATTCACGACCACCAACGCCTTCAAGCGTTCGTATCTCGTTTCAATCTCCGTTCGCATTTACGTTCACGACCGCTTTTGTGTCCAAATCTCGTATGCGAATGCACGCGCCCCGTTGCAAGTCGTCGCGTGCGCTTTCTCAGGCTCAGCCTTTATCCGGCCCCAAAAAGTTCCGAACTTTACGATTCTCACGCGCCCGTCTCGCGTCGTACGGCGCGTGTTTCGCGCGCGTTCGCCACGAGAATTTCTCGCGCACGTATCGTTCGCCCCCGCGCGCGCTTCGCACCGTCGCGTCGCGCGTCAGAGCTTCAGCACCGACCGCGAACCCTCAGACGTCACGCTTCTCTGAAACGTCGTCCCGAAGCTCTCGGGTCGCCGCCGCGCGTTCACGCCGCGATTCGCGTCGCACACGCGTCGCGCACGTTTCGTGTTCGCGTTCGACGATCACCTCGAGCGTCGAAGCGCGCGGCGATGCTCGCGAGGCGCTGCAAAGTGCGGCATAAAGCGATTTAAATCTCCTCGCAACGTTCACACAGTGTGTCGCGCGGTTCGCATGGCGCGCTGCGCGTCGTGCGCGTTTTCAGAGACGACGCTGGATGAGTGCACGACGTCGGACGGGGTCACGGACGACGCGAGCGCGATAGGCGCGAACGGGCGACGGAAATTCTTTGGCGCTGGGTTAGAGAGTTGGGCGAAGCTCGACGCCGCGGGTGTCATTCGCGCGCGATTCGTCGGTTTGCGCGAGGTAGAGAATTGCACGTTCGAGTGTTCTTTCGCTTGTGACGTCGCGCACGCGCGCGCACGCGCGAGGGTGGTGGCTGCCGGCGAAGAGGCGAGAGCGACGGCTTTGAGCGGCGGCGGTGGCGCCGCCGACGAAATAGAGGTGATGTGCGCGTTCGATGCGGTCGATCTGAGCTCTGTGATTCGACACGATGCGTTGAACGTCGGGGCGTTCGAGGTAATCGCGCGAACGCGGGATGGGGAGGAGTTGGCGCGCGCGGCGTTGCTGACGCGAGTCGAACAAGACGAAAGCGCGACGCTGCGAAGGTTAGTTTTGCCGTACGTGGCGAAATTTGAGTGATGGATATTAATCGTATGCGTGTTGTACCATGGTAGTTTTAGTCGCATCGATTGCCGGCGCCGAACCGAGATGTTGTTATTTATTTCAGAGCGACGGTAACATTTGGCTATTTTTATGACTCTCGCGCGAACGAGACCTGAGTGTACGCGCGCGCCGTGCGAGAGCATCGAACTTGAAATGTCGAAAACGACGAGTGTACTGCGTCAACGACGCGCGCTCCGCACGCGCACGCGTCGTTCGTGGCGTATTTTCGTGTACGTATTGTGTCGGCGAGCGAGCGTAAAGACCCAACTTCGACTCAGACTCGGATTGACTAACACGTCGAGCGTCTTGATCTCGCGACTCGCGACCGTAGATGCACTTCAATCGCTTTAATATCGTTTTGTACGGTGTCTTATCAACTGCTCTACGGGGTTGATCGCGTAATGTCGTCGCCAATGGCGCATTCGCGCCGGCTCGCCTCGAGCGGCGGATGCTCTGACGAGTACCCAGATTGGATTCATCAAGGTGGCTGGACGCTGTACGTAATCGGTATCTTATACATGTTTTTAGGCATAGCCATCGTATGCGACGATTACTTCGTGGCTTCGTTGGAAAAGATTTGCGACAAGCTCAACCTGAGCGAAGACGTCGCAGGCGCGACGTTCATGGCGGCGGGATCGTCTGCTCCAGAACTCTTCTCCTCTGGGATGAGCTTGATATCCCCCGACGCTACGAATGAGATTGGAATTAGCGCAATCGTTGGTTCCGCAGTTTTCAACATACTCTTCATCATAGGTGCCACGGTGCTCTGCGCTGGTCAGACGCTCGAGTTGGATTGGCGACCGGTGACGCGCGATTGCTCGTTTTACGCCCTCGCCATTACAACCATTCTGCTGATCTTTCACGACGGTGAAGTGTACTGGTACGAGGGGCTGATTTCAGTTATATTGTACTTCACGTATGTCTGTTTCATGTGTTACAACGAAAAAATTATGCGATGGATGAGTGGTAAAGGTGCGAAACAACCGAATCCCGAGCCGGCGCCCCTGGCGATGCCAGTCTTGCGACGCGCAGATACGCGTCGACAGTCTCGAAGACCGACGAAGGAGGAAACTCACGGTGTCGATGAAGGATTCGAATGGCCCGATTCCATGGCCGCGGTTCCATTACACGTCCTGGGCCTACCGTGGAGATATGCATTTCATTACACCATTCCAGACTGCTCAAAGCGCCATCTCGAGAAGTGGTTCGTCGTCGCCTTCCTCGCGTCCATCTCATGGATCAGCGTGATTTCCTACTTTATGGTTTCATGGGCCGCTCGCATGGGATGCATAATCGGGATCCCCGAAGTCGTCATGGGAATGTTGGTCGTCGCCGCCGGTACCTCGATCCCAGATGCTCTCGGTTCCATTGCCGTGGCGAAAGCCGGCGAAGGCGACATGGCCGTAGCGAACGCCGTCGGCAGCAACGTGTTTGACATTTGGCTCGGCCTCGGTCTTCCTTGGCTCATCATTTTACCGACAAAGCCAGGCGGCCGAGTACTCATCGAGACATCTCAGCTCATGCCTTCCATCGGTATTCTCTTTGGCGTGCTAGCCATGTACTATTTCGCGTTATTTTTTAATGGCTGGCGACTCACTCGTCGCGCTGGGGGCGCCTTCCTCGTCGCGTATCTCCTCTTCGCGGGCTACTGCATCTTATTCGTGTGGTTACAGGACATTTACAAAGTTTCGACATAGCGCTGTTCTAGTTCTTGTCGTATCCATTACAAATTTATCGATCGGATTCGCTACTGTAACGTACAATCTTCGTCTCACCGAACGTGAGGTTTCTGTCGCCATTTGTACACTGGCATCGCCATCTTCGCGATGATGTCGCGAATCACATCGCTCGGCAAATCGGCGAGACAAATATCTCCACTCGAATTTCGGCGACTACGTTTGACGCAAAGCAAAAATGCTACCACGGCGCGCTGGAAAGAACGTGAGAAATCTTGAAAGTTTTTCATGTCTCGGCGCAGTCCCGTTTGCAACTCTAGCTTGTGCACGGCGGTACCACTCGAGTACAAGATTACATCCGAGACATGCTCGTCCATCGACACATCGCTTTCCTTTTGGATCGGTACGCCTTGACTTACGCTTAGCCCAGTGATGAACGTTCTATGCACACCGTAACGTATTGTTTGAATGGAGAAGTGCTTGCCAGTGTTCTTGTCGACCAAGCTGTTGCGCCAAACTTCGTAGCGTTCGCGGAGCGATAGATTTGGTTTGTACCACCCCGCTTGCAATCGTGACTTCCGCGTCATGTCGACAAACGCACACATTGCTAGAGCATCCGGATCGGCGTAATCCTTACTAGTGGGCTCTGCAGAGCCAAAGAAATAATCATCGCGGCCGTCGTGTTCTTTCGTGAATGATGCTTTTTCGCGTCGCAGACGCTCGCGAAGCTCCGCCTCAGATCCAAACTTTTCCAGGAAATCGTCTCTTATGTTGAGCATTTCCTCGCGGTGTTCCTCGGCCTCTGCGCAGTCAAACACGTGCAACTTCGCCCCGCGCTCTGCCCAAATCATGATGGATGGGTTCGAAATTGAAAAAGTCACCGGTAAGCACGCATATGTACACGCGTAGAAGTGTGCGATCGGGTAAATGCCGTCTACTGCCTCGCCTCTATAACCGATCACGTTCTCAACGCGCCAAACCGTGACAGAGTGGTATGCATCGCTCGTTGCCGCCAAGTAACGACCGTCTCCGCTATACGTCAAGTACTGGCTACTCATCCTTTCATCGTTGTCATCAGCACATGGAATGCGAAAGCTATACTCGGCGCCGGCGTCGACATATGATCTCGCCGATCTGCTGCCTGACTCACTGCATCTACAGTATACCGCTAAACCATCGTCCCCTGCCTCTCTCAGACTGAATTCCTTCAAGCAGACATAGTGTGAGTCACCCGAAAACGCTATGAACTTGCCACACGGCGATGCCACTGCACAGTTCACGGGCACTGGGTTGTCGATAACGAAGTCTTTCTCCAGTTTGTACGGTGAAGCTCCTAGGATGGCACGGTCATTTTCATCTAAACGGCACACGTATACGTGCCCGTCATTGCTCGAAAGAATGAGGCGCAACTCGCGCGGTTTTCCGGGTTCTCTAGGGTCCTCTAACCAGCCGAATCGAACACAATTTGCCTGTTCGACCTCGTGCATGGAGTCTTCGTGGAAAGGATCGTAGTCGTCGTCGTCCGAATAATCATCGTGACCATATTCGAAGCCAATGTTAGCCTTGCAGAGTTGAACGAAATCCCACGCCGGGTCGTCGTCCTTCCACATCGCTCCAACCTCGCGCTGCCCATTCGACCAAACTCGCCCAGGGTTATGGGCGAGGGCCATCAAACCACCCATGTCTTCTTCGATACGCTCGACCACTGTATCCGTCTCGCTCTGCTCGCAACGGTATACCATGACGTTGTACGCGCGCGTATTTTGTGATCCCGTCCCGCACACCGCGAGGGTGCGTGACTCCTCGTCGTACGCCATGCTATACACTGTAAACGGAACGCGATCGTCGTCGCTGTATCTCGGTTCGTTGGTGTGCGCAGCTAGCTTGAATCCGTTACGTAGCATGACAGCCTCTCCAGAGACAAAATACTTTAGATCGGAGCACGTATAGTCCTCGTAGAATTCGCGCCTATCCATCGCGCGCGGTTTTGTCCGTTCCGAGTGCGACAAGTACTTGGTCGCCAATCGTCGATGGCGCGGAAACGCGCACAGACAATCCGCGACTTGATGATGAAATTCATCCTTATTCCCCCCAATACGCAACCGTTCCTCACAATGGTCGTACTGTTCATGCAACCTCCGAAGATCCTGGTAGTCTCCGTACGTCACGAACGGCCCGGCGGGGACTTCGTCGTCGACTTCGTCCTCCGACGACTCTCCCTCGTGAAACATTCCCGAGTCCACGCTCACGCTCTCGTTTCCGTTCTCGTAGTCGCTATCCGACTCACCGCTATGAAGGTTCTCGGGAGCGTACATCGCTCGAACCTCGTCCTGGAAGGCTCTCAGCGCCATCGCTCGCGCGACGCGGCCCTCGTCGGTGTCGTCGATCATGGATCTGAGCCGATAAAACTCGTCCCAACGGTCGCGACGAACGCTGCGGTCGTCTTCACCGTCGTCGTCGTCGTCGTCGTCGTCGTCGTCGCTCGCGTCGTCGTCGCTCTCGTCGCTCTCGTCACCGCTCTCGTCATCGCTCTCGTCGTCGCTCGCGTCGTCCATCGCGTCGTCGACCTCGAAGTCTTCCTCCTCTCGCACGTCCGCGCTCGCGTCGTCGCCCGCGCGCGCGCGCATCGCGCCGCGGCGCCGTGTGCGGCGCTCGAAACGTTTCGCGCATTCATCATCATCATCGTCTTCGATCGTCCGCAGTCGGCGACGCGGCGATGCGCGCGCTGGACGACGCGACGCTGCGAAACGACCTGTGCCGCGACGTCGCCGACGCGTGCGACCGCACGAGCGCGTCCGCGCGCGAGTACGCCGAGTCGCTGACGCAAACGGTCGAAGTCTTGCTCGCGCGACTCGACGAGACGGAACGGAGCGTCCAGCGCGCGCGCGACGAGGCGCGGCGGGGAAGCGCGGCGTCTCGAGACGCGCTCGAACAAACGCTGGTAAACGTGCGAAGGGACTACGCGCTGATCGACTCGATCGAGGACGCGCTGCGGTCGATCGAGAACGCGCTGACGTCGCTCGAGCGAGCGACGGGGGGCGCGGAACGCGCGGAACTAGAGATTGGACGACACGCCGGGAAGGCGCTGGAGAGCGTGAAGACGCAGTTTGGAAGCTTGTTCGGTAAGGTGGGAGCGATCACGGAGACGTGGCGGATGTCCGCGGGGAGAGGGACGGAGGGCGGAGAGACGGCGGCGGCGTCGCCGACGTCGCCGACGTCGCCCGGAGCGTATTACTTCGACGACGACGACCACGACGAGGGCGAGGGCGACGCCCGAGGCGCAGCTGGGGTAAAATTTGGCGCCGCGATCACGGCGAACGCGAATAAGCTCGCGAGCTCGCTCGCGGATGGGTTGTCTCGATTTCGCCTTCGCGCGACGAGTCGAGCGAGCGCGAGCGCGAGCGCCGAGGCCTCCGACGCGGACGCCGACGCCAACGTCGCGGCGTGATCGCGTCGCTCGTTTCGTTTTGTGTTGTAATCTACTACGTGCTGTTTCAAAATCAATCTATCGTGTGCTACCTCGCTCTCGCCGCTGTAAGTTTGCCTCGCGCAGAAACGCTTTGCGTTCCTTCACCCCGAGTCCCATCGCTTTCAGCCGCTCGCTCTTCGCCCCTAACGCGTGCTCAAACGATGGAAACTTATCCGCGTGTTTGCCGTCGACGTTCGCGCGCGCCAACAGCGCTCGCACGCGCTCAACGTCTTCGGCGCTCGGCGAAGGCGCGGCCGCGTCCTCCGAGGTTTCGTCGGAAAACGCGCGACTCTCGCGCGTCGTCGCCGCGGCGACGCGCGAGCGCGCGGACGCGCGGTCAACGATCGCGCGCGCGCGCCGCGCGAGCGATCGGGCGAGCATGGCTGTCTGCAGACGCGCGCGTCGAGCGTCGAGTCGCCGTGTGAGGTTTGCGATTACGAATGCTACTTGTTCTGGTGCCTATCCCTACGCCTGCGCTTGCGATGCTTGTGCTTATTCATCGCCTTCTTCCGCTTCCGTTTCACGCTCGCCATGTCGAAAAACCCACCGATATCGCGCTCGGCGTCTCGCTCGAGCGCGCGCAGGCGTCCGAGCAGCGCGCCCACCGTCATCCCCGTCGTCGCGTGTTTCCCGTGATCGCTCTCGTTCGATCGCGCGTCGACCATCCGCGCGCTCTCACCGAAAACCGTCGCCGTCGTCGCGTCCGCGCTCGTCGCCGCCGCCGCCGCCGCCGTCGTCGTCGTCGTCGCGTCGCCGCGTCCTCGCGCCGCCGCCGCGCTCGCCGCGCTCGCCGTCGTCGTCGTCGTCGTCGTCGTCGTCATCGTCGCGAACCGTCGCTCGAGCGCGCGCATCGCCATCACCGGCGCGCGCGCCGGCGCGCGAATCTCGATCGCGAGCGCGCGTCGCGCGAGCGCGCCGCACGCGCGCGTCCATCGCCCCATCGCGCGGCGTCGATCGAGATTCGCGCGCGTTCGCGCTCGCGCGCGCGTTCGCGGCGTCGCCGGTCCGCGCGGACGCGCGCGCGGTCGACCGTTCGCGTCGCTCGCGGCGCTCTTCGGCGCGCTTCCGCGTCGCGGCGTCGCGGAGTCGCGGCGTCGCGGCGACCCTCGCGCGGGTGCCGAGTATGAACACCCCTCCTCGATGGCGCACCTGCATCAATATACACGCAGTCGGACTGTTTGCGCATACGTTTGCCCGACCGCGATGTGGACCCGTCGGCGCGCGCGGCGTCGGCGTCGACGCACACCGCGACGCGCGCGCGCCGACGGCGACGGCGACCCGACGACGGTGACGATCGACTCGCCGCCGAGAGAGACCGCGAGCGAGGCGCGAACGCGCGAAGAGACGTCGATCGAACGCGCGACGCGCCGGGTTTGAAAAAATGACGGCGGCGACGGCGACGACGACGGCGACGACGACGCGCGCGACGCGGGATGCGCGACGCGCGACGACGGCGCTGTCGAGCCGCGCGTGCGCGATGCGGCGCGGCGGCGCGGGCGACGCGCTGGGCGCGCGCGCGCGCGCGAACGCGGGGACGCGAGGACGAGGCGCGAGACGCGGGGACGGCGCGGCGCGCGCGTGCGGGATCATCGGCGTCGTCACGAGGGACGAGGGCAAGGGCGTGGCGGCGGAGATTTACGAAGGATTGCTCATGCTGCAACATCGAGGTCAGGACAGCGCGGGAATGGTGACGTACGACGGGATGAGGTTCAAGGAGAAGAAGGATAACGGGCTGGTGAAGGACGTGTTCGATAAGAGCGCGATGAAGTATTTGGACGGACACATCGGCATGGGACACGTGCGATATCCCACGGCCGGGGGGCTGAGCGCGACCGAGGCGCAACCGTTCTTCGTGAACCAACCGCTGGGGATTTATTTGATTCATAACGGGAATCTCACGAACACGGATGAGCTGCGGGCGAAGGAGCTGAACAACAGGCACTTGCGCACCGGGAGCGATTCGGAGGTTTTGTTGAACGTCTTCGCGGAAGATTTGAGCAAGGAAATCGCGGCGCACCCCGATAAGGATAGCGACAAGCAGTTGTTTGACGCGGTGACGGTGACGATGGGTAAGGTGAAAGGGGCGTACTCGATCATCTCGCTCATCAACGGCCAAGGCATGTTCGCGTTTCGCGACCCGAACGGCATTCGCCCGCTCGTGTTGGGGCAACGTCAAAACGCCGACGGCGAAGACGAGTGGTGCGTCGCGAGTGAAGACGCCGCGTTCGGACCGCTCGGATTCACCACCGTGCGTGATGTCAATCCCGGGGAGGCGATCCTGATCACGGCCGAGGGCAAGATGATTTCTCGTCAGTGCATGAAGGGTTCCATCTCGCCGTGCATCTTCGAGTACATTTACTTGGCGCGCCCGGATTCTCAAATCAACGGCATCTCCGTGTACGAGTTCCAACTTGAACTCGGCCGCCGTTTGGCTAAGCGCATCAGCGAGCGCGGATGGGAGATTGATACCATCGTGCCCGTGCCGGATGGCTCTCGTCCGAGCGCCATCGAAGTCGCGTCGGCGCTCGACTTGCCTTACCGCGAAGGTTTGGTCAAGAACCGATACGTCGGTCGTACGTTCATCATGCCCGACCAGCGCATCCGCGAATTGTCCGTGCGGCGTAAGCTCAACGCCATGCGATCGGTGTTCAACGGTAAGCGCGTCTTGCTCATCGACGACTCCATCGTTCGCGGGACGACGATGAACCAAATCGTGCAAATGTGCCGCGCCGCGGGTGCGGTCAAGGTCTACCTCGCCTCCGCAGCGCCGCCAGTTCGCTTTCCCAACGTGTACGGCGTCGACATGCCGTCGCGCAAGGAATTCGTCGCCGACGACAAGACTGAGGATGAAATTTGCGCCACCCTCGGCGCGGATGGTTTGATTTACCAAACCGTCGAAGACCTCTTGCAAGCGGGTCTCGGCATGAACGCGCAAATCCCGCGTTTCGATGCGTCGTGCTTCGATGGCGATTACGTCACGGGCGATATCGACGAGCCTTACCTCGAAGCGCTCGAGGCCGCGGGTAGAGGAAAGGGCAAAAAGGGCGTCACTCAAAATGCCCCGGCGCGATGAACGTCTTGATACATCGTCCACATGAGTATTGTTCAAATCCACTTGTAAAAGAAGACGTAATTATCTCTTCGAAACCACTCGTAGAAGAAGACGTAAGTATCTTTGATTAAATGATTCATCGCTCATCCGTCGCGCGCTAGGGTATCTATGCGAAGAGTAAAACGAAGAGTAAATCGCCGTCGCGCTCGTTCACGGAAGCGGCAACCTTTCCAAAATATCCGCCGCACCACTCGTCTCGTACTTTTGCCCCGACTCCATGGCCAAGTACTCGATCACCCCATCGCGCGCGATGAGCGCGTAGCGGCGACTGCGCGTTCCCATCCCTTGCTCGTGAAGATCCAAATCCACTCCGCACGCCTTGCTCCACGCCGCCGACCCGTCCGCGACCATCTTAATTTTCGCCATCTTCGCTCCCGCGCTGTTCCCCCACGCGTTCATCACGAAGGCATCGTTCACGGACACGCAAATCACCTCATCCACGCCGCGCTCGCGCATCGCGTCCGCGCGTTCGACGTATCCCGGCAAATGTTTCGTCGAGCACGTCGGCGTAAACGCGCCGGGCACCGCGAACACCACCGCCGTCTTCCCTCGCAGCAAATCCCCGAACTCGCACCGCACCAGGTTCCCGTCGTCGTCGAAGTACGACACCTGGACGTCCATCGGCAGCGTCTCTCCGAGCGCGACGGGCTGGCGGTGAAGCCCGCGACGCGTGACGTCGCGACCGGCGGCGGAGCGCGTTCGCGGCGCTCGCGCGCGCGCCGACGCGCCGCGACGCGCCCACGACGCGCGCGGCGGCGCGGCGGACGTGGACGCGCGCATGTCGCGCGATCGAGACGACGCGCGGTCGCGACGCGCGTCGAGCGGCGCCGAGTGACGATTCGACGTCGACGCTCGACGCCGCCGCACTCACCGACGCGTCGCGCGCGTCATGGGCGCGGACGATCGCGACGGCGCGGCGGGCGACGACGACGACGACGACGGCGCGAGCGTCGAGCGCGCGGCGCAGATCGCGCTCGCGATCCCGGTGAGCGTGTCGATGACGATGAACACGCTGAGAGATTTAGTGACGCTCGTCTTCGTCGGACGAGCGCGCGCGACGGTCGAGCTCGCGGGCGCCGCGCTCGCGATGACGACGATAAACATCGCGTGTAAATCGGTGCTGGTGGGACTGGCGAGCGCGGTGAACACGCTGGCCGGTACGGCGTACGGATTAGGGGCGTACGAGCGCGTGGGAGAGACGACGCAACGCGCGCTCTTGGTGACGACGACGTACGCGGCGTTGACGTGCGCGGTGTTCGCGACGAGGGGTGAGGAATTTTTAGCGGCGACGGGGCAAGACGCGGGCGTGAGTCGCGAGGCGGGACGATTTTTGCGAGCGGCGACGCCGGGGGTGTTGTGCTACGCGTGGACGCAGTGCACGATGACGTACTTGCATTCGCAGGGAATCACGCGGCCGCAGGCGTTGGGCGGCGTGCTCGCGGCGATCGCGCATCCGATTTTGTGCTATTACTTCGTGTGGCGATGGGAGATCGGGGTCATCGGCGCGGCGTTGGCGTGGAGCGCGTCGTCGGCGGTTTGTTTGGCTACGCAGGTGGCGTACGCGACGGTCTGGCGAAGAATGTTTCGCGAACGCGACGAGGCGTTGGCGCTCAAGCGCGATATGTGCTGGCCAGGATGGCAACTGCGACGCGCGATCTCGACGGAGGGATTGCGGGAATACTTCGCGCTCGCGTTGCCGGGCGTTGCTATGAAGATGGAGTGGTGGGCCAGCGAGATGACGGTAGTAATGGCGGGATACTTGCCGAATCCCGAGATTGCGCTCTCAGCGCTGTCTATTTACGGCAGTACGAATGCGTTCGTGTTCGACGCGTCGATCGGGCTCGGCGTGGCGTCGTTGACGCGCGTAACGCACGAGCTCGGCGCCGGCAACGCTAAGAGGGCGCGGCGCGCCGTCGCCGTCTCGTTCCAACTCATCGCCTGCGTTGGCGTCATCGCGAGCGTGGGCATCATCGTCGCGAGGAAAGATTGGGCAAACTTGTTCACCTCGCGTGAAGAGGTGCGCGAGCTCGTGTCCGAGCTCATGATTGCGCTTGCGGCGTACGCGCTGTTTGATTGCGCAGGCGCCGTGCAAGCGGGCGTGATGCGAGCGTGCGGTAAGCAATCGCTCGCCGCAAAAATCGTCGTCGTCGCGTACTGGATCATAGGTATTCCACTATCGCTCGCATTAGCCTTCGGTGCGCACATGGGCGCCCTCGGTCTCGTTCTCGGCGGTTTAGTCGCCACGGTGGTCCACACCGGCGCGCTCGGCTTCGTCATCGCGCGCCGTCTCGATTGGGACGCCGAAGTCGTCTCTGCGCGCGATCGTCACGCGCTTTCGACGTCTCACGCCGCCGAAGCGGGCTACGTTCCGCGGTCTTCGAGCTTCGCGCTGTTAGAATCCGCGAGGGCGAATGATTTAACCCGTCAATACGGCGCCGCGGTGTGAGCGCCTCTAGCTGTAGTCACTAGTCTCCTGTATTGCTGATTTTCGAGTTGTTCACGCTGCACAACGCGCCATGCGTCGCGATGCCGTCGCCGCCGCCGCGGGCGGTTCCATCGCGCTCGCCGCCGCGTGTCGCACGGCCGTCATCGCCAGCGACGACGCGTCGGCGTCGAAAGCGTCGATCGCCGCGCTCGTCATCATCGCTCTGGTCCTGCACTGCTACGCGGCGTTGCGCGCGACGGAGGCGTTTAAACCCATGCGCGTCGAACGAGACGACGGCGCGAAACCGTACGACGCGAACGTCAGCGATTTCGACGAGTACGACCATCGCGGGCGAGCGGTGCGGGCGTTCATGAGTTGACGCGCGGAGTGAAAGTTTTGTTAAAACGACGCGAAGAGCGCGGAGAACGGGTTCGACGACGACGGCGGCGGCGCCGGGATCGAACGCACTAGCGTCGGTAAAATCATAGATTGCCACCACGGACCGATGGTGGTGGAATAGGTGGAGTACGGACGCTCCCAGAGCTCGATGGATTCGTCGCGGGAGGCGCTCGGAAATCCGTTTTGCGGCACGTCGACGCACGGGACGCCGATGGGGACGTCGTGTCGAGAGCAATCGCGCGCGAACGCGACGACGTAAAACGCGTCGGATGTCGACCACGGCGCGGCGGAGTTTTTGAAGACGGCGTCTTCGATGGATACGACGGCGAGACGCCGGGCGCGATTGTACAACGCGACGCTGTGATAATAGGCGTTTCGCGTCCAGACGTGACGCACGCCGATGGCGTACACCAAGTCGTCGTTCGATGCGAGCGTAAACGCTGGCGCTCGAATGTAGTTCGTGTCACGGTTGTCTCCGCCGCAATTGATGCGAAAGTTGACGCATGTCATCGAAGAATCAATCACGATTTGAGGTCTCACGGTGGCCGCAACCGCGGCGTCTCGTCCGGGAACGCTCGCCACGCGTTCGCGGACCGCGCTCACGAGAGCGTCGTACGCTTGCGTGAGACTGAGCTCATCGACCGTGCGCCTTGCGATCAACGGCGCGGCGGCTTCGAAAATCGCTTCCGGCGCGGCGGCGGACTTCGGTTTTAGTCGAAGCGTCGTGATGGGTGGAGCCCTTACCCAGTTTTTCCAAGCCTCAGATGACGCCGGTAAGGCGCCGCGATAAAGCACCGTATACGTCGAATCGGAAGATGGCGGTGGCGGTACGCCCACTTCGTTCACCACTAAACCGCGGTCACGCAGTACCGCCGCGGCGAGGGAAAGCGCGGCTCTGTTTCGCGACATTATAAACGAAAACGAGGAGTTCCAGGGCGCAGTTGGCGCACGAATGAACGTCCCGGGAGACACGGTGGCTGCCTCTGTGCTCAAACGCGTAAACGCGCCGAAGTCGCCGTTTTCACCCATGCTGAACGTGTCACTCAAACTCGCAAACACGAGACTTGACGTGGCTCCCCCTAACCGATACCAATACGGGGTGATTCCGAAGTAAGCCAGCGCGGACGGAGTGCAACCATAAATAAGTACGACTTCCGTCGGTTCAAGAGTCCATTCACACGTCTGTGGCAGAACTCCATCCCGTTGCGCACCCGGAGATGATCCCTCCGCAAACTCGATGTTCGGGCTGTCCAAAACCGGCAACGTGTGATATTCCGGTTCGGTCGCCGACGCTCTCACGACGCGCCGCGGCGCATCTTCATCGTCGCCACGTGTGCGGCGGCTACGGCGTCTCACGCGCGAGACGCTGAATCGTGGACACCCGTACGTGGAAGCTGGATTTGCGTTTCCGCAATCAGTACAATCGGCAGGAAGTTGGTCGAAATCGAACATCCACGTGGAGCCTTCGTCGACGTAAAACGCCGACGCCAGCGCGTTCTTGACATCTTCTCGCGCGATTTCGCTAGCGAGCGCGCACGTCTGCGCTGAAACGTGCTTGACGAGTGCGTGCACGATGGCGATGGCGATCAATGTTGTGTGCATGGTGGGTGCGCGTGTGTGCGGCTCCACATGCGCCCGCAGCCGTTGTGCACACAGCCGTTGTTAGCCGTCGTGTTAGCCGTCGTCGGGTCGGTACGGGTAGTGTAAAGGTAATGAAATGGTATTGAAATCAATTCGCAAAAGGAGCTCAGTCGAGAGAGTCCGCAGCGTCATCCATGGCCTCATCGTTTGCCTCTTCGCCTTCTTCGGCGCCTTCTTCGGCGGTGCCGTCGTCCATCGGTTCGGCGTCTTCAGCCGCGGGCGGCGGCGTCTCAACCTTTGGCGCCGGCTTGGGGCGGCTCAAAATGGGCGTCGCGACGCGCTCTAACGTGGCACGCTTCTTGTCTATGTCCGAAATCAACAAAACAGCCGGTTGCGTCTTCGGCGTGGCGGCTTGCAGAGTAGCCTTTTCGTTCAACCACGCCAGGGCGTCGTTGCACTCTTGCGCAACTTTTTCCAAGTCTGCGGCGTCGATGTGGGCGTGCGCCTCATCTCCAGCCAGGGACAAGAAGTTTTCGGCCAACGCCGTGAGCGCGGCGATCGCGCCGGGGCGTTCGCTTTCTTCTCTCTCGCGGCCGACGATGGGCTCTCCGATCGCTCTGAGTTCTTCGAGCTTGTTCACGTACACACCCTTGGTCTCGTCCTCGCCATCCTCGTACAACCAATCCTCCGTGGCGTTCAACAGCGCGTTGAAGCTCTCGCGAGTGGCGTCATCGACGTACTCGGCGAGTTGTTCGGCAATCTTAGAGCGCATGCTATACACATACTCCTCGACGGCGTTCTTGCGCTCCTTCGTCTCTTCTATCACCTTGTCCTGCAGTGCCATGTCGTACTCTTCGTTGGTGAAGCGCTCGACGATTTTTGGCGGCAAACCGCCGACGTGGCTCGTCACCGGTACGTCCGTCTTTTTAACCTTCTTCTTGGCCGGGGGCTTTTCCTCCGCCTTTGGCTCCTCCGCCTTGGGTTCCTGGCTCGCGGCGTCGGTTTCCATGCCCTCCGCGCCGTCGGCTGGCGGCGCGGCTTCGTCCTTCATCTCTTCCTCCGGCGCCGGCGCTTCCTCTTCTTCGATTTCCTCCACGACTTGCGCGGATTCGACAGTGACCAAACTGTTCAGGTTCAAACGTACTTTCACCTTGAGTTTTTGTTTCTCACCATCCGCGGCTTTTGCGAACGGGCCGATTTCGTACGTGCCGACGACGGGTTCTGTGGACTCGGACAAAAGCTCACTTCCGGCGTAACTCGCTTGAATGGAGAATTTGTCGTTCTTGAAGAATGTCATGAGCTTGGTGCTGGGAACTAAGTTATTGCGCTCGAAAAGTTCCATCGTCTTGTTCGTGCCGTCATCGCTGGCCCACGCAACGGAGATCGGGAACGGGAACGAGTCTTGAACTTCAAACTCGCGCACGCGGAAGAGTGGCGAAAGCATGGCGCCTTGAAGCGCGCAACCGCGCGCCACGCACTCTGACGCGTTCACCGTGCGCCCCGGCACCTTGCCGAAGTACTCTTGAAGTCGACTCGAAATGGCGGGCATGCGCGAAGCGTTGCCAACGAGTTCGACGGCAGAGATGTCGTCCACGGTGAGTCCGGCTTCCTTCACCGCCGTCTCCACCGGGCCCATGAGCTTGGAGATCGTGTCCGCCGCGAGCTCTTCCATCTTCTCACGAGTCATCATCGATTGAACGTCGACATCATCCATGAGACACTCGATGCTGAGCGGCGCCTCCGGGTTCGAGGAAAGAATCTTCTTCATCTTCTCGATCGCCGTCTTCAGACGAAGCGACGCGCGAGCGTTGGAACGAATGTCAATCTTCTTCGACGCCTTGAACTCTTCGCAAAAGTGATCGAACATGACTTCATCAAAGTTGCGTCCACCCAAGTTTCGGTCGAAACCGGTAGACAGAATCTTCAACCCCTTCTTCGTGAACTGCGCGATGCACACTTGCATCGCAGAGTGACCGACGTCGATGAACGCCGTGTTCACCGGCTCGTCGGTGAACTCTGAGGTTTTGAAGATCCCGTACGCCAACGCCGTCGCCGTAGTTTCGTGCATCAATCGCAACACGTTCAAGCCACAAATCGACGCCGCATCCAGCATCGCGCGGCGCTCCGCGTCCGTGGCGAAGACTGGCACCGAGATGACGCAATCCGTCACCTTGGTGCCGTTGTCGTTCTCCGCGATTCTCTTCAAATCAGCCAAAATCGCCGCTACGCACTGTTCCGGCACGAAATCTCGCGTCTCCCCCATGTACTGCATGGTAAACATCAACTCCCCGTTCGCTCCGCGCTTGGCGGCGAACGGCAAGTTTTGCAAATCGCTCTGCGCCTCGACGTCGTCGTACTTTTTCCCAATCAAGCGCTTGAGCTGCGTCAGCGTGTTCTTCGGTTGCATGTTAATCTTATCCGCCGCCGCGCACCCGACGAATCGCTGCGCGTCGCGAAAATCATCCACCAATCGTCAGTCTTCATCACCGCGTCGCCCCTCCCGTTCGCCGTCGCCCCATCGCTCTCGTCTCTCGGTTCGCTCGAGGAATGAAAAAGAAGAAGCTTCATCTTCATCTGTCTCTTCGTTCGCGCGTCGTCGCTCGCCTCGCCGAGCGTTTTTTTTCTCCACGCGCCTGCTTGTCCCCGAAATTAATCATGCTCGGCGTCTCTCGCTTGGACTCGTCGTTCAGCACGACGTCGATCCCTTTCCTTCGCGCCAGCGCGACGACGTTATTCGCGTTCCCGAAGTCGATCCCGACGACGCTCATCTTGCGTTTCGATCGCTCGAGGTCGGTCTTCGCGTCGACGTTTCGCGCTCGGAAGCGGCGAGCGTTGAGTAGAGGTTCTCGCGCGAGGTTCTCGGCGCGTCGCGTGGCGTCGCGCGTCGAGGCGTCGACGTGTGCGAAACGTCGCGTCGGGTCAATCGTCGAGCCGTCGCGTCGGCGCGCGCTCCCGGGTGTTTTTGTCGTTCGCCACTGGTGGGTGTTTCGGTGGGCCGCCGGGACGCGACCGACGCGACGCGAAACGCGCGGCGCGCAGACGTCGGCGCGCGGGGCGGGACGCCGGAGGATGTGGGACTGGGACGATGACTCGACGGCGAACGTCGCGCTCGCGCTGACGTGGCTCGCGCTCGTGACGTGCAGCGCGCTCGTCGCGGCGCGACGGGACGTCGAGGCGGCGCGCGGCGCGGCGGCGCGAGGCAAGGACGGGAAGGGACTGAAGCGCGGACGAGCGCCGCACGCGTGGTTTCGACACTTTTACGTCGTCGGGTGCGCGGCGAACGCGCGCGAGCTGGCGAGGCTGTGGGCGAGAGGCGCGGCGACGGGACGGGCGGACGCGCGCGCGGCGGTCGTCGCGGCGACGCTGTTTCAGGCGCACTGTTTGAGGAGATTGTACGAGAGCGCGCGCGTGAGCACGTACGGAGACGACGCGACGATGCACGCGATCGTGTACGCGGGCGGGTTGGCGTATTACGTGTGCGCGCCGAAGACGTGGGCGGCGTACGACTGCGGCGACGCGGCGAAGACGACGCTCGAGCCGCTCGAGACGCTCGCGGCGACGGCGCTCGGCGCGCTCGGCGTCGCGCTGTTCGCGCTCGGAAATTATCGGCAGTACGAGTGTCACGTCATACTCGCGCGTTTGCGCGAACCGAGCGCGCCGTCCTCGAGCGCGCGCGACGCCGACGCCGACGTCGCGCGCCGCTCGCGATACTTTATCCCGCGCGGCGGTTGGTTCGAGCGCGTCTCCTGCGCGCACTACCTCGCCGAGATCGTCCTTTACCTCGGTCTCGCGCTCATCGTCGTTCCCACCGACGTCTTCCTCGGCAAGCTCTCCGTCTCCGCGCGTCCGTCGGTGTCGTCGGTATCGCGCGCGTCGTCGTCGTCCGCCGTCGTCGCCGCGCGCGTCCCGCGTCTCGCCCCGCTCGCCCTGCTCGCCGCCGTCGTCGCCAACCTCGCGTGCGTCGCGTCTTCGCACCACGCGTGGTATTTAAAAACCTTCGGCGACGCGTACCCGCGCGATCGAGGCGCGCTGTTCCCGCGTCGGCGCGGATAGCGCAGTCGGCGCAGTCGCGGCTGACAGTCTCGCCGCGCCAGTCCGCCAGTGCCCGAAGACCCCGCTTTGGCGACGCCGGCGGACGGGAGGAAACCCTGGATTTCTTTCCGGGTCTTTTCGACGTCGACGCACATCGACGCGCGACGCGAACGCGACGCGACGCGACGCGACGCGACGCGAACGTCGCGAACGCTCGACCGGTCGACGCCGTCGAAGACCTCGCGCGCGCCGACGCGCGAACGCGACGCGAATCGCGACGTCGCGAATGAAAATCGGTGCCGAGCGATCGACCATGGCGCGCGCGGTGCCGACGCCGGCGACGCGAGCGCACCGCGCGGTGACGCGCGCGGGGACGACGGTGAAGCGCGCGAAGAACCGACGGTGCGTCGTGACGAACGTCGCGACGCCGAGCTCGGGCGCGCAGAAGGAACCGGCGAAGCGAAGCAAGGTTGAAATCATCAAGGAAAACAGCGACTACCTGCGACACCCGCTGATCGAGGAGTTGGCGACGACGGCGTCGAACATCTCCGAGGACGCGGCGCAGTTGTATAAGTTTCACGGCGGGTATCAACAGGACGATCGAGAGAAGCGAGCGTTCGGGGAGGGGAAGTTTTATCAATTCATGATGCGCACGAAGCAGCCCGCGGGCAAGGTGCCGAACAAGTTGTACCTGACCATGGATGACTTGGCGAACACGCACGGGAACGGAACGCTGCGATTGACGACGCGACAAACGTATCAATTGCACGGAATCTTGAAGAGCGACCTGAAGGAAACGTTCGCGACGGTGATTCGTAACATGGGTTCAACGTTGGGGGCGTGCGGAGACATCAATCGCAACGTCACCGCGTCTCCGGCGCCGTACGCCAACAAACCGGAGTATGATATCGCGCAAGAACTGGCCAAAGATATCGCCGACTTGTTGGCGCCGCAAAGCGGGGCGTATTACGACGTCTGGCTCGACGGCGAGCAAATCATGACGGCTGAAAAGCCCGAAGTGACGGCGGCGCGCATGGAAAACCGCCACGGCACCAACTTTGAGGGTTCGCCCGAACCCATTTACGGTTCGTTATTCTTGCCGCGTAAGTTTAAGATTGGCGTCACCGTGGAGGGCGATAACCACATCGACGTCTTGACGAACGATATCGGCATCGTCGTCGTCATGCGCGACGGCAAGCACGTCGGGTACAACGTTTACGTCGGCGGTGGCATGGGGCGCTCGCACCGCAACGACGCCACGTTCCCGCGGGCAGCCACCCTTCTCGGTTTCTGCGGACCGCGCGACATCTTGTACGCGGTCAAGGCCATCACGTGCACGCAGCGTGACTACGGTCGCCGCGATGATCGCAAGCAGAGTAGATTGAAGTACTTGGTCGAGAGCTGGGGCATGGAGCGATTCAAGACGGTGACGGAGCAATACTACGGCAAGAAGTTTGAAGCCGGCGTTGAGTTGGCGCCGTTCGAATTCCCTACGTACTTGGGATGGAACGAACAAGGCGACGGTAAGCTTTGGTACGGTGTGCACGTCCAAAACGGTCGTCTTCGTGGCGAAATGAGGAAGGCTTTGCGCAACGTCATCGAGCGATACGAACTTCCGGTTCGTCTCACCGCTCAGCAAGATATGTTGCTCACCGACGTCGATCCGGCGTGGAAGGCGGATATCATGGCCACTTTGCAAGCCGCGGGCGTGAAAGACGCGTCCGAAGTCGACGCTCTCGAACGTCTCTCCATGGCGTGCCCGGCGTTACCTTTGTGCGGTCTCGCCATCACCGAAGCCGAGCGCGGTTTGCCGGAGATTAACGCGCGTTTGCGCACGACCATGACCAAGGTTGGCTTGGCGATGTCGGACGACTTAGTCATTCGTATGACTGGTTGCCCCAACGGTTGCGCGCGTCCGTACATGGCTGAGCTCGGTTTCGTCGGCGACGGTCCGGCGAGCTACCAAATTTGGCTCGGAGGCACGCGCGCGATGACGGGCGTGTCGAGCGCGTACGCCGAGCGCGTCAAGGTGGATGACATCGAAACGTTCTTTGAGCCCATCTTTGCCATGTGGGCGCAGCAGCGCAATGCGGGTGAGTTCTTCGGCAACTTTATCAATCGCGTCGGGTTCGACGCGCTTCGCGCGTTTTGCGACTCGTACGTTCCGAGCGCCGCCCCCGTCGCCGCCGCCGCCGCCGCCGCGCCGACCGCCGCCGCCGTCGAGACCGTCGGGCGTTTGCCGCGCGTCATGATCGAGCGCGATGCGTTCGAGGCGCTTCAAGCGTACGCTGAGAAGAAGAACACCACCTTAACCCAGGCGACGACGGACGCGATTCGCAAGATGATCGCCGAAGCCTAAACGACGTCTTTTTGTACCAACGCCGAGAATTTATGACGGCGTCCGCCGCGGCGCCCGGCGCCTTCCATGCCCTTACGTTCTTTCATTCGATCGTTCACACATTTATCCACCCACACTTGTCGCGCCGTCCTACGCGGGCGCTTGTAAGAAGACCGAAGAATGAAACACGCCGCGCCGAGACGAGACGCCGACACCTCTCCATCTCGCGACGCGTCGCCGCGATGCCGACGACGATGCCGACGCCGCGCGCGACGCGCGCGACGACGCCGACGATGACGCGCGCGACGACGCGGTGCGCGCGCCGTCGTCGCGCGCGCGTCCGCGCGTCGACGACGAACGACGCCGACGTCGACGTCGACGCGCGCGCGACGTCGACGATGGATGACGACGCGCGAAAGCTCTGGAACGACGCGCGCGCGGTCGTGCGCGACGCCGTGGGAGCGAACGGCGACGAAATGAACGATGACGACGTGGACGCGATGATGGAAAAGGCGTTCGGGTGGCGCGGGCAAGGATACTGGCGAAACACCAAGGTGCGAGAGGTGCCGACGGCGGCGGATGTGACGGCGCGCGTGGCGTTTTTGGAATCGATCGGCGTGACGACGAGAGCGTCGGAGTGTGATTTGGCGAAGATTGTGAAGAAACAACCAGAAATTTTAGCGTGCGACGTCGAGCAGTTGACGGCGGCGACGGAACACATCGAGAAGAATTACTTCATGAAGCGCGATACGAGGAATTTCGTCAAGTACGTCGTGCGCGTGCCCCAAGCGCTCGGCAACAACTTGGATTGCGCGGGCGAAGGTAAGGCGTGCTTGGGCGAGTGTAATCGGTGCTGGGCGCGGTGTTAATCGTTCGATTCATTTGTATTATCATCAGCATTGTTTTACTCCATATCATCGTCGCCGCCCGCGTTGACGCAGTTGGCGTTGGGTTGCCAAATTTGTAAAATGTTATCCTCGGCGACGCTCGCGATGACCCAGTCGTCGTTTTGATTCCAGCTAAAGTCACTGATCTTGGACGTGTGACCACCGTGAATGAACAAAAGCTCCGGAGGACCATCCTCGGCGTCTTCGGGGCTCTGTTCGTCGCCAATCTTACTCAAATCCCAAATCATCATGCGTCTGTCGGCGCCGCACGACGCGAGCACAGTCTCGCTCTTCGGCGACCAGCCGATTTGGAAAACCTCCTCGGTGTGGTGCTCGAACGTGTGCAAAGGTTTCTTAGTGTTACGGATATCGAACAGATTCACCGTCTTGTCCGCGCTCCCGGTCGCGAGCAACGTTTCGTTGTACGGGTTGAAGGACAAGCAGTTCACCTCGGCGTCGTGCGCCTCGATGTCGAGCACCGCCGCGCTCGCCGGCACAGCGCGTGTATCCCACAGAATCAAGTGCTTATCGTCACCCACGGACCCGAACATGTGCTCGTGCTTGGCGTGCCACGCCACGTCCTCGACCACGCTGAGATGCCCTTTGTAAATCGTCTGCGCGTCGAGCTCTCTCGCGCCGTCGCCCCCGGTGACGTCCCACAAGCAAATCTGCGCGTCGTCGCTCCCGCTCAGCAAGTGCCCGCTCTTAAACGGCGACCAGCTCAGCCCGTAACCTTCGGTGAGATGTCCCTTCAATCGAATGTTCGGTTGGCATCCACTGTCCGCGTCCGCCTTGCTCGGGTGTTTGGTGTAATCGAAGACGTACACGTCGGCGCTCACCGTCTTCGTCGCCAACACGAAGGAGTTCTGCGGCATGTATCGCGCGCGATTCACCTCCCCATCGTGATTAATGTGTTGCACCACCTTCACCTTGGCACCACCGCTCCCGAATCCCCCGGCCTCACCGCTCTCGTCGTCGTACTCTCGCCCGTCCACCTCCGCGCTCTCCAGCGGCAGCTGCGCCTCGGCAATCATGAGATAGTTTTGTTCATGTTCGCTCGTGTGCGTCCCTAAGATGAGCTTTTGCGACGCGTAATCCTTATCGGGATGTTCCACTCGATCCGGCAGCCACTGCACCGTGAGCGACGGCCACTCGAGCGCGTGCGTCACGACGAGATCGTACAGGAACGGGGTGTTCTTCTTCCAAATCTTGTACTCCTCGCTCACCAAGCGCTCCGCGGCCTCGTCCGGGGCGTCGTCGTGGTCCCTGTTCCCGCCCGCGGCGTGCGCGTGCGTCGCGTCGTCGTCGGCGCCCATCGCGCGCGTCGTCGTCTGTCGTCCGTCAATCGATGGGCGTCCCGAGAGGGACGCAGCGACGAGTCGCGAACCGTCGATTTCAAATTTTTACGCACACTCGCGCGCGCCGGACGTCGGCGGCGGCGCGGCACTCGACGACGCGCGACGCGCGCGCGGCGACGCGCCGATTCGACGATGGCGGGCGACGGCGCGACGCGCGCGTCGGCGACGCGCGCGATCGACGACGCGCGATTCTCGTTGGCGAACAAGATGCACGGGCAGTACTTTCAGTTGTACTTTAACCGGCTGCAGGCGCTGAAACCGCGCGCGCGCGAGGCGGCGCGCGCGCGATGGCCGACGATGCCGACGCGCGCGGTGCTGGAGCTGTGCGAGGACGAGGCGTGCGTCATCGTGGGGACGATTTATAAGGATATGAAGGATAAACCAATCATACTCGACGAGTACGTCAAGGGATACGGCGAGGAGGCGGAGGGCGCGGCGGCGACGACGCGCGAGGAGCGGGCGACGTACACGCGCGAGGACGATGGACTAGAGTTCGAGGACGAGGGCGCGCGAGTGAAACTGCTGGGCGTGGACGCGGGGAAATTCGTCACCGGGGTGGTGTGCGCGGTGAAGGGGAAGGCGGTGAAGGGAGATTTCCTCGTCGACGACGTCGTGGCGTACGCGCCGCCGACGACGGGCGAGGCGAAGAAATCAAAGTCCGAGGCATCGACGGCGACCAAATACGTGTGTTTGGTCTCTGGATTTGAGATCGGTGGCAACGATGCCGCGGCGTCGGCGCGCAATCAAATGTTTGTCGATTACGTCACCGGGGCGTCCATCGCCTACGGCGACGAATCGCCGAGCGACTCGGACGCGGCGAAGATTTGTCGCGTCATCATCGCCGGTGGGACGATGGATTTAAAGACGAGCTCGGAAGAACCTTCGGCGGCGACGAGTGAAGCGCTCAAAGAACTCGACATCATGCTCGCCGAGCTCGCGAGCGCGGTGCCCGTGGACGTGATGAGCGGGAAGACGGACCCGACGAACAAGGCGATGCCGCAGCAACCGCTGCACCCGGTGTACTTTCCCGAGGCGTCAAAGTACGAAAAGACGATGTGTTTAGTGACGAATCCGCACGATTTGACGGTCGATCAGACCTCTTTCCTGGGCACGTCTGGGCAAAACGTCGAAGACGTGATGAAATTTAGCACCATCGACGCCGACGACGTCTCCAGCGCTTTTGTCGGCGCCGCCGCCGCCAAACGTCCCGTCGCCGCGTTGACTCAAACCTTGCGATGGCAACACATCGCCCCGGGCGCCCCCGATACGTTGGCGTGTTACCCTTTCAAAGACCGCGATCCGTTCGTCATCGAACGCACCCCGCGAGTGTACTTTGCGGGATGTCAAGACGCGTTCGGCTACGAGCGCGTTTCCCACGACCCAGCCGCCGGAGTCGCCGACACCCTCGTCGTCGCCGTGCCGAAATTCTCATCCACCGGCATCGCCGTCTTGGTCGACATCGACACCTTAAGCTGCCGCTCGATACAATTTCTGTAGGACACCAATCGTCTCGCGTAGTAGAAGTTTTGTTTTCAAAAAACGAGAAGAAAACTTGAACCAAAGCCACCGCATCCACGAACCGCACGTTCCGACGCCGTCGTCGTCGCGCGCGCGCGATGTCAACCTTGAAGACGCTCTCGCGAGGCGACGCCCCCGCGTTCGATCGCGCGCAATTCGCCGTCGACGCCGTCGTGCCGAGCGACCAAAAAAGCGCGTTGGCGCGCATCCCAGGATGGTTTTCAAACGTCGATGCGGTGCGTGCGCGTGCGCGCGCGGCGATGCGCGCGCGAACGCGTCGGGCGATGCGACTCGGAGAAATGACAGCGATGACTGACGCCGTGCGCTCGCGATGCAGAAAATCGCACCGATCGATGACACGCCCGAGGATTACGGCGGCGGCGAATCGCAGGCGCGTTCGCCGCGACGAGACGGCGGCGCGGCGAACGCGAGTCGAACGATGCGCGCGACGACGAGCTCGCCTGGACGTGGGAAGTACATGGCAAATCAGCGCGCGTTGGAGATGGAGAGCGAAAGCGAAGATGAGGATGAGTTGGTGACGGCGGCGACGGCAAAGGCGACGCAGGAAGGCGAATTTTCAAACGTGCCGGCGCCGGGGGTGAAACCGTTGCTACTCGCGAGCCCTAACGCGAAGAAACTCGCGCTGGAGCGTAAAACGAAGAAACCGACGATTGTTTTCGACGACGACGACGACGACGATGACGAGGAAATCATGCCGACGCAAACGGCGAGTCAAATGCAGACGTCGCCGCCGAAAAAGTCGCCAAAAAAGTCGCCGAAGCGCGCGTCCACGAGTCCAAGGTCGCCCGCGAAGCGTCGCAAGGTGGTCGAACCCGATGTACCGGCATCACCGCCGATCGGTATAGTCGGTCGCGTCGTCAACGCGGCGGCGGAGGCTTTAGGATTTAGTTCGCCGTTCAAGGCGAGTCAAGCCGAGTCGCCGCTCGTGGGCGCCGCCGGTTTCGCCTCACCCAGCGCGCCGACGTCGCTCATGATGTCCCCGGGCACGATGACAAACATCGTCGGTAGCGTGGCGCGATCGGTTCTGGACGACGACGAAGATCACGCCGGTAAAGTTGAATGGGGCTCGCGCGGCGGTTACGAAGGTGGCAAGCGCGGCGCCCGACGCAAGCTCGATTTAGCCGACGAAAACGCGTCGCCGAGTAAGAAGTCCACGACCGCCCGGGCGCTCGAACGCTTACGTTAGCTTACTCGTCGTCTCGGCCCGCCGCGCGCGCGCGAGACGTTGTAAATCGAACACCGCAAAGAGAACGAAGAGACGCGCGTGAAACGATTATTCCGTTGCGTTATTTACATCCATCCCGATCTACGTAGCCAGTTAGCTGTCGTACTCGCTGTCGTACTCGCTGTCGTACTCGCTGTCGTACTCGCTGTCGTACGATCCGCGTCGAAAACACGCGAAACACACCGTGTGGTTCGCCGGCATACCCGAGATGTCTGTGCCGCACGAAACACAAGGACGGGCATCCGAACGACCATCGCCGCTCAGCGATCCGCGTCGAAAACACGCGAGACACACCGTGTGGTTCGCCGGCATACCCGAGATGTCTGTGCCGCACGAAACACAAGGACGGGCATCCGAACGACCATCGCCGCTCAGCGATCCGCGTCGAAAACACGCGAGACACACCGTGTGGTTCGCCGGCATACCCGAGATGTCTGTGCCGCACGAAACACAAGGACGGGCATCAGAACGACCATCGCCGCTCAGCGACCCGCGTCGAAAACACGCGAGACACACCGTGTGGTTCGCCGGCCTACCCGAGATGTCTGTGCCGCACGAAACACAAGGACGAGCATCCGAACGACCATCGCCGCTCAGCGATCCGCGTCGAAAACACGCGAGACACACCGTGTGGTTCGCCGGCATACCCGAGATGTCTGTGCCGCACGAAACACAAGGACGGGCATCCGAACGACCATCGCCGCTCAGCGATCCGCGTCGAAAACACGCGAGACACACCGTATGGTTCGCCGGCATACCCGAGATGTCTGTGCCGCACGAAACACAAGGACGGGCATCCGAACGACCATCGCCGCTCAGCGATCCGCGTCGAAAACACGCGAGACACACCGTGTGGTTCGCCGGCATACCCGAGATGTCTGTGCCGCACGAAACACAAGGACGGGCATCCGAACGACCATCGCCGCTCAGCGATCCGCGTCGAAAACACGCGAGACACACCGTGTGGTTCGCCGGCATACCCGAGATGTCTGTGCCGCACGAAACACAAGGACGGGCATCCGAACGACCATCGCCGCTCAGCGATCCGCGTCGAAAACACGCGAGACACACCGTGTGGTTCGCCGGCATACCCGAGATGTCTGTGCCGCACGAAACACACACCCTCACGTCTCCCTCGTCCTCGCCGTCTTCCTCGTCCTCGCCGTCGTCCTCGTCTCCTTCGTCCCGCGCGAACCGTCGCCGCGCGTTCAGCATCTCCGGAGTCATCTCCACCGCCGTCGCCACCACGCCCGCGCGCAAATACGACCCCCCGTTCTGCATCCGTCGCGTATTGCCCGGCCAATTACAATCTGCGCATATCGGCACCAACGCGCACTTCGCGTCGGCGCCTCGCGTCGACACGCCCGCGATCCAGACGTGTCCGCCGTGCTCCGCCTCCTCGTCGCATCCGTCGTACGCGCACCGTCCCCGTCGTCGTCCCGTGACGCGCTCTGCCTCCGCGATCCACGACAGCCCGCTCGCCGCGCGCGCGCCGGCGCTCCCGTCGACGTTCCACGCGCGCGTCGCGACGTCGAGTTTCACGGTCTCCATCGCGCGCTCCATCGCGCGCTCGACCGCGACGCGGATCGCGATTCGAGGCACGCGCGAACCGGGCACGCGATCGACGACGACGACGACGACGACGACGACGACGGACGGTCGAGGCGATCCGAGCGCGCGACGCGTCGATCGCGGCGACGACGACGAGAGCGATGACGGTCGTCCTCGTCGTCGCCGCGGCGATCGACGCGCGCGCGACGCGCGCGACGCGCGGAGGAATGGCGCCTCGATCGCGAACGCGCGGTCGAGCGGTCGAGACGTTGGCGGGTCGAGACTCCCCACTCGCTCGCGCGCGCGCGCGCGCGCGCGATGCTTCGAAGCGCGCGCGCGTGGCTTCTGAGTCCGTCTCTGACGGCGCGCGAATCGATCGCGCGCGCGCCGAGCGCGACGCGCGACGCGACGACGTCCGACGACGACGACGCGTTCGAAGACGTCGAGGACGAATTCGCACCGGCGCTGCGATCGACGCAAGAGACGCTCGTCGAGCGCGACGCGCGCGCGCGCGCGGCGATCGAGGTGATCGATCTGTTGGACGACGACGACGTCGACGACGACGACGGCGACGGCGACGGCGACGACGGCGCGGCGGAGAGGGAGGAGGACGTCGCGGCGAAACGCGCGGAACGACGCGTGATCGACGCGACGACGACGCACGTGGAGGCGCGTCGCGTTCGACGACGCGTGGATGATGAGGCGCGCGGTGCGCGCGACGACGCGCGACTCGACGCGGCGACGACGGTGGTGCGAAACGCGCCGTCGCGCTCGAATCGAAACGCCGACGCGACGAAATCGAAGGCGTTTCCGGAACCGGATAGCAGGAAACAATTGTACAGTCAGGTGACGTGCGCGTTGGACGCGAAGAGCTTCAAAAATGATTCGGCGTACGGGCGCTCGCTCGTCGTGCGGTTCGACAACAACCGGCACAAGGCTGGAGATAAGCAAATTTTGTACGAGTATGAAAATTTGCCTCTCGAGCGGAGCGTTACGTGGACGTATCACGCCGTGTCGGACGTTCCAGTGCGCTCAGACGACGTCGGTGCGCACAGCGCGCGATATACCGCCGTGTTGCTGAGTGGGGACGCGTTTTTAAAGCTCATCGAAAACGATTCCGCGGGCTTGCGAAAGATGGTGGAGACGTTTGAGCGAGAAACCGGCGGCGGCGAACATAAACTGTGCGTCATCGTCGAATCACCGGATAAGTTCTGCACCTCCAAAGAGCGCCGAGGGTGCGACTATGATAATCCAAACGCCGGTTGGTCGCGAGATGAGTACGACATGTGCGTCGCACAGATAGTGGTGCAATACGCCGACGTAGTCCTCGTCGCGCTTCCGGGAATGGCCGAGTGCGTCGAGCACGTCGTCATGATCCACGACGCCATCGCCCGGCGTCGTCACGAGCCACCGCTATCGAAAGACTTTCTTCTCGATAAATCACACGATTACATGGATGGAACATCGGGAAAAAGTAAAAAGCCAACCTCGCAAGATTTCTTCCTCAGAGCGCTGCAGCGCATATCTGGCGTCACCGCCCCGCACGCGCGCGGCATCGTTCGCGAGTACAAATCCATGGCCGCTCTCATGTCGGCCTACGAAGATCCGCGCACGTCGATCGCGGATAAAGAAAACATGCTCAAAGACATCGTCGGTGGGAAGAATAGATTCGGCGAGGTGAAGAGTAAGCGCGTGTACGATTTCTTCAAGCCGCGCCACCCTGACGACCCGGGCGACGAAATCATCTCTCGCGAGCACGCGCGCGCGTAGCGACATAGCATCATCTTATTTTGCGCACCGTTAGTCCGTGTGTGTTGTATATCACCGTAGTCATAGCTCGATCCCGCCGCTCCCGCGCGCTCTGTCTCGCGCGCCCACTCTGGCTGTTCAAACCCTCGCCTCTGGCCGTCGTCACTCATCGCCTCTCGAACCTTCGCGCGCGACGTCATGGGGTCCAACATCCCGCGAGAATTTCAGAAGAAATATACCTGGGATGCGATCGTGTTCTCAGATGGCGCCACGTACGTCGCATCGACGCGAACGCGGCGCGAACTCGTTCGCTCGCGCGCGCGGAAACCCTCGAGGCGATTGTTCGCGATTGTAGCGCGAAATCGCCGCGCGCGACGTCGATGGCGCGCGAAATCTCGCACGAAACGTACGACTGATATTTTAACCATCGCTTGCGCGTGTCTTTCGACGCAGTTACGAAGGCCTCGTGAGTAACTACGGGCAGTGTGAAAAGTTGGGCGTGTTTCAGTACGTCGACGGCGACCGATACGAAGGACAATACTCCGAAGGTATGATGCACGGCTACGGAGTGTACACGTGGGGTTTGGATGACTCCACGTATTACGGACATTGGCAGAATAACTCCCAGAACGGGTGCGGGGTGAAGCTCTACGGTTCGGGCGCGGTCGAGGTGGGCGAGTGGAAGGATGACCAATATCTCGGCGAATACACGGGACGTTGTGGGGAGGATGAGCAAAACAGAGCAATGATGCACGCGATGGAAGTGGCGACGCGCGCGCGTTTGTTCACGGGTAAGCCCGATGGCGAAGTCGTGGTGTTGGAGAACATCTCGAACCCGGATACGGCGGAGAGTCACCACCCGGTGGTGTACGATCGCGGCACCGAGTGGCAAATGCCCGGGTACAAGGGCGAGCAGTTCGAGCCTCCGGCCGATCTCGAGCAAACGCAACCGAAGGTTTTCGCGCAAATGCAGCGATTCAACCAACTTTGGGAGCGCGCTTGGAGATACTACAACATCGACGTCCCGGAGGGTGAGAATGACCAAAAGTTGCAAGAGCTCAAGTTCTTGACCGAGGCACCGGCGACGCTTCGTACCGTGGACGAAGACTACGATGAGTACGAGGATGAAGACGACGAGGATGAAGACGAGGACGAACAACCGAGCTCTCGATCCCGTCGCGCTGGACCGGCCGCGATGTCCCTTAGCTTCCGCAACGCGAACCCGATCTCCACCGCGTTCGCGCGCTTGGGCAAGAGCAAGCACGCGTTGCGCAAGAACCCGCTCAAGGCTGCGGCGGGTGCTTTCGAAGCCGCGCGCGAGCGATTCATGGGCGCGACGAAAGTCACCATGGCTTGAGAGGAGTGTTGGCAACTTAATATTGTGTACCTGTAGCGTCGAACGTTTTAATAAGGAGTGAACGGCGATTCTTTCATCAGTTTGCACTTTTACACTCGCGTGTTCCTAGTCTAATATTGATCGTCGGCGAGCATCGGGATCGCGGGCATATCGCGCACGTTCTCCTCGAGCGCCTTGGCTTTGACGGCTTTGCTAAAAGCTCCAACGCCGACGTCGGCGTCCATGTTGTCCGCCTCCCCTCGAGACTTACCGTGTGCGAGCTCGCGACGAATTTCGGGCGTGATCAAGTAGTGACTTTTGATCGTCACGAGCTTGAAGAGCAACTTTTTGCTTTCCTTGTCGATGACCGCCTTGTAGCGTTGCACGAAAGTCAACAACGTTTGATGCCAAACCACCGGAAGTTCGCGCTCCTCAGTCGAAAAGCGCAAAAAGTGATCAACTAGAGCGTCCACAACGCTAAACGGCAGTGCATACTTCTTGTCGAGCAATACGCGCATGAAGAAGGATGTCGTTCCGGCGTACTCAAACGTGGATAGCTTCATCAATACGGCGGCGGAGTGCAACGCTGGTACCGAACATCGCGACAAAACGGCGCTAAAAATGACCGCCTCTCGCAGCGAGCACGTTTTGCTCTGGCACAAAGGCAAAAGCATACCCTTGAAAAATGCCGCGGGCTTGAAGGTCGCCTTCTTGAGCGCCATGAAGAGCGCGAAGTGTAACCTTCGATTGTCTGCGATGTCCTGGCGTACGCGCGGCAGGAGCACCAAATTAAAGAAGCGCTGGGCCATCGTCACATTCAGGTTCGACGCAAACAGACGCGTCGCCGCATACATCGCGTGCGGACTCCATCTATCGGGATTGGTCAAGTACAAAACTTCTTCCCAGTTGGAGAGCGCGGGGATGATTTTGAACGCCTTTGGCACCTTGCCCGTGGTGTACCTCGTCAAAAGCTCGCCGACTTGTCTATAAATCTCAATCACACGAGAATCCAACCCTTCTGGAATCATCTCACCTTCCTCGTCTCGCGCCGTAGACCCACCAGCGCTCTCGTGCTCTTGAATCTTTTCCATAATCATATCCGCGAGCGTTTTGTCTTTGCCGAGCTTGGGCGCCATGAACGCTTCCAACGCCGCCGCTTCCTCGGCGCTGATTTCCACCTCCTCGTACTGTCCGTCGGCTTCGTTGATGTACCCCTCATCATCGTCGTCCTCGTCGAAAGCCCCACCGCGTCGACTCGGCGCGTCCTCGTCGCCCATCGCCTCGTCCTCGCCGTCGTCGTCGCCGCTTCCGTACGAGTCATCGATCAAAGTCGCACTCTTCGCGTCGAGCGTTCGTCCGAGCTTGACGCGATGTTCGCCGCTCTTCCTTCGTCGATTCTCTCGCCCCTCATCGTCCGCGCCCTCTTCCTCGCTCGACGTCGCCGCCTCGACTTCCTCTCGCAGCTCCTTCGCCTCTCTCAAAATCTTCGTCGACAGCGCGTCCGGGAGGTAATCCTCCTCGTCCGCCGTCCGCGCGCGCGCCTTCGTTTGCTTGCGCTTCGACCGAGGTTTCGCCAGCGCGTCGTCCGCGATCTCTTTCCCCAGCGCCTCGCGTTTCGTTCGTTTCGTCGACATGGCGCGCGCGGTCCGCGGTGGCGGCGGCGTCGACGCGTCGACGCGCCTCGTCGTCGTCGACGCCCCTCGCGCGCGCGTCGCTCGCGCGCGCGTCGACGACGACAGTCGCGCTCGTCTCGCGCGCGCTCGACGCGATCGACGTCGCGATCGACGCGCGTCGACGCGCGTTCGAGTGGGCGCCGCCCGACGACGACGCGCGCGGGCGGCCGTTCGCGCGCTCGACTAAACCCTAGACCCTCGTCGAATCGTGAATCGCCGGTCGGACGTTTGAAATCTGAAATCGCCGGACGACGGACCGCCGCGCGATCGTCGGCACCGCGTCGCGCGCGTCATGGACGACGACCTCGCCTACGCGCTGGCGCTGCAGGCGCAAGAGGAAGAGTACGCGGGCTCGCGTCGACGCGCGGCGTACGACGACGACGAGAGCGACGAGAGCGACGAGAGCGACGACGATGCACGTTTTGGACGAGCCGCTGCGAAATCAAAGAAACGCGCGGTGAAGACGACGACGACGACGACGACGACGGACGGTGAGGGCGAGGGCGAGGGCGATGACGATGACGGCGCGAACGAAGGCGCGGCGAATCGAGCGACCGCGCCTCGCGCGCGAGGGACGCGAGATGGTCGAGTAATCATGCGGCGCATGCTCGAGCTCGGCCTCGTCGCGGCTGGCGAAAACGTGTTGTCGACGACGCTGCGCAAGGAAGAGACATTAGCTGATTTGAAAGAAGACGGAACGATCGTCTGGAGGCGAGCGAGGAAGATCGTCGATCCCGCGCCGGTGAAGGATGAGGAAGGTGGCGAGGAAACCGCCGTCGACGCGGCGGACGTTGAAACGCTCGTCTTTAACACCGTGAGCGAGTTCCGTTTAGCAGTCGTGCGGGAGAAGAACCCAGAGCGAAAGGTGGACAACGGGTGGGATTGGGTGAAATACGCCGGGGTAAAGTTGGGCGATATCAAGCGGCGACTCCCTCCCGAACCCAAGCCCGAACCCAAGCCGCGGGCGAAGCGCGAGCCGAAGCCGACGCCGACGCCGAAGAAACGGAAAAAGATCACGGACGACGAGCGTGGGTACCATGCGGCGGTCAAACGCATCGTCGTTCCCGCGCGCGAAAAGCGTGAAAGCCGAAACGCGTCTAAAAACATCAACATTGGCGAGAGCTTCGACGGACAGGGCGACTTACAAATGGTGACGTGCGAAGCGTACAACAAACGACGGACGCAGCCATTCAAAGTCACGGTGACTTCCGGCGCGGAGTTGGTGATGGATTTCCACGCGCATTTGTGCTCGGACGAAATCATCGGATTTCTCGGAGGCGTGTACGACGACGACGCGAAGACGTTGCGCATTACGCGAGCGCTTCCTGCTCGACAGCTCGTCCAGGAACACGCCGGCGTCGAAGTCGAGCTCGATCCAGAGAGTGTGCCGGCAATCGTCGAGACATTGACGGCCAAAGGTGAAGGTATCGTCGGTTGGTATCATTCTCATCCCGTGTTCGCGACGCAGCCGTCGATTCGCGACATTCAAAACCAATTTGAATATCAAAAGATGTTTGCGCGCTCCGATGGTGAGTCGCAAACGATCGCACCCTTCGTGGGTGCCATCGTCGGTCCTTACGACGTACGAAACGACTCACAGAAGAGCGACGTTCGGATGTTTCACTGCGTCGATTTCGGCGGCGAACCCGAGCCGTACGAACTGAAAGTCGAACACGCCGGATGCGAAGACGTTTCCCCTGATGTGTTGCGCGAACTCAAAGGCCTCGCAGATAGATTCAGAACCACGCCGCACGCTGGTGTCGGCGACAGCGAGCCGCTCGCGGCGATTGACTTGAACGCCACGCCGGTGTCTCTCACCGAGCATTGGCGCGACGGCACGACTCGTCTCGAGAAATTTGAACATTCGTTGTGCGCTCGACTGCCAAAGTCTTGGCAGGACGAGACGAAAACCGCGTACGTTGGAGGGATAGTCAAGTACCTCAAAACAGCGTGGGGCGTCGCCGCCGCATAGAAACGAACGAGCGAACGAACCGATGTAAAACAGAACAGACATTTGCACCCGCTCCCGAAGCCAACCAATCAAAACGCTCGCATCGCAAAAGTCGGCGCGAAGACGGCACCTCCTCGCGTCCAGACCTGGACGGCGCCGCGCGTGAGATCGCGACGCGCGCGCCGTGACCACACCCGCGCGCGCACACACCATGGACGTCGAAGTAGGGAAGCCGATGAAGAAGGCGCCGAGCCTGCTCGACTTGCAAGAGAAAGGTGCGGGACGAAGAAACAGCGTTCGATCGCGTTCGGTGCCCTTGTCCGTACCCCTGGATGCCGCGTGAGGAATGGACGGGTTGACTGACGATTGAGCGCGCGCGTTCAACCCAACGCAGGCAAAGACACCACGCTCGCGTTCCGCGACGTGCGTTTCGAGGTCGGAAAAGGCGACAAGCGCAAGGAAATCTTGCATGGAATCAGCGGTCAAGTGTGTTCGGGAGAAGTGCTGGCGATTTTGGGGCCCTCGGGCGCCGGGAAAACGTGTCTCATCGACCTTCTCACGCTCGAGGGTAAGGGCGGAACGTACACCGGAGACGTTCGATTGAACGGCATTCCGATCACCCCCGAGCTTTTCACCAAGCACTGCTCGACCGTGCCCCAAGTCGATCGTTTGTGGGCGTTTCTCACCGTCGAAGAAACGCTGACGTTTGCGGCTGATTTATTGTTGAAATCTTCCGCGGAAGAGAAGAAGCAACGCGTGGACGCCATCATCAACACGGTCGGTTTGGCGTCTTCGAGACATACGAAGTGCGGTAATCAGTTCTTGAAAGGCCTGTCTGGTGGTCAGAAGCGCCGCTTGTCGCTCGCCATCGCCCTCGTGAGCTCGCCGTCGGTGTTGTTCCTCGACGAACCGACGTCGGGCTTGGACGCCGCGGCGGCGGCTTCGATCATGGCCTTCTTAAAGGAGCTCGCGCAAGCGGCAAACATTGCCATTTGCTGCACCATTCACCAACCGTCGAGCGCGGTGTTTCATGGTTTCGATCGAATTATGCTCTTAAGTAAGGGACGCGTGGCTTACCTCGGGCCGGCGAGCAAGACGGAGTCGTACTTTGCGAACATCGGCCACCCAGTTTCGCCGGGAGACGCCATCGCTGAGCACATGCTAAACGTCGTGAACTCGGAGTTTAGCGATCCCAAGCAAGTGGATGAGATTTTAGATCAGTATACGCCGAACGACAGCGGATGCGACCACACCGGCCCACTCGAGGACGTCTCGGGCAAGGGCACGAATCTTTTCGCGCAGACGATGACGCTCGTGCGCCGTCACTGGATAATCACGTATCGCGATCCGTCCATGTACGTTGGACGTATGGTGATGTTCTTATTCGCGTGCATCTTCTTCGGTGTCATTTACATCGAGTCTCGCGCCCGATCGCAAGAGCAAGTTTTCGCTCGCATGTGGCTCGTCCTCTGGTTTCTTGGCGTGCCGTCGTCTCTCGGCGTCGTCGCAACGTACGTGTACAACGAAGAATTCTTCGCGATCAAACGTGAAGTGAAGAATGGGTTGTTGTCGCCGTACGCGTATTTGCTTTCCAACCTCATAATTCAGATTCCAATCATGATTGTTCTCGCCTTGTTCGCGATGGCGATCCCCGCATACGGCATGGTCGCTTGGTACGGTCCGCATTTCGTTCAAGTGATCTTGATGTACGCGCTGACGCTCTGGGCGTTCGAGTCCGCGGCGCAAGTGTTCTCCATCATGTTCGACAACCCTCTCATGGGGATGCTGACGTTCATGAACATCTGGTTCGCCGGATTTCTCTTCTGTGGCATCATGGTTCGAGAAGGTGACGTGATTTGGCCGTTCCGCGCCATGAGCTACATCACCTTCATGAAGTGGGCGATCAAAAACTTGGTGTATTTGGATTTCATCGACGCCACGTGGACTGGCGCCGTCACCGACCCCAGCGCCGCCGCGGGTTTCTCGTGTGGAAGCTCGACGCTGTGCTTCGGCCGCAACGGCAAAGAAGTCTTGGCGTCGCTCCATAACACGTACGACGCCATCGACTCCGAAGATAAACTTCTTGAAAACGCCATGATCCTTTTCGCCATCGGATGCGCGTACAAGCTCGCGTACGTCGTCATGTTCGTTCGAAAGTCCAAGAAGGCGCAAACGATTGGCGCGTCCAAATCTGCGTAGTCGCGACGACGACACATTTTTCCCAACTTTTTCTCCTCGTTAGGTAACTTTTACAATCTGACTAGCTGCTACCGTACTCGCTCTCGATGTACTCGCAAATATCCTTCGATTCAAACATGGCCTTCCCAGTGTTGGCGTCGCGCAAGAAAGGAACTTGAAAATGCCCGACCATCGCGTATAGCTCGTGGCGTTTTTCGGAGCCCCGCGGGCAGTACTTCACCACGTGCGGAACGCACAACTCGGTCAGCGTTTCGCGAACCAACTTACTAAAAGGGCTGATTTCGTACGTCCACAACTCGAGTGGTTGCTCGGGGATCTTTTTCGCCTGGCGCGCCGAGAGCCCCTTCATTCGAGCCAACGCGGCGGCGTACGCAGTCGAGTTCGTCGCCAGCCCCCCGCGCCTGAGCAGAAATGGAACCTTCGTCTCACCACCGTATGTGTTGAATAAATATTCGATGATGTCATCGCTTTCAGACATCTTTGCGCCGGTGTTTTCATCGAGAAGAAACGGATACGTCGTCGCGCCGAGCGCTTTGCTCTCCGCTCGAAACGCGAGCGAGCCTTGCGGACACGGCTTGAACAAAACGTCCAAATCGAGCACTGAGCACGCTTCGCGCACTTTCTTACAGTACGGACTTCCTTCGTACTCGTACAGCGTGATCGGTTTGGCCGGCCGCGTCGTCGGCAACGTCGTGGAACGCTCCGCGACGCGTCGCTTCGCAAAACGCGCGATGGCGTACTTGCCCTCGCTCCCATCGTCGTCCGCGTCAAGACGTACTTCGTACCCCCCGATCAGCGCTCCCGTCCCTAGGCGCAGCACCAGAGGAATAGCCGCGCTCAGCACTTTACCGAGTTCGCCCTCGCGAACTGTGAATGGCTGCGGTGGGACGTCGGATTTAATAGCACCGACGCGCGTTCGCGTCGGCGCTCTGCGCGTCGGCGCCGTCGCGATGTGCGTACGTCGCCCAAAGCGCGCCTGAGACTTGGAGCTCGGCGCCGTCCCGCGCGGCGCCATCGACGTCGCCATCGTCGTCGTCGTCGTCGTCACTGCGCGTCGTTGTGTGTGGATATGACGACGCCGCGCGCGACGACGCGCGCGACGACGCGATCGACCGCAGCGCGCGCTCAAACGCGTGAGATCTTCGCGTCGACGACGCGCGTCGCGCGCGCGCGAGGACGCGCGACGACGGTCGTGCGGGCCGCGACCATCACCATCGAGGAAGCCGGGAAAGTGTTGTCGCACGTCGTGCACGCGACGACGGTCGAGCCTGATTATCGAGTCTTGAAGCTTGGATTGTCGCTGTCGAACGTCACCGATCCTGGCGCCGTCACCGACGTCGTCGCGGCGAAGACGGGGAAGGAGGCGAAGTCGGTGGCGTGGGTGGTGGAACGCGCGAGCGCGAGCGAGGGCAAGCGAGACGTCGACGAGTTTTGGGCGAACGTAAACGCGGAGGCGATCCGACAGTTGTTCCCGAGCGTGACGCCGGGTAACGAAACCGCCGCGCTATTGCGGTCGTTGTATTTCAAAGCCGAACGCGCGGCGTTGAGTGAGTGCGTTGGTGGCTTGGCGACGTGCGCGTTGCTTCGCAAATTGACGCAAACGCGCGCGCTCGTTGCTCGCGATGGGCGCGTCGTGCGCGACGTGCGCGCGATGAAGGCACCACGGCCGTTGAAAGGGGGACTATTTGCCAATCCCGAGATTTTGTATCACGGCGAGAAGGGCCCGAAGTCGAGGCGGAACTTGCTCACGCACGAATTCGACGAATCGATTGCGGCGAAATTAGGCACGCGCGCGGCGTTTCATCAAACGGCCATCGTGCGCATAGACGACGCGCCAGATGCGAATGATGACGCGCAGGTTTGGTTAGAGATCGACATCGCGGGACCTGCGTTGGATAATTACGAGTTTTCCGACGATGGCGCCGTGCCACTGTGCGTCGCGAGCGTATCGGCAGCTGAGCGCGCGGGTTGGACGACGACTGTCGACGAGCTTCTAGCGAGTTCTTCCGCGGACGATATCGCCGCCGCCGACGCGTTCGCCGATCGCGCGTACTCTATTCTAGTCTCAGTGTAATTTGTGTAACATTGCTTTTTACTTTACAACGGCTCACGTTTCGAGCGCGCGTCACGCTGTGTGGTGATCGGCGCCGATGGTGTCGATCGAGAGGCGTTCAGGCCCATTGTGTACTATCTCTTCGCCTGTCGCCCACAGTTCCTCGAGATTGTACTGCGCTCGACCCTCGGGAGAGAATATGTGCACCATGCACGAACCGCAGTCGACAGCCATCCAGTCCTTATCCCCGCCGTTCTGGGCGCCCTCGATGACTGGCTGCAATCGACCGCCGGCGACGTACTCGGTGCGCGCTTTCACGGCGTGAAGAACTGCGCCGGCGAGCGCCTTCAGGTGGTGCGCGCTTCGCGCAGTGGCGATAATGAGATGGTCTGTCCACGTGCACTGATCGCGAACGTTTATAGACATCACGTCGATACCGCGAGCGCGAACAAGAAGCTGTACCAATTCATCCGGTTCGAAAGCTTTCACGTAGTCCATACGACCTGGATCTGTTTCGCGCTTGAGCTCCGGTTTCGACACTTTTGCCGAGCGTGCGCTCGCCGACGTGGCATTCGAATCCTTTTCGGCTTCTCGCATGATCTCCGCGCTGATGCTGGATACGTCCGACATGCGCACGCCCATGGTTTTCGCGTCGATTGTACCATGCATGTATTCATAATACGCGAGCAGGTACGCGACGACGTCCGCCTTCTTGGTGACGCCCTGCATGACCTGATCGAGACCGAGAACCTTTGCGGCGTCACGCAAGTCACCGACTTTTACCTTACTCAGCATGGTCTTGCTCATCGGTGCGTCATTCACCTTCATCTTCAGCGCCGTTTTTTTCTTCGCTTCGCTCACGAGCGTATCGCGCACGTCTCGAGAGATCGCTTTGCGCTCCGAATCCACGCGCCAACCGCTTTCGACGAGAAACTGCTCAAACTCGATGAGCCCGGGAGTCATCGTTCGCACGTTCGTGCCGCCCATATTCCCGAATCCGGACGAAGACGTCGAGACGACGCTCAGCGTCTCGCGACGTCCTAATTCGCCGCTCGCACGCAACACGCTCATGCGCTCAGCCATCGCGCGCTCTTCCTTCCCGTCGCTCGTCTTCGCCACTTCTAGTAACTCTTTCAAGACCGGATTGATTTCCGCCAGCGCATGCAGCGGTATGGGCCAACGAAGCTCTCCGCGTACCTCGACGCCGGCGTATTCGAGCCTGGACCCAGTAAACGTGCGTCCTTCCCACTCCACGTCTGTCGTCGCGTCGACGGATTTTCGCGACCGGAACGCAGGTACACTGTCCCCGTGTCCATCCCGATCGCCTCTGTGTCTCCCCGATGTTCCCGCGCGCGTGATGCCGCCGCTAACGCCGCCCCGCTCGTGACTCTTCTTCGCGCCATTTTCTTTTTCTTTATCTTCGCTCGCGCCGTGCCCGGTGCGCGCGGCGCGAGACGCGTGCGATCGCGAGGCCGACGCGTACGACGGTACGCGCGCGCCGTCGGCGATCGTCGTTCCCGAATTCGTCGCCGCTCGCATGGATGTCGACGCCGCGCGCCACGCGGCTTCGACGACGCCACGTCGGCGCGACAACATCGCGTCTCCTCGCACGCGCGCGCGGATTCGACGACGCGTGCGCGCGCGGGTTCGACGACTTTCCGCGCGTTCGCTTCGTCGTTCGCGTTCGACGACTGGCGAAGACGACGCGTCGCACTGTGACGCCGCGCGCCGCCGTCGAAGAGTGCGCGAAAGGGAGCGAGTTTGAAAACAACCAGACCGAAGAAGCGACGGGCGACACTCCGCGACTCACTCCGCGGAGTGTCGCGCGCGCGCGAACGTGCGAGTCGCTCGCGCGAACGCGTGGCGGCGTCATGTGCGATCGTGTGCGACGCGCGCGCGCCAAGGAACGCGCGTCCACGACGGACGCCGACGCACAAGATGACACGCGGCGAGGTGGGGCGTCGTGGACGCCGACAGCCACGACGCGCGAGGGCGTCCCGACTCGATTGCGAGGGGCGCAGGCGAAAGGCGTATCGTGGTGCTGGGCCACGCGCGCCAACGGATCGATCTGCGGCGCGCGGGCGGATTGCGAAAACTCGTGCCTGCCGTATTGCGCGGAGCACCTCGAGCGCGGCGACGAGGCGTTGCGAGTCGTCAAGCATCCAGTGTTTGGCGATAAGATTCTCATCGCCACGCGAGATTTACCCAAAGGTTACAAAACAGTATATTTCGGCGAGCGCAAGACGTGGAGAGAGTGTGGACGCGCTGGACGCGATCACGCGATGCACTTCCGTTCCGGCGGAGGCGTCATCGATCCGTGCCCGCTCGGCGACGCCGCGCAGTTACAATTTATGTCGAATCCCGGGCCCAACGAAGTATCAAACAATCGATCCACGAATGTGTTCTTCGGTGACACGCGCTGTCCGAAACGCACGCTCGTCGGGCGCGAGTTTATTCTCAGTCGAGACGTGAAGAAGGGCGCGCAGTTGCTCCAGTGGTACGGCGCCGATTGGTTCAACTCGCGCGACATCAAACGTCTCGACGTCGGATGCGACGTCTATCCAGCCGAGCGTAAGAAACGAAAACAAGAACGCGCCGATCATCCAAATCGCGAGCCTTCGCGCGCGAAAGTCTTAGGCGACGCGACGAACGCGTCGAGCAGACGATGACAAACGTTTGGTATAGTATTACATTCATTTCATTGCAGCACGATTACGCCTCCTCCTTCTTCACTTCGTCTTCGACCGATTGCAACTCGAGAATTTCGTTTTCGATAGATTCCAAGTCCACCTCGCCTTGGAGCTTCGCCATCGCCGCGGCGTCCAAAGGCTTAATACCGGCGGCTTCCGACGCCTTGGCCACAGCGCTACTGTACTTCGCCATGCCTTGCGCGTCGCTCGTCAGTAACGCCTTCCCGAGCGCCTTTTCAGTTTCGTCCAAAGCGCTCACCATGACCTTCATCGTGTCGTCTTCATCTTTCAAACCGAGCATTTGTCGCAGCTCGCCCGCGTACTCCAAGAACCCGCGCACGCTCGCCGCTTCGGCGAACGCGCCGTCGACGGTTTCGAGAATTTTTTCTCCCGGCGTTGAGATGTCCAACTGTGCGCGCGCGCGACGTGTGTGCCGTCAGTCTTCGTCCTTTTCCTCGAGCCAGCGGTCGACGGCTCGACCGAGGCGAAAGCGCGCCTGTCCACGACCACAACCACAATCAAACCCCAACACGTCGATCGGGTTGCGCGCGTTCGAGCCGATCGACGAGATCGCGTGTTTCCGCCCTCGCGCGCGCGTCAACGCGTCGGCGCGTCGGCGCGATCGACGTACCTCTTTTAACGCCGCCAATTTCTTCGCCGCGTACGCCTTGACCGCCGCCGCGTCTCCTCCCACGGGCGGCTTCAAGTCCTTCGTCTTCGTGAGCAGCGCGCGAAATTTGGTCTGCTGCTCGATGAAGACGCGCTTGACGACGTCGGTGGTTTCTCCGCTCGCCTTGGGCTTTCCCGCGCCGGCGGCATAATTTCTCACGCACGCGCTCGCGCGTTTCGAGATCTCTCGGCGCATCGCGCCAATCATCGCGACTGAATGTGCGGCCGACGACCCGACCCGATGGCGTTCGGGCGAGTGCGCGACCGCGACCGCACTGAGACGGACGTCGTCCCGTACGAATCCTCACACGCGGGCGCGCGCCGACGTCGCGCGGCGCGACATGACGGACGACGACGACGGCGGTGGTGTCGGTGACCACGACGCGCGCGCGACGACGGCGACGACGACCGCGACGGACGCGGCGACAGGAGTGCGACGAAGATCGCGATGGGGCGCTGACGACGCGACGACGACAGAGGTGAAGAAGAAGCGTAAGAGTCGTTGGGCGACCGAAGATGCAACCGATGACGTCGCGAACGCGCTCGTCGTCGCGGCGGCGCGGGAAGCGAAGGAGCGCGCAGACGCGGCGCAACGCGCGGTGCAGACGACGCCGACGCCGACGAACTCGCTCGTCGTCGGCTCGGGAATTTTCGTGCAACTGCCCACATCTGTGCTCGCCGAGCACAGCGCGCCGGCGGAAGCGACGGCGGAAGTGCACTTCATGTTTCGTGAACTCGCTCAGTTGAACCGTCGTTTGCTCGCCGGGGAGCCGTACGATGAAGGACGCAACGGCGACCGCGAGCCCGAGCCCGCGCCTGTGTACGACGCCAACGGCGTGCGCGTGAACACTCGGGAAGTCGTAGAGCGAGAGAAGTTTCAACGTCGCCGCATGGAGCTGTTGGAGGACATCTGCCGCAAGTGTCCGATGTTCCGCCCGCCGCCGGATTACCGGCCAAACAAACGAACGGCCAAGTTGCTGATTCCCGTGGACGAATATCCGGGCTACAACTTCTTCGGTTTGATAATCGGTCCTCGTGGGTCGACGCAAAAGCAGATGCAGCGAGAGACAAATACGAAAATTGTCATTCGAGGGCGAGGCAGCGCGAAGGGCGGTACGGGCGCGGCGGAGCGCAATAACGAGTTCGATCACGAGCCTCTCCACGTGCTCATCGAGGGCGACGTGCAGAGCGACGTAGACAAGGCCAAGGCGATGATAGAAAAGCTTTTGATTCCCGTGGACGAAGATATGAATGAGCACAAGCGTCAACAACTTCGCGAGCTCGCGCTCATGAACGGAACATGGAGGGACGAGTCGTCCATCGAGGCTATGCAGAAGCGCTTAGACGAAGAGTTAGCGAGCGGTTCGATTTATCAGCTGCCGGAGACCGTGAAGAAGGCTGTTGAAGCGACTTACAGGAAAGATGTAGAGAAGCTCCACGGCGCCGGCGCCGGTGGTACGCTCGACAGTGCGTACAGCGACTTTTTATCCGAGCTCGGCGTCGACGGGCGCGGACGCGCGCGTCGCTCGGACGACAACTCAGATGACGATAGAAAGATTTACGTCGGTCATCTACCAAACAACGCCACGGCGGACGCATTGGCCGATGCGTTCAAGTCCATCGGTGGCGTGCAAGACGTCGCGTGTATTCCCGACGCAGCGCTCGGGTATTCCTGCAAAGGTTTCGCTTTCATCACTTTCGCAACAGTGGAGCAAGCAAAATCGGCGGCGACGTCCATGAATGGCGCTCTATTCGGCGATCGGCCGATGGAAGTGCGCCTGAAGACGGCGCCGCGCGAAGAGCCTAGACGGGATAGTGGATCGTTTGATCCCGACGCGAACCTTTACGTCGGCGGCATGACTGAGAGCATGACGGAAGAGAGCTTGCGCGAAATCTTCGCGCCTTACGGCTTGGTGCAGAAGACGAAACTCATCCGCGATCACGCGACGCAAGTGCCCAAAGGCTACGGGTTTGTGCAGATGATGGATGTATCGCACGCGCACGCAGCGATCGCGGCACTCGACGGCCAGTACTTCGCAGACAGCACTCGACCATTCATCGTACGAATCGCGGGGCAAAACGGTGGAGGTCCGACGAGCGGTGGCGGTGGCGCGATGGGAGGTTTCGCGCCGATGGGCTTTGTGCCTCCGGTCGCAGCCGGTGGTTTCATGCCTCCGGCGTATGGGTTTCAGCCGGCATACGATCCGGCGATGGCTGCGTCGTACTACGGCGCTCCTCCAGTTGGCCCGCCGTACGATTTCGCCATGCCCACAGTCGAGCTCGGCAATCCGGACGAAGCTCCTCCGCCGCCTCCAGACGACTTCGACGCCCCGCCGCTGCCTGTCTTCACCGCAGACGCCATCACCGTCCTGCCTGGCGTGGCGCCGCCGATGCCGCCACCGCCGTTGTAGAATCTTGACGTATTGGAAACATAGATACATAGCATCTAGGGCCTTGTAGTTTAGAATGACAAGTTACCTAACGAGGAGAAAAAGTTGGGAATTTAGAGCACTCTCGGCAACAGAGTACGCGCGCGCGCAAAGAAGCGCGCGACGCCTCGTCGCGCCGGGACACAAGCCACAATTGTTCTCCAAGTAAGCTAATTATGGCTTAAGTATGTGATCTCGTCTCGTTTCGCGCAATAAAAAATTAAGTTAAAAAAACGACCGTTCTAAACAGCACGCCGGGCGAGAAGATACGGTTGACGCTAGTCGTCGACGCTCGACGTCGCGCGTTCACGAATTAATCATGAGCGACGCGCGCTATGTCGGTGTGATGACAGAAACCCAGGTATGAGAGACGAACGCGGACACTCGACGAAAGCATTTGGTAGGACTTCGCATGAGGAATTAACTAACTCGACACGCATTTTTCATTCGCCGTTCAGAGTTACGTGGAATACCTATGGAGTCAAAGTTCGTGGGACGTCCCGCTGTTCCATGCCCATCATGTTCTGAACTTGCTTCAACGACTGCTCTTCGCCACGCTGTCCATGGTGGCGAATGCGGGAATTTTGCATTTCCATTGGACGACTCCACCGCACCCAAAGTTTACGGTGCTCCGTAAGTCTCGAATAATCATCCGAACGCATCTCATAAGCGGCACTATCAATGTCTGTCTACCAATTGTGGCGTTCTGCAGCGCAAATCCAAAGGTTTCGACGCCAATTATGTGGATCACAGTGGGGTTCGATGTAATACATTTGATGACGGTCATCGCTCAAACACCCAACGTAAATGGGCAGAGATTGCTCACAGTCCCAGCATACCAGTTCATTGCATTGGTTAAGGTTGTGAGCGTTGCTGGCTTGATTCATGCCCTTCTCGACGACTCGCTCTATGAGCTGGAACGGTTGGAGTGGCTGTGGACGGTTTGGGCGAATCATCAAACCTACGCTTGGGTACGAGTATGGATGGTGTTGCTTTACTTTTGTCAAGCCGCTCGCGAAAGCCGATACACCTTGGCTGTGCTAATTGCAGGAACTATTGGCGCTGGACAGGCCTATGGTTTCTCCATTATGATTTTCTTGATCGTTTGGTTGATTGGTTTCAATTTATGGCTTCGTCGAAAGACGTACACTCTCGCTGCGAGATTTGCTGAATCGAAACATACCGGCGATGAACAACGTGAGTTGAATTTGGAGATGAGTGCGATGTTGCAGTACTTTCACGAGGCCCATCATGGGTTATATCATGACGTTAGATACAAGCATCAACCCGAAGTCGTTCAGAAAATTCTCTTCGAAACTGGATACTTGAAAGTTGTCCAGGATGCACGAGGGAAGGACACTTCGCAGCTAGCACCGTTAAGAACTATTCCAGACGATGTCCAAGCACGCTGTGTTTTTGAATCTGTCGATTTCGACAACAGTGGTAGTCTTGATCTCCTCGAGCTCGCACAAATTTTCATCACCAACGGTGTATCAACCGAAACCACGCAAAAGATGTGCGAAGAAGCCTTTGGTAAATTTGATATCAACAACGATGGGTTAATCGATTTGAATGAATTCACTATGGCTTTCAAACCTTACTGGGCGTATCAGTTTGCCGAAGTTTATGTCATTCTTGGAGACGCGCCGCAGCTGATGAAAAACGTCATCAACGTTCCGCTTCACAGCACAGCGATGGGATGCCCATTCGGAGCCGCGCACAGTATTCCGCTCGATTTCGGCTCCGAAGTAATAAGTTGGACCGATCTCGTCCAATCCAAGAATGGAAAAAGTCTTGACCGCGCTCTATCGCGCGTGAGGTCAAAATTGAAACCAGCCGTACGTTGATTCGCGTACTGACGCGATGCTTCGATGTTAAGAACTTTGCCACAGGTAGGCGCGGCGTGAGAACGTCAGCGTTCATCGGTAAGGTTGCGTCATTTGGCGTGGTCGTCGCTGCAGTCGTGGTGCTTCGTCGGCGACGCGACGGGAACGCCGACGCCATGGAATCGAATGAACCGCTGTATGACAAGGGCCAGCGAGCTCCTGGCGGTAACGGTACGGCGCTGTGAGAGTCGCCGTGTCAAGTTTTGTTTTAAGAATGTTGATTAAAAGCCCTGTTGTAATAATGTGCATTGAACGATGTCTAACGAGGAAGGAACCAAAAACTTTTCCACTCAAATCGACTGTGTGTCACGCAAGAGGAGTGCTTGGGGTTCCATTATTTTCACAGAGGACAAACTACGACCGGTCGTTTGTCGTCCAACACGAACACTGAAGAAGGCACTTTGACGCAAGAGTCCGGCGACGTCCGGAGCGTCGAGGGGGAAGTCTGCGGTGCCGTGCTGGTCGACGAGTGATGGCCGTCGGGTGTCGTGAAGGTGCACAGGAAGGATGCGAATGATAGTGACTTTTCATGCCTCAGTACGACCCAGAGAACCCAGGGTTAGGTGTAATAAGTATTAGCTAGTCGGTCGGTTACGGCACTTCTCCCGAAGCGCCTCCCTCCCTCATGCGTAGGGTGTAGGGTTTCGGTTTAGGGTTTAGGGTTTAGGGTTTAGGGTTTAGGGTTTAGGGTTTAGGGTTTAGGGTTTAGGGTTTAGGGTTTAGGGTTTAGGGTTTAGGGTTTAGGGTTTAGGGTTTAGGGTTTAGGGTTTAGGGTTTAGGGTTTAGGGTTTAGGGTTTAGGGTTTAGGGTTTAGGGTTTAGGG